AGAATGGGCGACGGAGATCCTCGTCGCTGGGGCTGGAACCTCCTGTTGTTCTTCTTGTTCCGGCGACGACGGCTGCGTTCTCCTTCCGAGGAAGAAGCAGAGGAGGAGCCACTGGAGCCCAACTCCGAGTCCGAAGAGGACGAGGAGGAGCTTTGGGCGTGGCGCCGGCTTTGGAGCCGTTTCTGGTCGATTCTTCGATACACTTCTGCGGCAAATTGGTCAAAGGTCACCGCCCCGTTGTAGCAGTCCTTGCCCCCTATCTTTACTTCCTCAATCTTGTCTTGCTCACGGGGCTTGTGACCTTGGTAGAAGGCATACTCGAGCTGGCCTAGCTCCAGGGCATTGGCACCGAGACGATGATTGGCTTCCTTGATGCGGATGGCGAAGTTGCGTGACGTTTCCTTCTTGAGTTTCTTCATACTGGCTACTTTCGCCGAGCGGTAGATAGGGGGTATCTTCTCGTCGTATTGAGCCATGAATTGTTCCTTGAATTGCTCAAATGGAATGTTGGTCGACGACAGACTGCTCCACCATTTCTTCACTCCATCCTTGAAGAGGGGACCGAACTTGGGCACCATGTCGTCGAGGTTATCGAAGTACTTTTGGTCCACGGCCCTTTGAGCTTTTTGCTTCAACCTCTCCAGGAATGCATATGCATCCTTGCCCGGCTTGCCTTTGAATCTCGCCGAGATGTCATTCTTCAACTCCCAGTGGGCTCGCTCGAATCCTCTTGCCGCCGCTTCAAGTACCGTGGCCGCCGTGGCCGCTTGGGGAGCTCCGGCGGGGGTGCCATCTGCCATTTCGAGATTCCTTCTAGCAACCGGCGTGAACCAGGTGTCCTCTTGCTCCCATTCTTGGTGGGGAGTCTGCGCTCGGGCTTGTTCTTGCGAGGTCGCCGGGGCAACAGCAGCAGTGGCTGGATGGATGGATAGATGGGTAGACGGGTGTAATGAGGTGCTGCAGGTGTCACCTTACTGCGAGGGAGCGCGTAGGGCATAAGATCACGTGTAGCATAGATTATATTGGAGTCCTACGCTCTGGGGTGACTCCCGAAGGGAAGAAAAGCCTTCGGGTGGCGCCCCGGGAGGTAGAGACTCTAGAATTCTTTCAATACATCGAGACGGAGACAAAGCTAGTCTCTGGCAACGGACCTAGCATTATTACAACTGGGTTTGCGCTGGAGGATCCGCGGGGGAATCCTGAGCAGGTGGCCTTGGTACTGGGGCTGGTGGAGTGCTTGGGAAGCCGCCTGGGAAGCTGCTTGATCCTGTCGTTGTCCGGGACGGGTTTGCACCGGATGATTGGCCTTGTTCTGACGATCAATTCTCGGACGAGGATTCCTCGGAGGAGGATTCCTTGGACTGGGATTCCTTGGACGGGGAATCCGTGGACTTGGCTTTGCCCTTGGACTTGCGTTCTCTCTTGATTAGCAGAGGACTTTGGTATCGCTCGTAGGCTGCTCGTTTGGCTGTCGCGCTGCTCACCGCAATTGCTTGCTTGGTTTATGAGCGGCTTGAGGAGCGGCTTGCGGAGCGGAGACTGGCGACAAATTCTGCGTCGGCCAGTTTCGCTATCTTGATCTTGGTGAAGATCTATCGACTGATCTTCAATCTCTGGTGGAGATTGGTGCTTCGCTTCTCCGTAGGGAAACAGAGAATGCGACGCGTGGGTAGGTTTCTTGTAAGGTGGCAGATATGGTTTGCCAATCCGATCTTGGAAATGACCTCGTAGATTCCTTGTAATTCCTTCCCTATTTTTCCTTGAAGGTGGTCTCTCCTTGTTCCCGGCCAAGCCCCCAAAATGTGAAAGTGGTCGCTTATTCCCTGAGATAGGTCCTAAATCGGGTCATTCGCTGGTGGAGATGATCTACTCATGGAGAGTGCAAGGTAAAAGGTAGAGACCAACTGAATCCCTATTCTCACCACACAAGTAGACACGCTTGGGCGTACTCCATATATTGGCAACCCCGGGCTGCTAGGCGTAGGTACGCTAGTTGGTTGGGTCAAATGGGAACTTATGGTACAAACTCAGGGTCTAGTCTATAGCCGGTAAGATGCTCCACGGCCAATCTACGCCAGTGTCATCCTTTTTATAGTGGGGGGGAAAGGGGGTGTGTCTCTATCCTACTACTGATCACGCCTGGTCATGCGCGCACAAATACTAATCTCTCCCTTGAATCTCCCCATCTCCTCGTACGCTGTCAACCTGATCACTTTCACAGCGTATCGTGTGGTAGTCTGGGATAAGGTAGTTGAGTATGGGAACATTGGTCTTACCTCTCTGGGGCAACTGACAGCTATGTCTTGTTTTATACTTGCGGCGTTTCCCTCTTCTTTCATTTTCCTCTTTCATTTCTTTCATTTTTAGTCATAGCTATTCACCCAACGTCCGCCCGCTTTTCGCGTACGGCCGCACCATTGTACTCATTGTTTAGATTTATCTTTCACTTAGATAGACTCGTGAGTTTGAGTGGGGGTGTTGGAGGTATCATCCTCCCGAGTCCCCGGTTAGGGTTCCCGTAGTTTATTTCCTCATGTGACTCCCCTCCTGCTTACGCCACGCTTCCGCGTACGGGACTTCACCCTTTTCTTCCCCTTTTGGACCTTGCGTCCTCTTTTCTACCACAAGACAATACAGACTTCACAGTACAGCATTGCACACTATATAGAGTTCGCTCAGTCATCTGCTTCCTCTGCCGACTACTGCTAAGTGAGGAGGACCATTAAGGATTGCGCTGGGTGCGATCCCGGACACCTTCATATTCTACATTGCTCGAGCTTGCTGGAGTAGGCTTGCATCGTAGAATCTGGGGGGGGGTGTAATGTGGGATGTCCGGTCTCGTTGGAGAACCACATGTCTGCGAGACAGGCCTCGTGGGACATACCTGTATATCCTGAGGACATACAGGTATTTCCTGGACGACGCGTCTCGAGAGTGTTCTCCAGTTGACTCCAGCCTCATGGGTACTTTAACAGTGCTCGTCGCGCGTTCCTATTCACAACAAGTGAACTCTTTTACTGCATATCGAATAGCAGCGCCGGCGAACACCCAGTCCGTCTACAAGGGTATCATCGGTCTCCATGGATGTTGATAAGCAACCCGCCGTCTCCACGCCTGTCTCCTGAGGGATGGAACCCCATTTGTCCAAGTAGACGCTATTGGCGTCATTAGCCGCAAGGTTGTGAAGCACCATACAGGCATGGACAACGTTTGCAACGAGCTCTGGCAGCTCCTGCTGCTCCTTCAGCAGTATGCGCCAGCGATTTTTCAACCGTCCAAATGCCTGCTCGACGATGATGCGGATCGAAGACTGAGAGAAATTGAAGTTCTACTGCCGCTCAGTCGGCGATACGAGGCCTTTGTACGGGACCAGCATGTATGGCTTCAGCGCGTAGCCTGAGTCTCCAACGAGAAAGAAGTCTGAAGGGAGAAGCGTGCCGGCACAAAGGCCTAGCCCAAGTCCGGAGTTTGCAAACACACGGCTGTCGTGCATGCTCCCAGGCCATCCAATGCAAATCTATGGGTAGGCAAGGAAGGGGAAAGTCACTAAAGTCAGTACTGGCTCCATCCCCGTCTCCGTCTCCATCCTTGTCTCCGTCCCCGTCTCCGTCTCCGTCTCCGTCTCCGTCTCCGTCTCCGTCTCCGTCTCCGTCTCCATCCCTGTCTCCATGTACTTACGTCGCGAAAAAGGCCCTGAGAGTCACAAAAAGCCTGGCAGATAATCAACTGTGTGCCCTTACGGTTGGTGTACGCATTATGAATCTCATCCCAGGGAGGTTTTCGCAGTCTGAAGTGGGTGCCGTCTATTGCTCCTCTACAAGGGTATATGCCACGGCAAGACGCAAAACCAGAGGCAATATGACCCCATACAGCCAGATCTGACGGGGGAGGCATCCTAAGAACCTTGTCTCCGAGCGCATCCTTGATTGCAACTGCCACATCCTTGCATGTGACACGCACGGCAGTGCGGGAGACCTGAAAGACATGGGATACAACTGGCTCGGAAGTCCCATGAGCCCACCCATATAGAGCTATTGCGAGGCGCTTGGGCACAGGGAGACCTCCCCGAGCCAGATCTTTATACAAGACACAGGGAAGCTGTGCAGCAATCCACTCGAAAGGGCCGCGAGCCACACGGAAGTGCTCGATAAACGGGTCCCTGTCTCCGGCGTTGGGAGGTTGATGGAGCTTCTCCCGCTCCCAGAGGCCGATCCCGAGGCTCCGACGATTGCCAGGAAGGCATCTCTTCCGCACTGGCTGAGTGGCGGCAAGGTAGAGTGCGCAGATGAAGGCAGGTTCAGTCCAGAGGCCGTTCATGAGGGCAGACACGACTGGAGACAGGCTGGAGACAGGCTTGGCGACTGGAGACAGGCTCGGGACAGAGACTCCCCCAGCTCTGGATCTGGAGACGGGTCTAGACTATGGAGACAGGCCTGGTGGATCTTGCACACATGAATTTACTCCCATTTGAGATCGACTCTGGACACCAATCCCGCACTGTGCCAAGTTTAGCTTGACAAGACCCTGGTCTCCGGTATGCAGCTGAGTAAATTGGCATATTGAGAGGGAGGTCCCCTTGAAAAAGGGCTGGAGACCAGCTATCGATAATGTGCGCACAACTCGAGCCAGATGTCGAGCCCAACTCGATTTACTAATTGTCGATCCCAGTAAATTGGGCGCCTAAGTCAGGGCAGAATGTTTGGACGCATCATCCTCATATCTTGGACATTTTTCCTGATACCTAGTGGTTCCGCCCCGTCTGCGGCTATGACTGCACCCATCCTTGATGGCATTGAGGCAACTACCAAATATCCCGTTCTTTGTTACGAGTCGGACTATCACGCCCCAGAAGAAGATACGCATTCCAATTTGAAGGTCAGCTAATGTGGAGTGCATCATTTCACGCTACAAGCGTAAGTGCCTTCCTGCTGCGCTCCATGTTGGTCCATATGGGTCCACATTGCTTGCAGACGTAGATCCGCTTCGCACGACTGTCTGTCCTACAGTCGTCGCAATGCTGAAAGTTCTGGGCAGGTCATTTCGTGCATGATTGGCACCCCCACGTCGAAACGCCATTTTCGTCCTTCCGTCCGCAGCCACAGCAGACTGGCTGTTCTGGATATGCAGGTGGCGAGCGGAATGGCTCGATAGAAAGGCCACGTCCAGCACAAATGGCGATACCGGAGGTATTTTCCGGAGAGTGACATTCGTTGCAATGGTAAAAGTTCCTCTTTGTGAGAGTCTGACAGCCGTAGCAGTACCAGAACTCCTTGTAAAGGCCTTTCTGAACCTTCTCTGTGCAATAATAGCACAATTCCGGTATATGGATCTTGCCATAAAGAGCCTCTCGGTAATGCAGGGTTTGGAAAGGTTTCAACCAACCAAGGGACGTCCAAAAAGTCCGCCAATTGCTCCGTGTTCCGCAGCGCTTGGCCAGAGGCTAGTCTCAGAAGAACCAGAAAAGGGTGTTCAGATGTAGCTTTTGAAGAAGACGTCAAAACGTTGATTGTACAGTTATAGGACACAGCGAAGAAACCTACCCTCCAGTTCTGAAGCAGCGACTTGAAGACTGTTTCCAGTGCAGTCCTCTTCCATGGCTTTGATAACTTTTGAATGCCCTTTGAGCATGTGCAAAGGTACAGTATATTATCACCAACTGAGCTACACATAGTCGGCGCCCTCCCTTTAACCGTGACCTTGGATATCCATAGATGCCCGCAGCTTCAGCCTGGAAGTTCTCTGGAAACCGGTCGGGCCAATCAGCCAACATCATATTTAGAAGCGGGTCAAAACCCCTCTCTCATTGGCTTTCAGTTTGTCAACTTCTTCCTGCATGGCTTCATTGATCATTATTATGGGTCACTTCATTGACGGCGCACGGCAATCGATCAATAGGTAACGGACGGTTTCCTACTGCGAGGACCTTGAAGCGAGGTTTTTCACCGGAGTTGACACGATGTTGTACGGCTTCAAATATCGCGTTAATCCTGTCAGCGTTTTGTCATCCTCTCTGCTCCTTTTCGTCGAGGCCTGTTTCAAGCACTATTCGAGTTTGCATTTGCAATTGATAACATAAAAACCAAAAAGCAGATCCTTACTGCTGCGCTCCAACTCCACCTCAACCGTTTGGCCACACCAACGCAAAATGAAGACGGGCAGTATATGGTAAATGAGGAAAGCAAACAGGAAGATGAGCTCCACCGGACGGTGCGTTGCGGAATAGTGCAAGTGTTTGTTGTTGAAGGTAATGTCGAGGCTAGTAGAACCCATCCTTCACCAAAAATGTGAGCAGTATTCGTTGCAATAGCCCATTGTTGAAAACACGATGAGATTGGAGCGTCACGTTTGGGGAATTGTGCCAACCTTCGCGAGAGCTGGCAACGGTAAGAGGGCATGGAGACGGGAGAAGCCTGGGGCGCTGGGGCGTGGACAAATGGGAGCTAGAGCAACTATCTCATGGAAAAGTGAATAAATATAAATGATGAAACAGACTACTCACGTGACCCAATGACCTGCACTCCGTGCTGCGGTTATAAATAGCCTCGTCATTTACAACTTCCTCTCTCGTTGTCCGTTGCAGGAATGCACAACCCATCCAGTCTCACTGCCTCAACTGGGAAGACCTCCCCGACTACATCTCGTGCCGACTTTACGATCACGCCAAAAACGCCCATCCCACACGCTTCACACCTGACTTGCAGACAAACCGCTGCTGGTGGCCCGGACGCCGTATCGCTAACACTGAAAATTGCCTCTAGTCTCCGTCTCGGACGCGGCTACTTGCAGCACCCCGTCAAAACGATCGATAAGCTCTAGTTTAACAAGCCCTTCTCCGACGGAGTTGGGTATACACCGTCTCTATTCTCAGTTTCATTGAGATCATCGATCCCGCCACTCCGGCGCCGCATGATTGGCACTTTATTTTCACCTTGCGGCGGACTACCTCGACTGGGAAGACCTCCCCAACTGCATCTCATACCGAACTTACGATCACGCACAGGTCGCTCATCGCACCCGCTTTGCATTCGTCTTGGAAGCAATCCGCTTGTGGCCATTAACATCCTCGTTGACCACTTACATAACAGCCGATATTCATTGATCCTCTACAGCCCACACCTTTCACAATGGAACCCGATGTACCCACTGTGCACAGCGTAAGGTTCGACTCGCCTATAGTGAGTCGTACCCTCATACGCTACAACCTCTCTCCTCACGCTCTAGATGTCATACCAGAATCAGAGCGAGCTAATGTGATCGACCGGATGACGCTCATGTTGATGGGTGGGGATATCGCCAGGCTGCTAGCTCTGTTGGACACTCATGTTGATGCATCGATCGCTGATCTATCGACCCAGCAATGGTCTCGTTATCATTTGTACGTATCTGAGCTACTGTATCTGTACAACACGTACAAGGTCGCATCGATGAATGTTAGAGCTTTCTACAACATTGGTATCTGGATCGAGACCAGATATTTGTATCGTATGCTATGGCGTGACGAGGACAGACTAGACGTTATAGTGTCAGATGAGACTATGTCTACCAAAGCAAGCGCCACACGCAGCCGCATCATCACCATATGGGATGAACTACATGAGCACGTGGAGGGGGACAAACCATTGTACGATGCTGTATTGGTCTTTGAGACTTTACGAATTCTCCACGCATTAGCTATCATTGTCGATCGTGAGAGTGTTGATGACATCTATGTTTGACATTGAATGGAGGGCATTTAAGACGCGATATATTCTCTGTTTCAACTCTCTAGAGAGGTTGTGCTATCCGTTCAGAACAGATTCCCGCGACAAATTCTGTCCGGAAAGGCGGTAACTTGTCCCCGGAGAGGGGTATTGCCATGAATACGTTGCGAGCGGTCCGTTGGGAACAAAGAGGGGCCCTCCAATCCGTAGCTTTCAAAACGAATTCCCCGCCAGCATCTTGAAAAGGATTGCGCCAGCTTTTTCGCTTTGCAGACATGCGGGCAGCACTGGACGACCTCCCTGACGGTGACAACAACCTCCTGCTTCTCCTTTTGCTGCGGAGACGACAGGCGCAGCGTGCTCATCACCGAGATCTCCGTCTCTGTGATGGACGACGCGCCCATACCATAAGCTTACCTCATGACAGCACACTGACAGCCGCCAATGTCAAACGCCAATGTCAATGTCAGTGTCAATGTCAGTGTCAATGTCAGTGTCAATGCCAATGTCAATGCCACTCCCCCTCTCTCCTCTCATTTTGCCAATCCTCCTGCAATATTGCCACTCCTCCTCTGTCCTCTCATTTCGCCAATCCCCCCACGGCTTCTCCACAGCCCCCACTACTTCCCCATAGCCAGCAGCTGTAGCAATGCTCTCTACGCTCGCCACGCACGCTCTAGGAGCATAGCTGGCACCCCCCCCCCCCCCAGTCCCCTCTTGTTGTTGTTGTTCTCTGATCTGATGGGTTGCCTGTCTATAAATAGCCGGCCTCTCTTCGCCCATTCCCTTCCTCCCCAGCAGATCAACACCAGTTCTTCTCGTCTCTTGTTCTAGTCCTTGTCTCTTGTTTTGCCAATACAATCTCTTGTCGCCCATCGCTCTCGCCTTGTCTTCTCTACTTTGCTTCCGCCTCAGTTGTTGAGATCATAACAGTTTGATCTGCTCCAACACTGCGATGTTCAGAACCCGTCAAGCCCTGCATCTGCCAAACCTTTTCACCATGTCCCAATCCGGATCCGTACCTTTCACCGCCGAACAATGGAATGATATGTGCCAAGCCATCGCCGCCTTGCAAAGCCAAAACGCCAACTTGCAGGCCAACCTAGCGCAAGCGCAAGCCGACGCACAAGCTGCCCAGAACATTGCCACCCAGGTTCAAGCCGATGCGTACGCCCGTCGTCAAGTCACCAACCCGGCTCCTGGAGCTCTGGAGCCAAGAATCAGCTCGCCCGAGAAGTTTGATGGTACCCGCAGCAAATTCCGTGGGTGGTTGAACAACATCCGGTTGATGTTTGCTCTCCGGCCCGACCGCTACCCCAGCGACATCATCAAGATCCAAACAATTGGCACCTACCTCACCGGCACTGCGCAAGCCTGGATGGCGCCCCTAGTCAAACGCCAAGATCACAGCCTTCAGAACTTCGATAGTTTTATCGGTCAGATGCAGTCTGTCTTCGGAGACAGCGACAGGGTCCGCACCTCCGAAAACAAGCTCCAGAACCTTTGCCAAACCCGTGCAGCCACCTAGTACATCGCTGAGTTCCGCCAGCTATGATGCGATGTCTCCTGGAATGACCAGGCCCTGAATGCGACCTTCCACCGTGGCCTCAAAGAGAACGTCAAGGACCTGATGCTCACGATGCCTCCTGCTGCCATCATTGATGCGGTGATGGAGCAGGCTATCCAGTGCGATAACCGACTGTTTGAGCGCCGCCTGGAACGAAACGGAAGCCGCCAGACTTTCCCAGTTCCCCATACCTCGTTTACCACTACCACCACCGTTGACCACAGCGAACCCATGCAGATTGACACCGCTCGTCCCCGCGGCCCTCTGAGCCCCCAGGAACGCCAACCCAGCATAGGGTGGGACCGCCGTACCGACTGCTCGGAGGTGGGATCGAGGCGCGCCCCTTCTGAGGGTATGTGGACCTCAAGCTTCTGGCAGACTGGCACAACAAAACAAAAGCAGTTCCCAGAGATGGATGTCCGCCCAGCTCTCAGCTCATCATGAACTAACCACTGACCGTCAACATCGAACGCCGACTTGTAGAGCTACCTTTGCACATGCTCAGAGGGCACTCAAAACTTATCAAAGCCATGGAAGAGGACTGCACTGGAAACAGTCCTGAAGTCGCCGCTTCAGAACTGGAGGGTAGGTTTCTTAGCTGTGTCCTATAACTGTACAATCAACGTTTTGACGTCTTCTTCAAAAGCTACGCCTGAACAGCCTTTTCTGGATCTTCTTAGACTAGCCTCTGGCCAAGCGCTGCGGAACACGGAGCAATTGGCGAACTTTTTGGACGTCCCTTGGTTGATTGAACGTTTCCAAACCCTGCATAACCGAGAGGCCCGTTATGGCAAGATGCATACACCGGAACTGTGCTATTATTGCACAGAGAAGGTTCAGAAAGGCCTTTACAAGGAGTTCTGGTACTGCTACGGCTGTCAGACTCCCACGAAGAGGAACTTTTACCATTGCGACGAATGTCACTCTCCGGAGAATACCTCCGGCATCGCCATTTGTGCCGGATGTGAACGTTCTATCGAGCCATTCCGCTCGCCACCTGCATTTCCAGAACAGCCAGTCTGCCGTGGCTGCGGACGGAAGGAAGCAAATGGCGTTTCGATGTGGTGGTGCCAATCATGCGAGAAACAACCCGCCAGGAACTTTCAGCATTGCGACGACTGTAGGACAGACAGTCGTACGAAGCGGATCTACGTCTGCAAACAATGTGGACCCATATGGACCACCTTTGAGCGCAGCAGGAAGGCACTTACTCTTGTAGCATGAGGTGATGCACTCTACATTACATAGATGGCCTTCAAATTGGAATGCGTATCTTCTTCTGGGGCGTGATAGTCTGACTCGTAACAAAGAATGGGATCTTTGGTAGTTGCCTCAATGCCATCAAGGATGGGTGCAGTCATAGCCGCAGACGGGGGGGAACCACTAGGTATTAGAAACAATGTCCGGGATATGAGGATGATGCGTCCAAACATTCTGCACTGACTTATGTCTCCGGGGGTGCACAGCTGTTTGCGAACTGACTGTACTGTATGTACAGTAACGCTTCGCAGGCCAAAACAAAGGAGCGCACTTCATCGCGTATGATCCCACGACGGTCTCGAAGATGATCCAGGCCTACGTGAACGAGTCCACCCCACGACAACGATGACGCTAAGGTTGCCGGCGACTCGCACACCACGGCGGCCGCGATCCCACCTCCGAACAGTCGGACCAGAGGAAACCGCCATGCAAACTTCTTTCTGTCATGCCCTCGCTCCCCACAACCTCGCCACCGCCCCTCTTCTTTCCGACGGCATCCCCCCACACCGCACACCGACCCCACCGCCGGAACCCATCATGCAATCCACATCATCACGGAAAAAAAAAAATGGGGTAATACGAAGAAAAACAAAAACATGTACAGGATGAAAATGGAACACCGTACGCCGTGGTGGGGGACTAGATATATACACTACGGATCTTCGCGGGGGGAGGGGGATCAACGGAGAGCTGCGTTCATGTGTGTGTGTGTGTTTGCGTGTATGTATGTATGTGGGTGCCTACACATCGCCTTACAGCCCGCGCCATATACTCCCCTCCGCCTCCCTCACCTCGTCCAACCGCGGCGCGGTGGCGCCGACCCTCTCCCTACCGGGCAGGGGGTCCATCTCGCCCCAGCCCTTCATACACTCGGGTGTGAGACTCAACCGCAGGGTGAACGAGTCCCTGCTGGGCGGGAAGCTCCGCGTGTGGTCCTTCTTCCTGCCGGCGCGGTTGCCGGTGGCTGTCAGGGCGCGATCGAGCGAGAGGGTGAATTCCGAAGCGAGTGGGGACGGGGGGGACGGCGTCGTGCGGGACGCGGAGGACGTGAGGGTGTCGTAGGCCGGGGGTGGGGATTTGACGTCGTCGGCCGAGTCGCCGCGTCCAAAGAACCGGCGTTTGCGGGGAGTGTTGTCACCACCATCGGGAAGGGACCGACGTCGCCGGTGCGCTTTCGTGGCTGTGTAGAAGATGGAGCCGATGACGACGGCGGAGACGCACAGGCCGATGCCGACAAAGAGGGCGATTTTGCCGGTGCGGTTGCTGTCGCCCCGCGCGGGTGGGGGCCGCGGGATGCCGAAGGGGGGGAGGTTGTTTGCGCCGGGGCGGGGCTGGCCCTGGTCGGGGGTGGTGGGTGCTGACCCGGTGGTTGTGGAGGAGGAGTCCGAGGCGGGGGAGGGGTCGGTGGTGATTGCTTCTGGTCCGTTTTGATTAGCGACGGACGCGGGGGAGGATGTGGAGGGTGAAGTCGAGGCGGATGTCTGGGCGGTGGCGGAGATATCCCCCTGAGGGCGTTGGTTGACGCGGATGGGCGGGCGGCGGGCGGTGGCGGGGAGGGAGGAGAGGTCGCCGGGGAAGGGGGCTGTCGGGGGGAAGGGGGCCGGAAACGGGGCGGGTGGTGGTGGTACATTTGCGTTTGGGGTCGTCGTTCCGGTGTTGACGTTCGGTGCTGGTGCTGGGGGTGCGGTGACTGGGACGTTGACGGGGGGAGCGGGTGGTGGTGGTGGGATGTTGACAACAGGTGCAGGTGCAGGTGCAGACCTATCCGCGCCCGTACGCTTCCTCCCCACACGGTCACGGTCATTTCTCTCCTCTCCACGCCCGCGCGTCTCCCCATCCACGACCCTTTGCTGCCTCCTCGGGGTCTCGACCGCAGGGGGCACGCTATCCTGCGCCGTCGTGGGCACCACCACCTCGTCCACGACCGTCGGCGTGGTTCCCGTCTCGCCGTCCACCGCGACATTGACCTGCGCGTCCACCACTCCAGCCGCGGCGTCCGTGACGGCGTTGGCAGTGTCGGTTACGGCGGATGTGACGGTGTTGATGAGTTGCGGGAGGGGGAGGGCGTGCACACGTCCGATTCCTAATCCCACTCCCATCGCAGTGTCATGCGAGGGTGATGTGGCGAGGATGAAGAGTAGGATGGCGGCAGCTGCCCATGTTCCTCCTTTGCGATATCGTCCCATCGCTTCTGTCTCGGTGTTATATTTCTAGTGACGCCGCCAAAAGCGACGAATGACACTGATCACTTTCGGTGAAGGGGACTCCACAAGCGTCGCCGTTGACGTTGTCGTCTTTTGTTCTTTTGTTGGCTTTGTTGTAGTTTTGTTGTTGGGATCCGAGAGGTCCCCGGACCTGCCGATGCGGTAGACGGCCTGTCTGTATATGTTTGCGGGTTTGACGAGGAGGCAGGCAGGAGTGGCAGGGGTATGCCACCTCTACCACGGAAGGCGCTCGCTGCGTGACGTAAAGTTCGAGAGGCGCTAGAAGGCTTGAGGAGGACGGCGTGTGTGGATAGACAGAACAGAGCAGACACCTTCTCCGCGGCTCTCGTATCGTTGGTTGTGGTGGTAGATCTAGAGGGCGGTGGGAGGGAGAGTGGGTGGTGGCAGCTCTCTGAGAAGGGGGAGGGGGGAAACGAGTGAGGCTGGGGGGGGGGAGGGAAATAAAGCCACCCTACTTTCTGTCTCTCGCTTGTTTTCTCACTTCTCCCTCTGTCTCTCCCTCTGGGAACAAAATGGAAGGTCGGAGTGTGCGCGAGAGAGACACATCTCTGTCTTTCCCAGCGTACTAAGAATCAGTGACACCGGCGGTTTCTTTTCGAAGAGTGAGTGGGTGGGTGCGTGGGTGCGTGCGACAGCGGTTTGAGAAATGCATTTTGGACGGAGTGACTCCCCCGCCCGCCGCGTGTGTTTCTCGCGCGCGCTGTCAAATTCATCCCATCCTACATATATACTGAGATCTGCCAGTCTGATCCGGGCGGAGGCAATCAATTGCAACTCTGGCGCTGGGACGTGGTTTCGGATGGTATATGTACGTAGTGGGTGAATTGCGCAGTTGATGAAGTACTGCGCCACCCACCTTCTCGTCCTGACTGGAGTGAGAGAGCCGATGAGTCATGTGAGGGTGCTAAGCCACACTGCAAGCCACGCCCTCGCTCGCTCGCTCTCCCACTCACTCACTCTCCCACTCACTCACTCACTTTGCTCAGTCAGTCAACGACGGGGAGTTGAAGTGAAGTGAATTCTGAAGGGAGAGCGGCGAGACGAGAACAGCAGCAGCTTCCACCACCACCCACCACTCTCTCTCATCCACACTCTCATCTCCTCCCTCCTCACCCCTCCAACCTCCAGCTTACTCACGCCCTCTCCGTATTCCCTTAAAAATACCTCCACCACACCCCGTCACAATTCACTTCCACTCTCGACTCGCTGTTACTGTCTCACGTCGCACTCTCTCCGCCTCACCACTCACACAACCACTCCAACAACAACGACAGCAACTACTATCCTACTCGCCAGGACTCCCCGCCGCGAGGTTTGACTATAGACTTGCCAAGAATTACGCGATCTCGACAACTACAAGATCCAAGATGACTATCGCCGCGACTAAGAGTATAGAGAAGGAAGGGGAGACCAAAAAGGTCGTCAATGTCGATGAGAAGGTGACCATCAAGCTCACGCATCATGAGACCGTTACGTGAGTACTGAGGGAAGGAACGAGAAAGAGAAGAAAGGGTTGGCGACCGACGCGAGCAGGAAATGTCAGCAACAGCACAGCCGATTGGGTTGTCTCCAGCTGTGAGCTACCGCGAACGATCTGCTTGCTATGCAATCATCCACTGACATTCATCATCCTCTCCTCTCCTCTCCTCTCCTTTCTTCTCCTCTCAATCTTAGGCTTCCCGTGAAAGGCGAACGCAACGTCTTAATCACCTCCGCCCTCCCCTACGTCAACAACGTCCCCCATCTCGGAAACATCATCGGCTGCGTCCTCAGCGCCGACGTGTTTGCCAGGTGCGTCAAAGAAATCCCTCACCTCGTCATCAACCCCCCATCCTCTCCACCAACCTCATCACTCACATCCGTCCCTCCCCTCGCTCCCATTTCAGATACTCCCGCCTCCGTGGCTACAACACCCTCTACATCTCCGGCACCGACGAGTACGGCACCGCCACCGAGACGAAAGCACTCGAGGAAGGGATCACGTGCCAGGAACTGTGCGACAAGTACCATGCGGTGCATGCATCGACTTATGAGTGGTTTGGGCTGGATTTTGACCATTTTGGACGGACGAGTACCAAAAAGCATACTGAGTGAGTGAGGGGACTTGGAGCGAGCGGGGAGTGTGGGAAAGGGGGGGTGGATGGATACCTGGAGGGGTAATTCATCTTTGAATGCGTATACTCACTCTCTTGCGTTTCCTTTTGTAGGATCACGCAAGCGCTGTACAAGGAGATCGAGGCAGAGATGACCTTCACAAAGACCTTGACGCAGTTATACTGCGAGCACCACAAATCGTATGTTCCTCCCCTCACAATGCGTTGACTCCCTTGACCTTACTAATACACTCTTTCGTACAGCTTCCTCGCCGACCGCTTCGTCGAAGGCACCTGCCCCACATGCGCCTACCCCGACGCCCGCGGCGACCAATGCGACAACTGCGGCAAACTCCTCGACCCAACCGACCTCCTCCACCCGACCTGCAAGCTCGACAAGACCACCCCCGTCCTCCGCGAAACAGAACACATCTTCCTCGACCTCGGTAAATCCCAGCAGAAATTGGAAAAGTGGGTCGATGAGTGTAGCGTAAAGGGCGAGTGGAGTGCGAATACGTTGAATATCACGAAAGCGTGGTTGAAGGAGGGACTGAGGGAACGGTGTATCACACGGGATTTGAAGTGGGGGGTGCCGGTGCCCAAGGAGAGGTTCAGGGAGAAGGTTTTCTATGTTTGGTTTGAGGCTTGTATCGGGTGAGTATGCATTATATCACCCCTCCCACATTTCCGCCTCTCATCTATCTCTTTGTGTTTGTCTGCTGATTACTAACGTATTGCTCCTTCCTTCCTCCCCCTGTGATATCCCTAGGTATCCATCGATCACGGCGAATTTCACGGACGACTGGGAGAAATGGTGGAAGAACCCGGCCGAGGTGCAGCTATTCCAGTTCATGGGCAAGGACAATGTGCCGTTCCATACGGTTGTGTTTCCGTCTACGTTGCTGAATGCGAAGGAGGAGTGGACTTTGCTGCATCATGTTAGCACTACTGGTGGGTTTCGAAATCGGGTCGTCCATTTGCGTTGAATGGGGCGGGAGTGTGCGCGTAGACGGGGTCTATCGACGTTTACAATTGAGGCGTTGGCGTTATTGAATACTGAGCAACGTTCTCTCTATATGTTTAGAATATCTCCAATACGAATCCGGCAAATTCTCCAAATCCCGCTCCGTCGGGGTCTTTGGCAACCACGTCCGCTCCCTCCCCTTACCGCCAGCCGTCTGGCGCTACTACCTCCTCGCTAACCGCCCGGAATCCTCCGACTCGCAGTTCACGTGGGCCGGCTTTGTCGCCGCGAATAATAACGAGCTGTTGGCGAATTTGGGCAATTTCGTCAATCGGGTCGTTAAGTTTGTGGGGGCCAAATATGGAGGGGTTGTACCTGGGGCGACGTTACCGGATTTGAATGAGGTTGGGCTTGGGGAGACGGCCAAGACGGATTTCCCCACCCCGGAACACAAACTCCTCCACGAAGTCAACACCCTCCTCACCCAATACATCACAACCCTCGAATCCGTCAAACTCCGCCACGCCCTCAAGTTGGCCATGGACATCTCCGCCCGGGGCAACGCCTATCTCCAAGACAACAAACTGGACAACAAACTCTTCTCCGACAACCGGTCCCGATGCGACACGGTCGTCGCCACCGCCCTGAACCTTGCCTACCTCCTCTCTGCCCTCATCGCCCCCTACATGCCGGGAACCGCCACCCAGATCGAAGAGATGCTGAATGTACCCGTGAGACGGATCACGGACACGTGGACGGGCGGGGATATACGCGAGGGCCACCTTGTCGGCAAAGCGACGTATCTGTTTACGCTGATCAAGCCGGAGATGGTGGATATCTGGCGGGCCAAGTACGGCGGCTCCCAAGCCGCGTCTGACGCACCCCCCGAGGAATCGAAGACGTCGAAACGGAAGGCGGCGAAAGCGGCGGCGGCGGCGGCCAAGACTGCTACCGCCGCTGCGATCACATTGCCGGAGGGGTTTGTCAAAAGCAGGGAATTGGAGGAGTTGGAGAAACGGCAGAGTGAGGTCGGCGAAAAGGTTAGGACGGCGAAGAAGGACGGGAACGCTGGGGTTGTGGCCGACGCGCTCAAGGAGTTGGTGGCGTTGAAGGAGAGTGTGAGGGAGGTGCTGACCAAGGAAGTGGAGGCGTGGAAGGCGGCGAATGCGCCTGTGAGTTCGTCGTGATTCCCCCCCTCTCTTGGCCGTACTATTCACATCACTCCTTACCGATCACTGCGGACACCACTCTCTTTAACCGCCCAATGGGATTTTGTGTCGATTTGGGATTGGAGGTTGAACTTTATGCATATACACACCACATATCGTATTCCCGCTGTCCTTTTCGTAGATTTTTTTTTTCTTTTCTTTTGTTTTTCTTTCTCTCTTTTTCCCGTTCTGTCCTTTGCGTAGAGTATACACCCCGCAAATATGCATCCTTGCGTTTTGTTCCGTTACATCGGTGCAATCGATGAACCAGTGTGTGCGCGCGGGGATTCCAAAGGACCCAGGGGTTTTTGCAGTGACCAGAGAGAGAGACACACGGATCAGCAGAAAATCGCTTTCACACATCCCAGTTCGTGCACAAAAAAAAGTGGAGGCCTCTGAGAAACGGTGGGTCGGGATTCGTTTTGTCATGGCGGCTGGGACTTCTCCGACGCGCTGTCAGATGCCGTCAGAAGTGAGGACAAGCAATCGCTTGGCCACTGCACCACCCGCATATCCTCAACATGCCCTTACAATTCATATGTACATGCTGGGATGCCAAGTGAGGTCGAGGGGGACGGGGTGAGGGGAGAGACACCTCGGTTCAATGCTGCTCCACTCTTACTCTGTTACGGCAACCCGCGAAGAGGAGAGGGAATTCTTCTTGACGTTCCGGTCTGTACAAATCAAAAGCAAAACCACCCACCGCCGAGACCCTCTCGCTGCCAGTCATCATCTTCCATCAAACACATCACATCAGGCGAATCTCCATAACTGGACGGTTCACGAATCGCCTAGCATCTTGAGTGTATCAGAGAACCATACCAGTCATGTCAGCGTTATCCGACACTTGGCCGGACAGGGTAAGAACCCCCAAAGTTCTCACACTTCGCAACGGAAGAAAAAGGTTCACACCCAGCTTTATACATCACAGGTGGACAGCTCAATGCGAATCGACTTTCAGAACGGCGCACTCGTCGCCGTCAGCCCCGCAATCGACCGTTCCGCGCGGCTGGACTGGCGACCCTCTCCACACGCGAGTTTGACGCGAACGCCCATACCCAAAGTCCCGCGCGCGTGGCTGCGACGGCGCGAGGAGCGGGACGGGTGCGAGGGGCACCACATCACGCTTCTCCACGGGACGGAAGTCCAGGGGGTGAGCAGCATCCTCCACGCGCACGACCAGTTCGCGGACGTGGGAGAGTCGTGGATCGACGTCGGGTTGGGGTACCGGCGGGACGGGACCGCGGACGGGGTGTTCAAGGCCGTGCATTGGCCAGCCGCCACCGCCGTGCGGGAACCGCTGGGCTTGGAAAGGAAACAGGTCCATGTCGCGGTGGGGTTCAGCGAGGCGGATGTGCATGCGGGGGACAAGGGGCTGGACTCGCTGTGGGTGGGCGGGGATGCGCGTACCGCTTTGCAGGGATCCCTGCACCCGCCGTCGGGTGATGTGGGAGTGGGGCGAGCAAAACGGACTGCCGAGGCGGCTTGCGTCGCGGCTCGCGCGGCCCTCCGGAACCCCGTTGATGAAGCGCGTATGACGGAGGCGCTACATCTCTGCACGATCGCGTTGATACCCCCCACGCTCCCCACCCCCGACCGGGTCTCTCTCCTCGACCTCATCAGCGCGCTGTCTCTCAAATCCGGACGATACCAGCAGGCGCTGGAAGCCGCGGAGGCCATGATGCGTGTGTGCGCGGAAGAGCAACGGGAGAACTCACATACCGACTTCCGCGCATTCATCCGCGTCGCCGACGCACACGTGAAATTGTGTGCGTGGGCCGCGGCGTGTATGGCGTATTGGAGGGCGTTTTTCGCCGTACGGAGAGATGGGGCGGATACGAAAACGCGCAACGATGTGCTGGTGTATATTCGCAAGGCTCTGACACGGTGCGCCGGACACCAGTACCTGTATCTGCACGTGCGGGACGAGGGTGCAGGTGACACGGCGTTATGGAGCGGGCTTTCGGGTGAGGAGAAGCGAGCTTATTATACTCTCTGCCGCGGGATCGTGTCTGCCATGGCGGGCGAGAAGTGCGACGGCAACAGCCTGCCTCCCGCCATCTCCAAAACACGGCAGTTTGTATGCAGCAGCGACGATGATGGCCGCTGGCACAAGTTGCCCAGGAATTTTAGTTGGATTGTCCCCTTCCGGTTGGCGGTCATGTCTACGCCACGAGATGCGGGGGACGTTGCGGCGTTGAAGCAAATGGGGATCACGTTGGTGGTCACCGCCACGAAGGAGACGCCCTTGTCTGCGACCTGGTTCACGAATGGGATCGACAACGTCTTTCTCCCCGTCGAAAACCTGCAAGCGCCGACTATCGCCCAAGTGGAACATTTCATGCGACTATGCAATCAACACCTACATTCAGCAGCGAACGACACCGACACCCTCCTCCCCGCCGTGTTGGTACACTGTGGAGGCGGGGTAGGCCGCGCGGGCACGTTTGCGGCGTGCTATCTCGCCCGGTTCGGGTGCGCGGTGCTTCCGCCGTTGTGTGCGGCGTGCCGTGCCGCGGTTGTGGATTGCACCGCTGTGGAATGCGTCGGGGGAAGTTGTGCGAACGCGACGCCGCCGGCGATGTCGGCTGCAGATGCGATTGAAGTACTGCGGGCGACGAGGCCGGGGAGTCTTGAGACGAGGGTGCAGGAGGTGTTTGTGCGCACGTACGTCGATCACTGCTGGAAACGGTATAGCGGCGGTGGGGATGGCGATGCGGGGGGAAACGGAGACGGTGCCGACTCTATGTTTGGGTTGGACGCTGGAGAAAACGAAAATATGGATATCCCGTCGACCGGCATCCTCGCCACTGGCCAACCCCCACCTCATCCAAACGTGCTCATCCTCGTCGGCCTCCCGGGGTCGGGGAAATCGACCTTCTGCGCCCGCCTAGGCTGCATCTCGCCCGATGACTCCACGCTCATAACCGCCAACACATATGTCCGAATCTCTCAAGACGACATCGGTAGCCGACGCGCCTGCGAGTCGCTCATCGCCACCATCATCAAACGCGGCGGCCGCGTCGTTCTCGACCGATGCAATACGCGCGCCGCCGACCGCATGCAGTGGTTGGAGCTCGCGTTTGGGCCGCGGGATGCTGTTGCGGTGCATTTTACGGCGGGCGTGGAGGTTTGTGTGAAGAGGGTGTGTGCGCGACAGGGCCATCCGACATTGGGCGGGGAGAAGGGGAAGGTGGAGAGGGTTGTGAGGGGTTTTGAGAGGGACCTGGAGGCGCCAACAGTAAAGGAGGGCTTTGTGGGGGTTTGGAGTGTGGCGTCGATGGGGGATGTTGAGGCGCTTGCTGAGAGGATTTGCGGTGCAAACAAGCGAGGACGGACAAAACCGGCGACCGGTCCGATAGGGACGATGACTGCGACGGCAACGGAGATGGTCATCGGACCATCTTTATTCTCCTCCACGGAGGGTGCCAAGAGGCTGACAGGGTTCTACAAGTTTCCGCGCACCCCCCACCTCTTCAACAGCGGCGGCTGCTCCGTGTCCGCTGACGACATCGTGCTCAGCGACTCCCACGGCCTGGACATGCTTTTATCCCGTCACGGCCCGACTTCGAAAACCATTACAATCGAAGAAAAAATCGATGGCGCGAACCTCGGCATCACCCTCGGCCCGCGCTCCACGCTCCTCGCGCAGAACCGCTCACACTACGTCAACCGTAAATCCCATCCCCAGTTCGAGACGATCAACCATTGGCTTCATCAGCATAGTCGCCGCCTGCGCCGTGTGCTCGGTGATGTGCCCGGGGCTTATGTCCTGTATGGAGAATGGATGGTGGCCAAGCATTCAATCTTCTACGACCGGCTGCCGGACAAGTTCATTGCATTCGATATCCTCGACGTGCAAAAAGGAAGCTTCCTGTCCCGCGCGAGCTTCCATGAAGCCATCGCGAACGCCAACGACGCCGCTGACATTGGTTTGGACGACGAACCGCCCCTGCATGTCGTGCCCACTGTGGACCCGGCGCTGTTTCTCCCGCTGACAACGAAACAGGAATGGATAGACAGGCTTGACGCCTTGCCGTCGCGGTATGCCACCGCGCAACGGGCCGAGGGGATTTATATCCGCGTTGATGATGGCGATTGGCTCAAGGAGAGGGTCAAGCTTGTCAGGGGGGACTTTATATGCGGGAATGAGCATTGGACGAAACACACGGTGGTGAAGAATGTGGTTTTGCGATGATCACGGCCTTCTCTTCCCCTCTTGCCCCCTCTCTCTCCCTCCCAGCTACCCATGTACAGTACAATGATAGACGGCCATTTTTTTGGATGAATGTTAGTCGTTTTGGGGACGGATATGGCAATCTATGCGGCGTACGAGTATGCTTTTCTGCTTTCTTCTTCTCCGAATCCCCCTCCACATGTATTATGTCTGTGTATAAAATAACATTGGCGGGTGAAAGCCCTCGAAAGGCTACCACATGTGTCCGGTCTGTCCCGTTTCGTCTCCTTAGTTTTGTCACGTCGGTCTCTACGTTCCTCATCCCCGACCCAAATTCTGTCCATCCCAACCATCCTACAGCCATCTTACCAACCACCCCAAGCAACAATGCTCACCCGCACACCCACCATCGTCCCCCTCACCCACGCCGACGTAACCGCGCTCAAGGCTCATCTCGCGGAATCGGCCCCGAAAAGCACCACCTCTCATAACAATCACGGCACAACCACAACCACTCCCGGCTCGAATGACACACCCTTGACACGAATGCATCACTCTGGACCAGAGACGGGTGATGGGGCGCAGAGTATCGGGATGCGGATACGCGAGCGGAGGACCATTGCGGAGAGGATCATGGGCGTTTAAGCGGTTCGGGACACACTTTTGGACTCCTGCTGCTACATGTACTGTATACGCTGCGTGTATGTCAAGATCGGGATTTACTCAGGGATTTACTGCACGATGAAGGCGGGGATTGGTTTGATACACGACATAGCACCCGAAACGCACACACGGGTTTCTTTTCGCCAAGCATTCCTGTATTGGATCTGGCGCTGTAGGCCGTCCCATCCATGCCCGCGGCGCTCAAGTGCTGCCCTCCCGCGGGAGGAGCATTTCGACAGAAAAATATAACTAGAGGCAGTTCAAAGCGGATCTGAGTGGATACCTGACCGGGCTCGGGCACGAACTCGCGGGAATGTGTATATATTCAATGGCACTCGTTAGCGGTTTGCGGTGGGAATAAAACATTGTCTGACCATACATGCTTGCGCCTGACGGACTGAGTGGTGTAGCTTGTGCTTTTACGGGGGGACGCTGGGATGTAGTTTAGCGGGAGGGTGGATAGGGATGGTTTGAAGAACCCATTCCTCCTCCACGACTACACTTGTGTGAAATGCGGCTTTCTGGCAGGAAACTTGCCCCACTCTGTTCATACTAGCCTCGCGACCGCTCACACTACCCCCAAGATCAAAACGAATAAAGCACAGAAGAAGCACAAAATGCATCATGGTAATATGAAAAGGAGGCCAAAGACCGCACGGTATATTCCAAGTTCCAAAAAAATAAAAAAATAAGAAGACGACGCAAACAAGAAGCAGAACGAAGAAATGATATGATCACCAGACGCAAGCAAGAAGCAAAACGAACGATCAGAACTCATTGCGAATGCCCAATGATGACAGGCCAAACGCAAACCCCGCGCCTGAGATGGCGCTGGTGGTGGGTATTTCAACGAAGGCGCCGAAGGTGAATGCGCTTGCGGCGGGTGTCCATGAGGATGAAGGCGCAGCAATGGTAGTGGTGATGGCCGATGGTGCGGGTGGTAATTCTGTGGCCCGAGAAGGGCACAGTCCTGGTTGGCCTAGCCACTCGTCCCAGTCGTCCGCCCAGGATTCGATAACGGGGGTATAGAGGGGCAGAAGAACTTTCGGGGGCCGCTCCTGTTCGGAAGCCGGCGCCAGGATCGGGTCCGACGACAAGCTCCGAAAGGCGGTGAACCCCAGCCTCGGCGTCTGAGATGATTCCACGGCGCCCCGTTTCAGCGTCACCGGCGGGACGGCCTGGTCCACCCAGTCGAATGGCCTCGGTTGCGCAGCCGGAGGCATCACCTTTCTGGAAAGCGGAGGCGACGGCACCGGCGACGGCACTGGCGATGAGCAAAGGCCTACTTCTGGACCCCTTCGAAGCTTGATGGTATAATTCCGCCCGTAGTTATTGTCCCACTCGGTTGATCCCGCGACTTCATACCGCACCGCGAACGCCACGGTCGCGTCTAGGGTCTTGGGACCAAACTCCCTGCCCAAGTCGAGCATGAAACGGAAGCGGTCGACGCCGACGAACCCGGGAGTGCTGAACGATACTGCCGTCGCGAACGTCGCGTCGACGTCGGCTGATGTCCGCCAGTTATCGATACTGTAGTGAATCGTGACGCATTTCTGGAACGCGTAGTTCCTCACCAGGACTTCTCCCGAGAGGGTAGAGTCCTCATCTCTCTCTACCCACACCCGGTCAACCGCCACAGCCCGATTTTCAAAGCGAAGATTGGCGGGGAGGGTTGACTCCTCGATTCGCCAAGTCTGCAAAGCACGCAGCGCGGCGCCGGCGGTCGGCCAGGTCAGATCCCCAGTGTCTCTAATCGTATATGTTGCGGCTTGGGGAATTGCCGTCACTAGACAGCCGCGCACGAACCGGCATCCCGATTCAAGAGTTTGACTAAACCGGAGTTTCTTCTTGGCCGATCGTGGGGCGGGGATCCGCGATCGCAGGCAGGAGCGTAGGGCTAGCGTCTTGTCTACTTTTGCAGGGGCGATGACGGCTGGTCCTTGGAGCTCTTGCGAGGCTGCAGCTCCGAGCGGATGGCGGATCGGAATTGGTGAAGGTGGCAGCTCCATTGTGCTGGTGCGGTTCTGGTGATGGGATATCGTCCTTTTGCTTCACACACAGGGCGGTATGGTTGGCGAAGATGATGTGCAATAGGTGGGTGTGTGTGTCCGGACGATGGTTCAGAGGTCCACGTCCGAGGAGGATGAGCGGCTAGGGGGTATTTATGCTTGTTTGGCGAGAAGGCTGGGTATGCGCTATGCGATGCGGCGGCCGTCGAGCCGTAAACACTTCACAAAGTAGTGAATGACGCGATGATTGTTCCAATCGTAGGGCAGATGACACCTTGCAGCTTGCACGGAATAAGCGTATTCAAAGCAGGTGATGCCTATGGGCTCCTTGTGTCTGCGTCGAGTCTCAAGATGTCTGCAGAACAACCTACGATTGGGGAAGAGAGAGACGCGGGAGGAATGGCTCAGTTAATGGCTGGGGTGGGAGAAAGGGGTCATCGGATCGGAGGGTCCGTAAAGACGGGGAAATGCATAAGGGGGAGAGAATCGAGGGGTACGAGGAGCAGGCCACGCGCACACCAGCGTAAACAATGCGGGAATACCGCCAGCGCATAACGGGCATAGTGCCGAGACAGGGCGTAAACAAAGGCATCAACGCGAGATGAAGCGAGGCCAGCTGCCCTTACTGTGTTCCACATACACTCAACTCTAACTCTAACTCGAGGCGGAGTAACGTGGCTTACCTTGGATGATCTACTGTCACCCACTCCCGAAACCCGTCGCTAGAGTTGACGACAGGTCTTTACCTCAGACGGCCTTCTAGAATGTAAAGCGTCAATTGTCCGTATCGAGAGCGGCGGGGGAATTAGGTGCAACGCTTAAGTAGCAGGCCAGAGAGCTGTAGAATGGACCCTGGGAGCGTCAATCTGGTGTAGATCGATTGTGCGAAGGAGTGTCGAGGCTTCCATGCGCTGTAGATATGTGTGCTGGTGTTCAACACCCTAGGGATGGACGGTTTGACCGTTCTCGCGAAGCGGAAAGTACAGAAAACCTGGACTCAGCAACGCCCCACGGTCACTATATCTATCTTCAGGCTATCATGGAAGAAGCGGTCCGAGGAGCAAGAAAAATGTATCGATGGATAGATAGTCTCATATGCTGCCGAAAACGGTTTGACAAGCTTTGTGCTGATCTTCGTTGATTTGTGATGTGTTTTCGGAGGGTGGCGTGGGGTGAGACTCCGTGCGAGGAGTTGGGACGAGGCCTGTGTGCAGGGGCGGGTGAGGGCCATTTGTCCTCCCGACCCATTGCTGGCATTTCCCGGTTCAAACTTCAGGCTGGAATCTGGAATACTGCGAGCAAGTAAAAAAAGGAAGGAAAACGGAGTAGTGGTGTTGTACGGAGGTGATGGCTATCTGTGCTGCGCGTGGACGTTGGCCACAGAAACACAGATTGCGAATCAAACTCCGCCCGTCACCTCCGTGCATGCAGATGCGAAATCACTGCAGCGCACCGCTGTCGCAGACTCGCAGTCCGCGGCCCTAGGGATTCTGGATCGGGGGCGGTCCAAGGCTAGGGCGGTCCAAACCTCCAGAAAGCCTCGCTTAATTTCTCACATCGATATCGACACAGTACTATCCCTAATGTCAGCTCCGTCACAGAATTGCAAAATGAGGGCCGGGGGCGGATATGCAAGTTGGTTCATTATTTATCGTCGTCGCTCCATCTCCGATACTCAATGCTGAAACCACCCTCAGCCTCAGCCCGAGAACAGATTGCCAGGGGCCAATGGACAATCTTCGACTGATCGTCCAAAAGATAAAATGAGACTGCGCTCCCAAAAACGCCAACTTTTTTTCTCTCGTCCACAGCGATGCATCTTAGATACTGTAAGATATCTCTCCCTACATTACAGTAGGGGTTCAGCCTGTTAACTTTGAGCTTTATTACTTCACATAAATGGCATGGACGGAAGTCCCGCTGGTTTCTCTCTCAAGGTGAGTCTTCTTGGGTTCATGTTGCGCCCGCAACATACTTCCCCATGTGGACCCTGATGTCGGTTTTTAGCTCGGCCTTTTCGTCGAAGAAGAGCGGAGACATGATCCTCTAATCCTGTCCGTCTCTGAGCCGACGGTGCTGCCGCCTTGACATACCCCGACTTCTGAGCACGCGAATCGTACTATATCGGGCTGTTTCTTCATGACGAAGGTACGGTTGCGGATGAAATGTGATATCTATTTGGATTTACGAACATGGCGTTCCTTTGTCACGGACACCGAAGTGATAACAATGTCTGGCTCAGACTCCCGGCACCGGCTCCCCGCTACACATGGACCCACACCACAACCTCTTTGTGCAAATCGTAGGCCACAAACGCATCCCAATTTGACAGTCCGAGCTTGCGGTCGACTGTTAAGTCGCGTCGCGCGTCACTGTCGGAGTTGGACTCGCTCATTGGACTTGGCCGATGTTTGCTCTTCCCCATCGCATAAATATAGCTATCCTCGGACTCTCGCCCCCGAAACACGAGATAAAGACAAGGGGAGAGAACATATTCGGAGTGCTTCCGCCTATCGCGTTACAACGTGTGTACTGTACATGTACAGTTGGCGATAAGTACGCGGACTCCACAGTCATCCATACATTTGCGCGGTGACATGGCACACCAGCTTGTTTTGGCCATGAAGCTGAGACTGCTGTGCGAGCGGTTCGAGCGATGCAAATGCGATCGGCACACTGAAGATGTTTACTTGGCGGAGGCAGAAGTTTCGACGCTGCGAGCATGCTCGACCGTGCTGGCACAGTGTCAATATATGGGGGATGCACAGCTCGACCAGATATGGTATATAGCCGGCCTGTCGGACTTCGACCGGCTGGGATGGTATAGATCCGATGACCCATATCCGTGGCTCGCCCAGGATGGGCGTCGACACACTCTCGAGTCACTTAGCCGAGTGCTGGACGAGATTAGCAGCAACGGGAACCGGCTGCTAGATTGGTCAGACCACGACCGGCTAAAGGGGATCACGGCGCTATTGTCCTCGCTGGCCATTTCTGGCAGTTCCGGATTCAATGGGGTGCTCCTAGACGACCTGGTCATCGCGTCGAGTCTGACGGCGTTCATGTGCGGCGCTTTGTGTGACGGGCGATCCCGTAACAGCACTGTGCAGCAGATGGCCTGTGCGGCCAGATGACGTGGGACAGGGCCTTCTTACATTGAGGCAATGGCATGAGATGGATCGTTTCGGGAATGAGTTTGCACATACGGTCCTTGCCCAGCTCCGACACTTCATCGATACAGAGCTATCATTAGAAGACAGCCGCGCCTGGGTTCCCGTAAAAGGCGCCCAAGCCTCGCTCCGCGACAAATTGGGTCAGGCGTGCTGGACCACTTGTGGCGGCAGCTCGGAGGGAAGATTTATAGCCTCTTTGATGTGCGACTCGATCGCAATGGCATTGCTTGACCGCCAGTCCAGCACAAACGTTTACGAATGAATAGACTGCACCTCGCTCCTGGGGAGGGGCAAAGGTCAAGCTCCGGCAACGAATACAACGACGCGGACGAAGACTGGCAAACGACCACTTCAACGTCATTGCCAATTCATAAACGGTGTTACGTCAAGGCCGAACCGTTGTTATGAACGGACGTTCAACCGCTTACAGCAGGCACCCCATGTCGATGGCGCCGACAGGACCTTCCGCAAAAGGTCGCATTGGATTGGGTGGCGCCATGGGCGGCAGCGGGTTGGGTGTGGAAGGGAGGTTCTTTTCTCCTTCATTCACTCACCATGCCACGGTCTTTAGGTAAATTCGTCGACAATCTGGACCGCATCGTTGACCGTGTCTGAACGAGGTTTCCAGATTGAGGAACCAAGATGAAAAGCTGATTTTGATTGTTCCGGAATGGTCACCGTTTGGCCTAGAATTTCATACTTCGGAAGGACAAGTTGTATCATTGAAGTGTAAACATTGGACATATACGACGGAGATAAGGTCAAGATCGTATATGTTGCTGGTAGCGCAAGCGTTCCGGCCCTCTCATGCCGCCTCCCGGCCTTTGTGGCGTGCTTCTTCAAGACTACACGGAATCTAGTTATGATCAACCAAGATTGTGATCGCCGCTGAGCTGTCCGTCGTTGGGAATCGCGACGGCGGCAGCACTCGTCCTTGCGGGACTCTTCCGTGCTGGCCTGGGAAGTCGACACTGTATAACTTTTGGCGGCATCTGGCCTTCCTGGGCCACGCGCGAAAGTTCAACTAGTAGGGCTGAGCACCTGTCTCCGAGGACCTCTTGGAAATCGGCGAATGCTCCCCCCGCTGCTGTCCGAAACCATGGAATGCACATGAAGCACTACGCCCGCTGTTGGTGGTTCCAGTCCTGCACTCTGACGGTGGCCGCGAAAGCAACATTCCCATCTCGTCAAATTCAATATCCTCGTCACTCCAATGCTAGTCCCTCAAGGTGAGCATGCTGCCAATAGTCGTATCAAAGGCGGCTATGTATAGGGCACGTCTCGGTCAAAGCGATGAGAGACGTCACGTGACAGCATGTGAGCGGCCTGCTGACAGGATGGATGACATCAGAGGCATCGGGCTGAAATGCAGTACTGTCAGTGTCGCTTCCCTCTTTCGTTTTCCCTCTTTCGTTTTCTTACAAAAACACAGCGCTCCCGTCCCGTCCTTGTCCACCCACCTGCCACCCTCTAACTTCACCCTCTACAGATATACCTAACACCACACAAACCCCCACCAACTCACTCACTCACACCAAGGAACGCAAGTCGGGAACAAAACGCCTAATATGCCATCTATCACAACGCCTCTCGTCCGGCCCGGCCGCCCTTCTTCACCACCCCTCCTCCGCACCTGCTGCTGCGGTGTGTTTTCGTTGAGGATGGGGACTGTTCTGATTGCGGCGTCTTCTTTGGTATGTACGAGCGCTGTACAGGGAAACATCAACCTTTCTCTATGCTGTATATGAACCGGCGAAACGGGGACCGATGTATCTCGTATCGTTCGACCGGGGGAAACAAGGACTAATACAGTTCTTCGACAACCCCCACACAGCTCTTTTCAATCATCTCCCTCCTCTACCTCTCCAACATCCTCCGCCTCCCCCCCACCTTCACACCACCACCCTCCTCTCCCACCAACCCACCCTCGCCCACCCCCCCACCAGGCCTTCCCATTCCCCTCCCCGTCCTCACCGCCCAAGACCTCACCCTAACCCTCACCACCCTCGCCATGTCCGCCCTCGGCCTCCACGCCGCACTCACAAACAACGTGAGGAGAGTCAAGGTGTATGCGTGGTATACGGCAGTGAAGGTGGGCTATACGGCGGTGCTTGCTGTGTACGCGCTGGTTGTCGCGTCCCGAGAGTGTGTTGATCGTGATATGACGGCGGGGTATGATGTGGATGTGGGAGATGATGGGAAGGGTGATACACCGACAGCCCGCGTCAGCTGCGCGACGTTGATCTGGGCCATGTCGACCGGTTTATTGATTTCGACGGCGTGGAGTGTGTATTTTGCGGTTTGTGTGTGGAGTTACTATGTCGATTTGAGGAGTAACCCACTGGAGTATCATGGAGTGGATGGGTATGTGGCTGTTGCGGGGGATGTTGGGGGTGGGGAGGTGGTGGAGGAGGAAAGTGGCAGTGGGAGTGGGAGTGAAGGGACGGCGGCGGAGGATTTGGAGGCTGCTGCTGGAGCGGGGAAGAGGGTTGGGAGGGGTTGAAGAGGTGGTGAAATCCTGGGATAGGGAATTAGCGGACGGAAGAGATTAACGGTGCTGGACTCGAGGCGTGACATCACCCCTCCTTAGCGACACGACACTGCCGTCGCATCGCCGGTCAACACACATCTGAAGTCGGCGAAGACCGGCACATCCGCACCACGTTGATGATAGATGTTTGCGATCTCGACAAAACGAACCCCGAACTTTGAATCGGCGTATAATATCCCCTCTCACTCCTAGTACCAACTCATCGGTCATCTCGCACCGTGTATCCCGATCCCATGTGTATATATTAGTCCCCTTTTGTATGTGTAAATGTCATAAATGCGTGCGCATCTCATTGATTTCTTGCGGCGACCCCTCGCTCATTCATATGCGCACATGCGTAGATTTGTATGATGGTGTTTTCGATGAGGTCGAAGAGGGATGCATGTGCCCGCCCACAGGTCCCTCTCTGCTCCTTCTCCGTCTTTGTATGTGTGAGGGTTGAGGCATGGTTGCGTATGGGCCGTCGCACTGTTCCGCTATGGAGGGGGGATTGTGCGAAGTTGCAAAGGAACGCGCTCAGCAGAAAGACTTCGACGAAGCGCTTCAAATCCACACTCCCTGCATCCTGCCAGACAGCACACTGCACACAACCTCCAACAAAGGGACCCCCTCCCCCTCCCCTACCCACACCTCGCCCCCCCCACCTCACCACCCCGCTGCCCTCCCTCTCGCCCCCCCCACTCATTCACAAATGTCATCAGGCTTCGGCACCTCAGGCGGGCGCGGCCGCTGCTTCCCCTTCTGGCAAGAGTTCGCGCGCTGCTACGTGCAGGCCGACACCGACCCCAAGACCGAGTGCAGGAAGGGGTTTGAGGACTACCAGGAGTGTTTGTACCATCGGAAGGAGGTGCGTCTTGCAAAATTCAGGAGGCGGACGGGATGTGGAAAGTCTGGGGGACGGGGTGGATGAGCAGAGGGGCGGATTCACTTGAATGAATGAAGGCACATTTGGGACAGTGGGCGGGATGAAGGTTCGGCAGCGATACTCCCCTTGCTTTCTTGGATTCAGTTTGGAAGCGGCAGGGAAACGGCGCTCAGATGGGTGCCTCACTTGCCTGGTCCATTGCACGTTCCCACGATGACAACCGACCCCATTTTTCACATGCCTAGCACTTTCCACTCCCACATCATTAAATCCTTTCCTCATTCCATTCAGCTTCTACGAATGACCCTCGTCCAAGAAGAGTACATCAAGACCCGGCAGAGCGAGGAGCAGCAGAAGGCGGCTGCCGCAGCAGGGGCGGGGAAGGCTTAGACATGTGGATATCGTCCGAAGGCGGAGGGTGCGAGTGGGATGTGCGTAAGGAGATGTATGAAGAAACGAGATGGAGAGTTGGGATGGGATGCGGAGTGAGGAACGGTGGTGTATGGAGTGGAGACTAGCAACATTACCGCTCGACATAACCCCGGACTACGAAATTTCGAAATATCACCCGACTATCACATCAACATCAAGATCACCCCAGAACCACTCCCACCACCACCAACTCCATAGCCTCGATACATACGGACAATTCAAACCATTCATCGCCGATGCGGAAAGGGAGAGACGGGATGTATATGATGCTCCCAGCGAAAGGATCTCCCTTTTTTCTTCCGTTCAAGACCCCTTCCCGACGCCCTGCATCGAGCATGCCATCCGCAACCACTCCCTGTATGGTGGCGACGACCCCCCCCCCCCCCCATAAAATATTAAAATACATATCTTGTTGTGTTTTCCAAAAACCCCTTCCTGTCTAGTCTCGGCGGTATATATATATGCGAACGAGGTAAAACGCTCCCCTGCATCGCACCTACTTACTGCCGGGGGCATCCCCCCCTTGTCCTCCTTCCATCGGCAGCGGTGAAGGTGCATGGTCTGGGTGAAGCAAGTGTGTACGATAGATCAGATAGTTGAGATGTCAGGCCAGATGTCGGGCCGAAGAGGGGGTCACGTGACAGTTTTATGGACTTCCAACCGGCTCTCCCCAACATCCCTTCAAGGTATGGAACTCGGGCAATAATTCCCAGGGCGTCCATCACAACAACAGCAAATGTCAGCAATCACACTCACCGCATCCCGCATAGGGTCATGCAGTTGTCTGTCATCCGCCGCCCCGCGGGTGTCGATCTCGATCTCGGGCGGCCGGCATGTGTCACCACCACGGCCGGCACGAGGATGGGCGAGAGGGATGGCGGCGAAGACCGCGGTGAAGACTGAGCCGAAGGGGGATGGTAAGTGTTTCTGTTTGCGAGGATGTGGTTGCGGAGGGGTGGAGAGAAGATGGGGGAGGGGGACGAGAGGGATTTGGGGGAGGGGGAGGGGAGGCTTGATGGGAGACTTTGAGGAAAAAGGAGGGATTGAACGAGGGATCTGTGTGTTGCGGCGGGGGTTGTTGGTGGCGAGCTAGCTGTGTACAGAAAGACGAAGGCCCGCAAGGTGTCTGGAGCAAGGCGCCTGGGATGATGCGTATACCGCCCGCACGGAAAAAGATCTCGCTTCCAGACCTCCCCAACCAACCCTTCACCGTCTCATCCCCAGCAGGCGACGACTCCGCCGGACCCCTTCCGCCCTTCTACCCCCGCCCACCCACCGGCCCCCTCCCAAACCTCTCCGGCCTCTCACCTTCCGCGCTCCAAATCCCTTATGACCCACGCGGCCACAAACACGGCGCCCGCCTCCTCCGCTCCATCGACGTGGACCTGCGCTCCCGGCTCGATTCCACCGATCCCTCCGCTATCACCCCTCAAACATCAACATCCAACACCTCTGCTACTTCAGCAGCACCCAACCGCGCCGCCCTCTTCCTAACCCCAAACGGCCCACACGCAGTCGTCCCCGGCTCCATCCTCCTCATCGAAAACGTCACCTCGCGCACCCGCCCACGCACCCAAATCGTCGCAGGCGTGCTCATCGCCATCCGCCGCAAAGGCGTGCTCTCCAACATCGTCGTGCGCAACTACGTCCTCGGGACCGGGTTCGAGATGACGTTTCCGATCTTCTCGCCGAATGTCAGGCGGATCAAGGTGCTGAAGAGGGTTGAGGAGGGTGACGGGAAGGGGAAAGCGGGCAGGAAGGGGGATACGTTCTTTGAGATCCGGGAGAACCCGCAGCTGGCCCCGACGGCGTTTGGCAAGATTGATGAGATGGTGATCAGGGATCGCGAGGCGGAGCGCAGGGCGAGGGTCATGTCTACGAGGCGGTAGTGGACGAACATCGTGGGGAGTGTTCCCGGGCTTCATTGGTGAATAGATTATATATATATGGGAAGGAGAGTTTGAAACTTGGTGTGTTGTGCGTGGAAACGAGCGTCGTATCTTCCCAATGGAAACGTTACCCCGTCGCGCACGAACGGCAGGCATTTGATAAACCATCATATGTACAGTACGTATTTATGGAGCGTGGGGGTATAATAATACCAACCAACCAGCTCGCTGTTCCGTTGGAGGGGTGTCATCCGCGTATACCTGCATGGTGTCGGTCTCCTTGGGGGTGAAGGTGGGGGTGAAACTGTGTCGGGAATTCTGTGGGTGTCCCTCAATTCGAGAATTGGCCGAAAGCACCAGCCGGCCAACGGGAAAGCAAAATCCTCTCTCCCGATACCACGACCCCACTGGCCTCGGGCATTTGCGTTATCTCGTTTCTGATTCTATGATACATCCGAGAGAAAAAAAATCCACACCGTGCTGAGGGTTCATTTGGGGTGGGAGGGTGGAAGAGTGACCGCGACAATGAGCGTTGTGGGTTGCGAAGGATGTGTGGTGCACGGTGACCCCCACAGACCGCCACCTCTATCCCCCGCGGTTTCGCGAAAAATCCTCCAGCAATACCCTCCCGAGCTTCGCCGTCCCGTTCCCCACGGGCCACCCAAATCGCCTATCCCGCTCTACGCTCCCACGCACATCCCCCACATCCCCACAATGATCAATGATATCCCGCCCCCCGACGAGCGCCATGAGATCCTCCCCCACGGAACGCAGTCGATATCTACTCCAACTCGCCCTTGACGTCGGCGGCGCGTGCGGCGTCGCGCTCGGAGGCCTGCTTGGCGGTGCGTTTGGCGAGTTTGCGCATGCGGCGTTGATAACTGTGCGGAACACCAGACAAATGATCAATTAAGCATTCCGGACCCGACACTGCGATGACGCACTCCCCTCCCATCGCGATGATATAACAACCCTCGATGTGGAGGGACAAAATTCGGTGGCTTCGCTGCAGCTCCATGGGTGGCCCTTCCGCCTGCGCTGGCTTCTCTCCAAAAAGACTTTTTTCGGCCCGTCCTCGCTCCAGCTCAAACATCCCATCGCCACCCAACCCAGCCTGCACCTCGCTTCCTGCCCTCCCCCTCCCCTCCCCTCCCAGCAGCAGATACGTACTCATCATACTGACACTTCATCCACGCGACCCTCTCGAATTCGCATTTCCACGGCAGGTAGTACTCCCGCTTCCGACACTCGTTCAGCGCCGGCAGCAGGTGCGCGCAGTAGTCGCGCCAGGCGAGCGGGATTTGCGTCTTGGAGAGTTCCTGCGCCGTTATGTACGTCGCTGCAGGGGGGAAAACCACAAATCGGGGCCGTTAAACAATCAAATCAAAGCATGTCAGGTCAGGGAGGGATGGAAGGGAGGGGAGATGAGGAAAGCCGAGTGGGAGCGGGAGAGGGGAGGGGGGGGGGGGGGGGGGAGGGAGGGGAGGGGACGTACGTGGAGGCGCCCCGGCGTCGTCATGGTCGGAGTGGTGCGCGGCTTCGGCGTGGATGTGGGAGGGCATTGCCGGGTGCTGGTTTTTCTTTTTCCCGCTGACCGGTCGGTGGTTTTGTTTTGACGAGGGGGTTGTGTGATTGGGGATGGGAATATGTGCTGTGTGGTGGTTGATGATTTCGGGTTTTCGTGCGAACGGCTGTGGTGGGGGGGGTTGGAGGGGAGCGACGGGGCGAAGGGGGCCAAGTTGCTGTCTGCGCGTGTTCTCAAGTTGCCCTTCGCATGAACCCGCGTTCCCTCTTCCGCAACGCATGTACAGTATTATTCCTCTCATCCTCCCCCCCAGAAATGTGTCCAAGAACGTCCATATCATGCATTCCACATACATACATACAACACATCCCATATGATACATGCCCCCTCCTTCTCCCACTCCCCCTCCCATTTCACCCATACAAAACCCGATTGAAATTCAACCGCACAAGCAGCGCCCTAAACGCCTCCTCATCCCCACTCGTCACCTTCCCCCTGCTGGCCCCATCCATCTTCTTAAACCTCACCCCCTTCTCCCCCGCCGTGTCCCCACCATCCCCACCATACTCCTCTCTATCTTGTCTCACACCACCAGTCAACCCAACAAGACAATCCCTCAACCCACTAACAGCACTCTCAAACCGCGCCTCCGCTTCCTTCAACCCCGGTTTGATCGCGTCCAAGTCATCGACGACGGCTCCATCACTGTGTCCCGCGTCATACCCCGCATGACCCCCACTTGCGCCGGCCATCACCCACCCATCGACCCGTCGGGGCGGAGAGGTGGTCGTAACAGCAAGATCAAACGACCGATCCCCCGGTACTGCCGCATGTGTCGTAGTCGATGTCACCGGTGTTGACGATGAGGTGAGGAGCGAGGACCGTGGGGGTGAGGTGCGCGCGAGGGTCGCGCCGTAGGTGTGGAGTTTTTCCTATAACAAGATAATCAGACGGATGAGTTGGGGGGGAGCGATTTTGGGCAGATATGAGGAGGATAGGCTTATGAATTGAACGCACATGAGCAACCTGGTACCCCAACACAGCCTCCACAACCTGCATCAAGGGTGATCTTTCCATCTACAGGAAAAAAAAAAACGATCGATCAGCGAAAAGTTACCCATCCCTCCCGCGCTTCGCTACGTTCCCCCACTCGCCGGAACTCACATCAACCAAACACCGCCTCAAAAGCGTCTCCAGATACTCCCCATGCCGCTTCAGCACCCCCTCGATATCCTGCCCTTCCTCTTCCAAACACCCGTTGAAACTCGCCCATGTCGCCGCCAGTGCCTAACCAAAAAAAAAACCGCCCTCGTGCGTCAGATAACTCAACTCGTAGATGATGTACCCAAAATGGATGATGTGATTACCTCAAAACAGACAAAATACCGAACCTGCGTGACCACATGACACATCTTCATCCAGACCAGGAGGCAGGAATGGAGGAGCGCGTCAAGGTCTTCCCGTTTGGTATCATCCCAATGACTCCCTACTACATCCCCCTCCCCTCTCGCACCCCGCTCAGCCACTGACCCCCGTTCACTCGCACGCGGCTCACTCCGATGACTCCTCGGTTCCGTCCGAGATATCCGCGAATCTCGATCGCCACGGGGCCCCCTCCGGTCGCCCCTCCCCCGCATCCTCCCAGCCAACCTCATCCTAGCCTTCCAATCCCCACTAACTGCACCCTCAACCCTCTTCAACTTCCACAGAAAACAACTCAGCCTCGTATACTTCTCCATCGCCGCTTTATGCAGTATCGTCGTCAACGGTGGGGTGACGGTGTACGTGATGCTGAAGACGTCCCATGTTAGGTCGCCTGGGGATATCTAACCAAAAAAAACAAGAAGCATCACAGGCTGTCAGAACACGCAGGCATATACCATCTGAATGAAAAGAGGAGGCAGAATGAGGTACACTACCTCCAACATCCGCACCCCAACCCGCACTCTTCCATCTTCGTTTACCCGCCTCCCACTCAAACTCGTCTCCAACCCCTGTCGTAACTCATGCACCCCCACCCCCCCGGCCCTGCGTCCCAACGCGCCCGCCAACACCTCCGCCAACCGCCCCGCCCAATCCCCCTCCTCCAACAAAAGGTACCCATTAACATTCGCCAAATGCTGCTTGAGCCCGAATGTATTGATGAGAAGATACAAGGCGTGTTTGTTGGCTTGGGCGTAGAGGTGGGAGATGTGCGTGGGGAGGAGGCGGGTGAGGAGGGAGGTGTAGGTGAAGAGGGGTGTGCAGGTGGGTGGACATTTTTGCGTGATGGTGGTGGTGGCGGTGCGGCAGGCGCATGTATTCTTGGAGAGAACGAACTGGGTGTCTTTGCAGGCGTGCCGGATGAAATTGATCGTTTTGCCTAGGACAAAGATCTAGAAATTATATATCATAAGTCAGCATCAATCACACACCCGGTCCACTTTGCTTCGCTGAACCTCACCCGCCCCATACGCCCCCCACTCCCCCTCGTCGCTTCGCCCCTCACTCTACTTACCGTCCCAACCCCCGCCTCCCCGACAAAATTCGGCACCATCTCCTCCCTTAACACATATCTCCCCTCCCAGAAATCCTCCAACCCAACATCCCCGCGCTCCGTGACAAAGAATTCACCGTACGGGTCAGTGAGGTCGCCTTCGTAAACCCATTTGCGGAGGAGGGTGAAGAAGGGGGTTGCTACCTAAAAAAATCACGGGAAAGCATTAATTGGGTGGGGAGGGGCGGGAAAATTGGGGCAGGGACAAGGGTGAGATTTTTTCATACCTCGTCCATGAGCCCCCTAACAAACCCCTCCACAAACGGATCCCCATGCTGCGCGAGTGTATGTAGGACACTCAGCAACATCCCACCTTTCTTATCTTCAAAGTCACACCGAAAAAAAAAAGAGAACACGATCAGTCGCTCGCTCAGTTCCCGCAATCAACAGGAGTTATGAGTGTTTCAAATGATTGATTTTACCTCGCGCACTCCTCACAACAGTAGCCATAACCCTCAACCGCCTTAACGGGTCCAGGACCCACACATACAGGCGTTTCAATGTCAATGCGATAGTCTTAGAGGTATCAGGCGACGTAGTGGTGGTGGTGATGACGGAACCAGGATTATAGACGGTGTTGGAGGGGTTAATCTGCCGCTGCAAGATCGCGATGAGGCGGTAGTAGGAGGTGAGTTCGCGGGAGAGGGATGATGCCAATGCCTTTGAAAACAAATCAAATATCAGATCACATTACACAGCAAAAACGAAAATGAAGGTTGGTTTTTTCATTTTACCTGCCGCATAGTCCCCCCCTCCCCCTCCTCCTTACACCCCTCCACAAATTCGGCCACTTTCTTGTACAGACATCCCATCTCGGCGAGTTTGCCCACAATGCCGCGTTGGGATTTGTTCAATTTCACCTATCAAAGAAAGCCCAACTCATCAGATCACACACCCTGTGGGAGATGGTGATGGGAAACACATTTTTTCTTTTTCTCACGTCGTCGCTGATATGGATGTTATCCCCCGATTGTTTGATATACATCCCGTCGATGCCTTGGAAGACGTAGACGAGGTCGCGGATGAGGAGGTGTTCGAGGGTTGCGGTGCTGTGGTGGATCGTGCGGTCTACCCAAAACATCAATAAGCGTCACACTTTTGAGATAGCTGGGTAATGAGATTGTGCACTTACCCGCCGCATCCTTCCCTTTGAACTGTTCAGCGGGGCTAGTAGCTGCCTCCCGTGGCACATACGTATCCGGCGCACTATACCCCTCCCGTCGTTTTCGCGGATCAGGCAACCTTTCCAGGCCCACAGAATACATATTGCTCTCCTCCAGCTGCCAACATAAAATTCATGAGAATCATCATACAAATTATGAGATCGGGGGCATGCATGTTGGGAGGGGGGATGAACTTACCTCCGCGCGCAGAAGTGCAGCAGCCGACCCGCGACCACTACCATGTCCGCCGCCGACGTGGGTATCCGATTGACTGAGGGCGTGGAGGAGGTAGACGCTTGCCCAAAGGTGTTTCAATGTGCCCTATAATAGTTCAACGTCGCATCAGGACGTTGGGAATGGGTGATAGGGAATGCGACATAAGGGAAGAGTGAAGGGAGATAAGGGAGGGGGATCCGTACCTTGTTCTTGAGTTTCTGGTACAAACTACTAAACTTCAGCGCCGTCTCCATGGAGGTATCGCGTCGGGTTACTTTATCCATCCATTATCCATTAAAACACATGGCATTATAATGGGATAAGCACGATACAGCATATCTTCCCCAACCGGACCATCGAAACAGCAAAGTGAATAAGAGACGAAACTCACATTGTTTTTTGATCTTTTCCGCCAACACCGTCTCGTCAGGAATGATCGCGGCGTCTAGGTGGCTGGGTGGGAAAGTCTATCAGGATGGCGCTGGAAGAGTCTCGCCATCACGAAAGTACTCGAAACTCACCTCCGCAAGATCCGCATGCAGTACTGGAACACATGTTGTGCTCTTGCGCCGTCTAACAATGATAGAACGAAGCTCAGGATCTCAAGACTCGGTGCAACCCCATCCATATGACTGTGAGCAAACCCCTACTTTTCTCCTTATCAGCTCCAGCAAGCGCGAAATAATGCTCCACCAGCAAGTAAACGGTATGCGAGATACGCGCAGCGGTTCGCATGCTGCCGTCTTGTTGTTGTTGGGTAGTGTCCTTCATTGTGGAACTCTTCCCATCGTCATCGGTGTGAGATTTCATTGGTCTGTCTCCGCCGTGGGGGTAGGTGGGGCGTTTGGTGGAGGCGTAGGTTGGTGGGAGGCCTTTAGTCAATCTAAACGTTCTGCAAAGAGAGTGAAGACAGTGGGAGAAGCACTGTTAGGTGATGCTCGTCCTGCTTGTCCTGCTCACTCGATGAGACTGGGCAATGGGATGAATGATACCCTGCTCGCTCCGCTCGCGACAAGGAGATTGGGGGCTGCGGTGGACGGAGCGTAGCTCGCGTCGCTCGCAAAGATGCAACGCTCGCTGAGGTTCGCCAAGGGCCGTGGTTGAGAGTATTGCGCCGTCGGCGCACGCGCCCGGCTTCGCTCGCCGTAGTCCGCGTTCGCTCTGGTCGCCCTTGCTAGCGCTGGAGCTCCCAGAGCGAACCAAACTCCCTCGCTAGCGCTCGGCCCATCCGTTTACTCACCCCTCATTCCCAATCTCATTCCCATCCCCAACCTCGTCCCGTCGCTCCCCAAACACCGGCCTCGCCGTCCTTGTGGTATCCAAATTCACAGCAGTCCCCTCCTCAGCCAACGTGGTCCCAGCGTCCACCTCCCCCAACGTGGCCGAGTAGCCGTGCGTAGCATAAGATGGCGTCGCCGTCGGGTCACCATGCCCATGCCCATGCCTGAGCGAGTTTAAGGTGGATGGTTCCCCATCACGACCTCTTCCGTAGTTGCGCGTACTGCTAGCTGTAGCCGCTGCTGTATTTGTGTTTGAGGCGGCAGGGAGGTGGGTGGGTCCCAGCATGCTGGTGGTCATGTGCGGATGTGAGATGGTGGTTGGAGTGGTGATGACTTGGGTCGTTCTGGGTGTTCGTTGGGAGATCGGGCTATGCTGCTGGGCGGCCTCTCTGAACCTGGCCTGAGTTCTCGAGAGATCGACTCCGTTAGGGGAGATTGAGTGGGAGGACGTTGTTGGCTGTTGCTTTTCCCACAGTTTCCCACGGCCCTCCTCGCATAAAAGACGAAGGTCGCAGCAGGACGCGTTCGCTTTCGGACACAAAGGACTCCCCAACCAGCCAACCCCTTCTTGGGAAGTTGGGACAGCAAGGAGGTGTCGGAGAAACAGGCACGAATACACTACAGAAAAGTCTCCCGCTGGCACGAAAAATGACCAACTTCAATGCTTGGGATGAACAACAGACAAGCCGAAGAACCATCTGCTGCACCAGACGTATGCTTGTGCTGGACTTGCAGTTAAGCATTGACGGCGCATGCATCCAGGACCCTGAGGGTAGCCGCGATGCCCCGGTTGAGCCGGCTTGGATGGCGGAAAGCGTTTAAGGTCATGTGGAAGATGCGAAGGAAGACGGAGTGGCGGCGTATGAGTTTGAGGACACTGGCAAGGATGATGAAGGGTCAAACTCGGACTCTCGCATCAGACCTGAAGAAGGAGACGCCCTCAACCAAACTCCCCGCCGCGCAAGTTATATCTGACGTCGACGCAATGGTACTCCAGCTATCCCCCCCCCCCCCCCCCCCCCCCCTATGGTTCGCATTGCTACAGCAAGACTACGCTTGGACGAGATGTTTGAAATGCGGGACGATGGTGACGCCGCCACACTTGAACCGTGAGCGAGAGCGATCGTTCGTGATTCTCTTTTGGTAGTGGCAAGGCAAGCAAAGGAAATGCTCAATGTTGTCGCGAGCAGCATATAATGCCCGCGTTCTTCCTCGGTCGCTTGTACACACTCCCCGTCTCTCGAACCAGCCCTGCCGTGTACTACGCTCGAGGAGCTGGCGACGCATGCGAGCGCCCGTCGTCGTCACTCGGGAAGCACTTCGATCATGAGGCCACTGGATCGTCAGCTGATAGCCCGCCGGCGTACATCGAGCGTGATTTGAAAGCGTCAAACGGGGATTCACGAGCAAAGCAGCGAGGGGAGGAGGAGAGCCTGGAAGGAAAAGGGCCCGTTTTTTGAACTTCTTTGGGAACGCATATCAAAGTCCACCAGGGGCCTAGTCTCAGCTAGCGATAGTGTATCCGGCGACATTGCTAGCGTCTCGCCTGACTTTGACTGGCGGTTATTCAGTTGCGTCTACAGATTCGGGTGCCACTGCTGGTGTCTCCTCGTCTGCACCTATGGCAGCCAGCCGGTAGCACTTCGACCAGAGTTGGCGACTACCTTCAAGACTGAGAGACCATTAACGACCGTATCAACATTAGGGTCACTTGGTTCTCGGGAGAAGACAGTTCAATGCCTAACATCACCGTCGGAAGCCCGTTTGTATCCTCTATACACTACCGGCCACGCGCTTTGCATAATGCATCGATAATGCGTACTTTCTGCAAAACCATTAATGAGACAAACTTATGCTAATGCTTTTGCATATGCACGCATAAACTATGCATAGACGATGCATAAGTATGCGTACGCATGCGTAAACACACACACACTTGGTAGTAAGCACAGTTGTGCACTTCAAATTTTGCAATTGAATCGCACAAAAATTCATATATAAATACACAACTCAAAACACCACCAGCTAGCTAAATATAAAGACATGCCACAGGTACGCTTCCCACCATCCGCAACGTATGCATGCATGTGCAGCCAATCTTGGGGCAGAGGCTGCCTACGGAGGGAGGGGTGTCTTCGGCAAAGCGGATGAAAGGGGATATGGTGGCGAAGCTAATGAAAAGAATGAGCATTGGCCCTGGAAAACGAAAGACAAAAGGATGTTCGTACCAGACGTTGAAACCACGCATGAGTCCATTACATTCATAGATCCAATCAGGCGGTATGCCCAGGATCCAATGGAATTGTGGACTTCACGGGCACGCTGAAGGGCTCGAGGATTCGTCGCATTTGGCTGCCAACAGCTCCTCCGGGAAGAGGGAAGAGGGCCGACAAATCCCCCAAGAGTTGGTTGCGAACGCGTGGATCACAAGCTGGAACTCCAATGATGGCTGATACAAGGTAAGGGGCAGCGCAGTGAACAGCGTAAACCTGGTCCAAGAAGGGCTTGGGATTCTTCGTGGCCGCCATCAGTCGTTTCTTCTGCCCACGGATAGCAGGGTCATTGAATGCATCTTGGTCTCCATATTCCTTTTGATATCAGCAACAGGCAACGGCGAAACAACGCAGGCGACAATGAGCATGAAAGTGAAGTGAATCACGGGTCCAAGCTTGACGTCCCCGGCTGTCAACACGACCCCATAAGCGACATCCAGGAAATCTTTGCTCAATACTTCAATCCATTGGGCGCCCAGCAATGACTCCATGGAGAAGGGTTCAGTCGTCGACCAGGTTGGCGCGCAGGACATATTGTCAATGGAATCTTCACGGGCAAGCAAGATTCTGATGGCAAAGGCGGCCAATGACCACATGACGTCCATGGTGTCATCATCCTTGGTCCAGGTGAAACGGAGTCCTCTAATCGCCTTTCCCTCTGGCTTGGACGGATTCAGTGGTCCCTCGAGTCCTAACAATTGAGAACGTCTGCATTAGCTTCCTGTCCGAAAACAAAGTGTATGATAGACATCGCGCGATACCTGGTAACTTGGTTCGCTTCAGGTCTTCAAGGAACTCCAAGGTCAAGGACATAACCGAATCGGACGACAACCCAGCACGTAGGATCAGTGCAATGAGACTGCGCATTGTCGACGTGTGAGATGTCTTCTCTTTCTTGGTCGGCAGGAGAGTTGACCCGAGACGCGAGACATAGTGAAACTACCCCATGATCGATACAGGCTCACAAAAGTGTCGAGCAGTTCCCACATTCATGTCTCAAACGTACACGGGGTCTTCATTATCTTCTTCCTCGGGAGCCATGTACTTCAGACCAACAAGCTTCTGCGCGCCGGCCAACGCAGCTGGCCATCCACTAGGCTTCAGAGCGTGAGAAACGGCATACACGACAACAGCATTGGGCTCTTCGTAAATGCCCAGGCCAGTCTTGTATACACGATCCATCCCGGTGATGGTGGAAGGGTCCAAGATCATGTCAGCTAACGTTGTAATCAGGCCCCCAGATGTTGGGCGATTTGCCTTCTTGTGCAGGACACTTTTGATATTGCGACTCTGCTCTTTCTCTGCTGCGATTGTGGTGTAGAGCGCACGGATCATCTCGGAGGTGGGACTGGTGTCGTCATCCGCCGGGAGTGTACCATTCACCGTTGCCAAAGCGTTGAGAACTGTACATGTGAGATGGATGGATGGTGTACATCAGAAAGCGCCAAGATCGAGACCATATACGTCTCCAAAGGAAAAGTTACAAACTCCTACCCGTGTCATCATCACCAACACTGGCCACATTGTCCTGCTCCGGGAGGTCTGTCTCAACTGGTATGTCGGGAGACGGGGTAAAGGCGACGGGGAGCGAGGTTCGATATGGATCGGTTGCATGCTGATGTGACAGGCCATCAGTTGCGGTGTCAGTTCACCAGCGTGCGAATTGGGGGTTCGTCCGATTGGTTTGCCGGGCGTATGGGTTTGTCTCCTTGGGCCGTCCTCTTCATCCTGCACATCGTCGGAATCATCAACGTCAAACGGCGAATCAGCGGAGACCGGTTTGAGGGGAGGTGTGTGTTTGCTACCCCTCTGAAGATCATCCCAGTCAGTTGGGATGCTTCGCTTGCCTCGTTTGATGGCTTCACCATGGGTAGACACTTTCGCTTCTTCTTTGACTCGACCGCTCTTCAAATTTATGATTCGATTGCGAACGACTGAGAACATTTCCGAATAGACAGTGTCCAGTGGGTACGATCGAAGCTGTGGCTCATCCTCAAGAAAGTCTACCAATGTTTCCTCGAGCTTGGCGCACTGCGGATGTTCTTGCATCGGGTCTGTGAGATCGCTTAGCAACTGCTTGGCATCCGTGTTTCCCGCGCCATATCCGGTGATCTGTGCCCCTGTCAGGGAGGCATAGCCTGGCACATAGCCAGAGAGAAAATTCTTTATCATCTGCTTCAGAGTCTTTGGGCCTTTCGTGAGGAATGTATCGGCGGCACTGCCGGGTAAGGCGGGTTGAGCAGATGGTGTTGACGACGCAGAAAGCGAGCTGATGGCGCCGGATGCCAGATGCGAACGAAGTTCATTTTGAACAGCAGAGACAACAAGAGGGCCAATTGTGTCGCTAAGGGATTCGACAAAGTTTGCCAACGTGTCTTCGAATTGATCGTGTTGTTCTCTCAAATATCGCTGAATGTCCTCATGCGAGAGTCGAGGGGTTGAAGACGAAGAGTTTCCCGGAGTCGCTGTTGAAGATCGCGGCGGGTGGCTGCTGCCGGAAGGCCTGGACGATGTGTTTGCTGTGGCATTTGATCCGTATGCTCGGGCATCGGTAGATCTAGGGGTGCTCGGTCGATCGCCGGTCGAGGGTAACTGTGTGGGTGTTCGGAAAGGTTGATGGGTTAACGATGACTTTCCAAAAAGAGACTTTCTGCCGATCATGACTGCCACACAACGATGGCGAACAATCAAGTGGATGCAAGCAGAGTTTCCAACGGGTTGCGGCTCAAGCTCGAATGAAACGATGAGAGGAGAGTGGTACGGAGCAAGAAGGCGTACCAGAGAAACTTTCAGACCGGTGATGTGCTGAGCGCATCTTTCTAATGTACTGAGCGCATCTTTCTGATGTGTACTGAGCGCATGAATTAACGAAAGAGTCGGACGAATAATGTTGCTTACGTAAATGACGCGACATCCACACTCGACAGCTTTGACCAGCTTTGACGTCAGAGTCCATCCACATGAACAACGAGCCTTCGGTCCGGAGTATCGTCAAACAGTGATACCTCTGCCTTTCCCACACATGATGCCCCATAGACAAGCGTGAGTCGTCCGTAACCCCCATCCCGGGCATCTTCATTCTTGTGAAATCCGTCGATAATGGGCAACATCGTCAGAGGATCTGTGCTTGTAGGCATGATGTTGACAGCGAAAACAAGCTCTTCCTCGTCGTCCAGCAAGATACACGCTCGTAAACGGCCGAATACGAGGTTCCGATAGTGGCTGTTGGTACCCGTTTGGCCATCAGGAAGGAAGGCCACAACGTGCCCAAGCTCGTATTGCACAAAGTTGAATTGTAGCGTGGAGAGTACTTGGCCTGCGTTCCAGCGGATGGTGGGTTCGATTTCGTACAGGTTCGCCAATAGCGCATCAAAAATCGGCATATGGATTGGCTTCGGGTCCCTCCATTGGTCCCGCTTGTGCAATCCAGCAGTAGGGTCGACTGCAGACTCGCATAAGCGCTGCATCCAAAAACGACGAAGTACAGTAGCACCCGGAGACCGATAATTTGTGTTGATCGTCCTGCTCATCGAAAAGAGCGATATCATCGACTCAAACCCGAATGTGCTAGTTTCGTGTGGGGACCCGAACCTGGAAATTTCATCTGCGGTGTGGCAAACATAATGGGTGTTTACGGAGTAGTACTCTTGGCCGTAGATCCATATCGCCAGTGTGTTGCTATCATATGCGAGTCAGCGAAGCTCGGGCACTAATCGCTGCTCCACTCCATGTCGCCAAGCTAATTCAATGCCAGCCCGATGTGCAAGCCATCCCACCCACTCTGCTCGTAGATGGTCCCGACCGACAACAAATCTTTGCAGGACCCCAACGCTTCGTAGGATAAACATCATCTTGTTCTGGTGCGTTTGCCCGTACAGCCAGTGGTTGAGCGTCTTGAGCCTAGGTTGCTTGATTTTGTTTGCACGACATGTAGCCTGATAACGCTGGTCAAGGATGGTCCAGAAATCCGCCCCGTGTTCAATACGCAGCAGGGAGGAAAAACGTCGCCAGTGCTTTTCGATCTCCCCTTGTGCCTCGGCATGTTGAAGGTCTATTGCAGCTAAACAGCACGGACTGAGACCCGGGAAAAGCCAGGTCGGGCTTGAGAACGCAAGTCCGTACTGGTCAGCGTGTTGGATAGCGGGATGATCGCCGTGTTCTACTTCCATCCAAGCGTCTCTCAACCGATCCATCGTCAGTCCAGTCGCATCATTTCCATTTCAACTGTCAAGAGGACATAGCATTCAGCGACAGAAGATCAGGGGTTGAATGGCAAGAAACATACCGGTGCTCGGTGCATGAACACTCATCCCGGTGTCGGAAGTGGTTCGTGATGTCCTCGATCCTCGAGTACGTGCTCCCGGAGGACACCACATGAATGACAGGGTCGGCGGACAAGTTCGCTCGACTGCTTAAACCCGAGGTATCCCGTTCTCCCTGCGTGAATCGGTGAGTAGGGAGGACAGGAGAAACCACAAGCAACTCTTACCAACTCTGACCTGGGCCGTCCCCTGCCACGGCAAATGGCACAACTATACACCACACTACTTTTCCGGTTGCTGCATTATATACCTCCATGCCCCAAGCACGGATGTCGAGTTCGTTTTTCATCAAGTGAGCGAAGAACTCCGTGCCCATTGCGTCCTTCTGTCTCATGTCGATAAATGACATGGGGGCCATAGCGTGGCTGGTTTTCCGATTTTGCTGGCCATGCTGGATCTCACCCGGTGCGACGACGAGGATGGTGAGGTTATCTATTCTGGTTTTGAATATCTTGAAACCGTCCACAAACTGGATCAAATGGATAAACCTCACGGGCATCCCCTGGCTGTGAGCTGCTTCGTAGTGACATTCCCAGATGTGCCGTGTTGCAATCATGCTCGTAGCCCACTGCCATCCGGTCCAGCAAGCCTCCTTAACAGGATAGCGGTCGGGATACCAGCTGGCAATGTCCGCAGAATCCATATCCAGGACACCAGCCTCCAACATCGGCATTGTGTGCTGTTCGTTGACGTCGGTGAGGTTGTTCGAGATAAGAGGATGCTGGAACCACCAGGCGACGATGCTCGACAGTGGTACTTACGGAATGATATTGGGGCTATCTGGGTGATGGGTAAGGGTAAAGAAATGTGAGAAACTGGTCAACCACATCCCTTTCCAGATGGTATTAGATGATTGGCCAACCTGGGATACGGAGATCGTGCACAGACATCCTCGGGTTGAAAAGGGCCCATGCTCAACGAAGTGCAGTCTTCCTGTTGCTGGGTATATTGATATTGGTGATGTTGAGTTCGTAATAATCATGGTAAGCCTCTCTGGTCCAGCGAGCCTTGATCGTGTGGTGAAGAAAGCGTAGAAATGGAATTTGGTCGTCATTGAGATGGAAGGGTTCAGCAGGTGGAGGTTGGAAAATAGCTGCAAGCTCTTCAATAGCTTCATCGCCCTCGTCTCCCGGATCGTCTTCAGAGCTGGGGTCTGGTTTGCTTGAGCTATGGTCACTTGATGATGAACTTGAATGCTCGCCTGAAGAGGAGCTAGAACTCGAGCTTGGTGTCCATCGCATTCCTCGTCTCGTGGTATTGTGGTCGTTTTCGAATTGTAGTTGGCGATCTCCGTTTCCCAAAACCCCACCATTCTCCAATCCACCATTCCCCAATGCACCGCTCCCTCCCGGAATCACCGGGGCCGGTTGTTCCACAATATGGCCTCTGTAATGCGTACGTGCAAACGCATCGTAGCTGACATGCACGGCTCGTTGAAAACACAGTGGGCATGTGATGTCAACAGGTCCGTGTGCTAGCCCCAGCCCACTTCGCTGGGCGCAAGATCGAATGTGACGGTAAACGCTGGATGGGTACCTTCTCTTCAGGAGGGTCCGACATGCTCGGAGGGGGCATGGTATTTTGTTAGCATCTGCCATGACATGCACACTACCAACAAGCCGCTGGTACATCCCCACACCAGTAGCTCAACTCCTCCGCCACCCCAACCCTCGTTCTTTTAGAGATGCTACCAAATTCAGTGGCGTCAGCCCAAATTCCCACGAAGAATGCACGGAGGTCAGACCTACCCAACTCCGACCAGACTTCCTTCCGAGGTGCTCTGAGTTTGAAGTGAACCTACTGAAAGCAGCCCTACCGGTACCAGGTGCTGCGTTGGACGGTGTCTCGGTTGTTTGTTGGACAAGGGGTTGGATAAGATGGACGATGACAACCAGGAGGATGGTTGCAAGTTGAAAGCCACTTTTGTCAAAGTCCAAAAAAGACGTGCGGCTCGTGTGCGTGGTGCGGTACGCGGGCGGAGTGACTCATTCTCCCCCGTCACTATGGGTGAGCCCTAATTAGAGAATCTATGGCCTAATATGGATCTGGATCTGGATCGAATCTGGCTCATGGAGAATCGGGTGACCGCTGTTGGGTGGGGAATGGAAACGGCCAGGCTGTTATACATAAACCGATGAGTATGCATCCATAGATGCATCAGTATTGATGCATAAACGGATGCATAACGTGTAACGCATACGGGCCGTGAATTAAGGACAGGTACGCATTGGGTATGCATGCTGGGCCACGACAATGGCGAGAGAAGGTGCATATATGCATGCATTAATGCACCCGTAATCTATCCATTAACGCAATGCTTTATGGCTTTCCATAATCTATCAATGAACGCATACTGAACGCAAGATAAATGCAGCAAAAATGATGCGTATGCGTGCATATGCATGAGTATGCATCCATACGTATGAATAAGCATGCTTTATGGATAAATTATGGGACAGCGCGTGTCCAGGCGGTGAACTGTCGGTGTAAGAAGCCGCAATTACAGTTGGGGTCAGTAATCTGGAAGAAGCCTCCCAACGTATCACCAGGAGGCACAGGGCGTCTAGGTCAACGAGAACTCCATTCAATACAGTGTCTACTTCCTGTTCGACTCAGTACAGAAACTACTACGAAGCTTTGTTAATGTTTCCCAAATTTCACAACTACTCCTCCTGCTATCAGTTTTCGTGTGTCCGTCACCGTCACAACAACTCATGTCTCCCCTCTCCCGATCTACCTCAAACCTGCTCGTCACCATCCAAATTAGTCGTTTCCCGAATACTATGCTCCCGCTTCGTCCGTCCGACCGTAGATTTGCCCACAACCCCGTTCACGACATTTGCCGTCCCACCTGAACCCGACAGAGTCGGATTGTTTGTTGCTCCCCCGCCTGTAGCCCGACTGATAGCCTCGCACCAAGCGGGTAGTTGACCTTCACCGGGTAGCTGGAGGACTAGACGGGTTTTCTCAGCTTTGCCCTTGACGAGAACGAGATTCTCCGCGTCTTCAGCTTTAGGATCGAGCATGTACCCGTCTCTGCCTAGCAGGTAGTAGTCGCCTTTCTCTGGATGTTCCTATTGAGCACAACATGTTAGTTGAAAAGCTCCCCAGATGGCGCATTCCGCGAGTGCCACGGAATCAGGAGAACATACCGGATCTTTGCTGATGATTAGGAAGACGACGCCGGGTATGGGTGAGGGCATCAGCAGCGACGCCGTCACACCCACCCATCGCGTGAGGACGTTGCCTTCCAGCATCGCGGCTGCCACACCAACATGCACCGAGTTGGTCTTCCCCTTTGCAAATATAAGCGGCTTCTTGACGTCGATCCCAGCATTGTCCTCAGATACTTTCTCGAAAATAGCGGACTTGATGCGCGAGCCGAACAGGATTGCGGGTGTTATCAGCGACCCGACAATGATGCACAGGTGTACGATTGACCAACGAGCAATGAGGTCGATGTTGGGCATGAAGCCGGCGGCAATGGCGATGATTCCGCAGAAGAACATTCCGGCGGATGAGCTGAGAAGGTTTGTGATGATTAGCCTGAAGTCATGAATGCGGATGTAAAATCTTCAGGCACTCACAAGATAACGTAGAAAGACTCGGAGAACTGTTTGTCCTTGATATTCTTGGTCAAGGTGGCAACAATGACTGCGGCGATCAGCAGTAGCGCATTGTACATGATCAGCGCAATCGAGAAGCCTGTCTGCACTGATATCTTTTGTGACGAGCAAACGGAAAAGGCGCCGGTGGAGTCCTGCAGTTTCTTGGGCGAGGGAGCATCGATTCCCATCCACAATGCAAGGAGTATCTGAGGAGGATGAGAAGGTCAGTTCATGATGTTCGAGGTGCGGTTGACCCTTCGTTGAAGCAATCTGCCACCGCTGCTTACCCATTCGCCGACGACGACACCGCCAACATAAGTCAACATTGTTCCCATGCTTAGGGCGTTTCCGCGCAGCTTGGGGTTGAAGAAGATCTTGTAAAGACGGTAGTTCTTGACAACGGCCGGCCTACGAGGGGAGGATGAACACACGAGGATAGATGAGTAACGGAACGCTTCTGATCTGAACCAGCGGGTACATACGTGACGATAAGCGAGAAACCTGTGCAAAGCAGCCACAGATGTGCGGAGCAAGTCGCCTTCGACAAGCCAAACTGCAGGACGATGACGGACAAGCACCCGAGATTCGCACCAACGGTGATCAGAATGGACAACGCCGGCGTCGCCGCCCTGATGATTGGGAACCGCTGCAACGCCATCAACGCTACACCGAACCCTATCTCGCCCAGCATCGAAACAGCGGCCAGCGCCGCCAGGCCGGCGGTGCCTTGGGGCTTCTGCTCCAGCGACAGGAAGTAGGCCTGACAGACAGCTTGATCGGCGCCGTTGTCGCCTTGCACACAGGTCGCGCACTTGGTCGTGCCGGTTTTGGTGGTGAAGGTCCCGAACGGACAGGTACCGCAGGCGAGGGCATTGGCTGCTGCGGTGTATGTTCCCGATGTACAGGGGACGCAGAAGTCACCGTATCCGGTCAAACCGGATGCAGTGGGCTTGTAAGGTTTGGCGGTCGAAGCGGAGTTGATGGAGTAGCCAGGTGGGCACACCCTAGATTGGGACAATGTCGCATGTTAAAATGTGCTGGCGTGGTTCTAATCACTCCGACACTTCGAAGGAGACATACCAGTTTCGGACGCTGCCGCCGACTGTCACAGAGTTCCCAATCAAGCCTGCATTGAGCTTGATCTTCATACCGAGGTTGGTGATCGCCAGAAAGCCCTAAATACCGGCCATCAGGTAAGCGAACGGCGGAAGTGCAAGCCATGTTCCAAGAAGTCACCTACCGCTGCATATGGCGAAACATCCACGTACTCGGTCACGACACCCTGTCCCATAGCGACGGCAACTTCCTTGCTGATACCGGCTGATATCACAGCTTTGGGGGACACCCCGGAACCAGGAAGCGCCTGAACCAGAGCCGTGCAGATCAGCTCGTTCGTGCAGAAGTAGCCGTCGGGAGCGCCGCCGCTCTGCTTGAAAACTCCCTGAATCACGAGAACACCGGTGGGCGTATTGTAAGCATCCACCCGGATGTACGAGGAGGCCACAGTGATGCCGGCCGCGCCTGATGCAGTGAAGGCAGCAGCCATTCCCTATCGCGATGAAGAGATGAACGTGAGAAGGTTGAAGCTCGACACCTGTCATCAAGATACCCCGCTTGATCCCCGCCACCATAAATGAAAGGGCATCTGAAGGGCACACACACTCACCTGGCAACGCGCTTGCGTGGTGGCTGTCGTTAAATCGTCGATGGTCCTTTTTTCACATTAGGCCACGTTTGCGGTGAACATCAAGTACGATGAGAACAAGCACTTACATGCAGATGGGTTTGGTGACCCCGCGCGATAGCATTGCTTGGGCGGCGTCCCATCCGATTTGATAGTCGTCCGAACCAACATACAGTGCGTTCAAACGGGTATTGGCCGACGCGCCTCGGGTGCCGATGATTGCTACGGAAATGTTGTAAAGAGCTGCACGCATCGTGGCGTAGTTCAACCAATCGTCGCCGGGGTCGGTTGTGAGAATCCCTGCCGGGCATCCTGTTGCACCGGCGCTCGCGCATGGCGCCAGCTGGGAATCGAGCTTGGTCTTCCAGTCTGCGAGACTGTACGGCGTGCTGATGTATTTGTTCTGGAAGGTCATGCTCCACATCTTCATGGCGTCTTGGACGCCGAGGCCTTGTTGGCCGAGGACATCTAGCCCAAAGAAATGATTGAAGTAGACGACGGATGTGCTATTGGATGGAACGACATCGAGTTTCTCGAGATCGACTGCTGCCTGGCCCGCCGCTTTTGTGTCGCTGGTAATGAGAAGGGGACCTGAAGACACCACCGGTCCCGAAATGGTCTCATTTACCATCAACTTCAGATACATGTAGATTGATGGTACGAAGCCTGCAAAAGACACCTTACTTGTCAGCAGAGATTTCAGGATAAATGGCAGTTGATCCTCCAACGGATGCCCCGCCGCGCACCGCATACCTTGTAACCAAGTCTGCTGATGCGCTGCCACATCGACCAGAGGCGCCACATCGGCATTGTAATCAACCACGCCTTGCACGAACTTCCTGGATGGGGCTATTGCCGTCGTGTTTCCGGCAGCGCCTACGGCGGCGCGTACGACTTGTTGTTGGGTGGACAAAATCGTGTCGATGGTTGGGTTGCTCGTGAGGTACGACTGGAAAGTGTCCATGACTGAAGCCGCTGATCAGCATGGCGACTTCAACTATCGCAAAGGATAGCTTCACACTTACGATTCAGAATAGGGATGTTTTCCGTAGTACCCATCAGATAGTTGAACTGGTTGGAAGTGGCGCTGCTGTAAACGTCGTTGCGACCGAACGCTAGATTGAAGGCAGCGACCGCTCCTGCACATCGGTCTTGGAAGTCGACTCGACCGAGGGTTCTGAAGACACACACCAGCCGGGTCCCACCGCGCTTGATAAGCTCCTTCCCAACCATGAATCCTGCCTGCCAATCCACTTGTCCGACGTATGCGAAAGAGTCTACATTCGAACATCAGGAGTGAGGCCACGAATCAAACGGAAGGGCTAATACTCTTCACGCCGCTGTTATATATCAGCAGGGGTCGCACTTACTTAGAACCGACGAGTAATTGACGCCGCTGTTGTATAGCAGCAGGGGCATGTTGGGCGCTGCCAAGAGATTGCTCTTTATGGGCGTCAGCTGGGATGCTGCATCATTCAAGGTCGTAACCAGTCCGTCCGTCTTATTGGCGACTGCTTCAGCCCATTCTTGGATCCCATAACCTGTGCCGGTTGTGGACGCAGTATCGTACAGCGGGGCCCAGATCGTAACCCCCAGCAAGCTGACATTGGGAAGAATGAAGAGTCAGATCTGTCGTCTCCTTTCCACGCACCGCGACAGCCGAGGCACCTACTTGGACGCCGCATTGATTCCTCGCCACAGCGTCGGCCAGAAGTCGGTATATTTGCCAGAGTTGTATCCGTGGCCTACTACGGTGATCCGCAGATCCGCCGAGCTCTTGAAGAGCCGTGCGGTGGTGGGGGTCTGCTGTATGCTTTGGGCAACCGCGATTCCTGCTGCACATAAAATGGCGAGCCAAATCGCGGGAATGCCAGAGACGCGCATGAGTCGGTACGGGGGCTCACAGATGGTATTGTGGGGTATGTGGGGTATGCAAAGGCTTTCGGAGCTACAAGAGCTGCGATGAACGATGCTGAAGGTGCTTCTTTTTCGCAAAGTGCTGAGGTTTTGGCGCGAGACAGGACACCTAGGCCTATCCTTTTAAACCCTAGCGTGAAGCTTCTTTCGGAAGGCTGCCCTCCCGGTGTACGTAGTGCGACTGTCTCTTTCTGTCTCTTTGCGCCTCCTCCCCGCGAGATCAAAACATGGGTTTGGAATGCGAGGATCCCTGGAATCTCTATTTGAGGCCTGGATTCTGGAAGGATTTCAACGATCAAGTGCTTTTCTCATATGGCTATGGCCCGACTTCCAGAAACGCTTTCTAAAAGGGTAGGTAGAAGGGGAAAGACGTGCACAGTAGCCTCAGCGCTGATTGAATCCAAGGGGTTGGAGATTGTCCTGTGGCGAAATGTCTCGACCCTTGAAGCACTTTCGCAGGGCATCGTGCAGGTTTCCGATTTGACAGCACCCACCTACGCACTGTCAATCCAATTGTGTCCCCAGAAGGCCTGGACTGCTTGGGATGTGTCCCAGAGCCGGAGCCTATTGTCCCCAAGTGCAGAGAATAGCCATAGCGTCCCTTAGTTTAGATATGGTCTGTTTAACAGGGACACCAGGGACGGATACCAAATAGTAGCACACAAGGTTAAAATTAACTTTGCGCTATTTTGGTGCTTTCCGGCGTTTTATACATTGGACGAAAGCGTTCTACGGCAGGCGCAAAGCCGTTCGACGTAGGGAGGAAGACACTTCCTTCTTCCGCGTCCATGGAACCCAGACCGGCCTCCGGTGACCTCTCGATGCCGTTCGACGTAGGCAGGAAGACACTCCTTTCCGCGTCCATGGAACCCAGACCGGCCTCCGGCGACCTCTCGATGCCGTTGCGATGATGAAAAGGCGGGAATGTGAGGGGCGAGGACTTTTGGTCTCCAGGTTGCACACAAATTGACATGACGATTGCCAGGAGGTCAAGCAACGTCTTTCTTGAGACAACCTTCCCATACGCATATCCACTTGCATGCAAATCACTCGCCGGTGCCATGATCAAATGCTCGGAACTGACTGGCCATATACCAATGGATGCACCTTAACGGTACTAGGTGCATCCGACGGTGTTCTTGCTTTTACGATTCTCCAGCCACGCTTTTTTCTTGGTTTGGCGGCAATGTAGCATCTGTAAATCTCGTACTTCACGCACAATGAAGCCACGTTGTCCGGCATATCCACGCGTTGGACCAGCTTATAGCTCGGCTTTCCGGACGGCGGCGCCTATGGTCTTAGGTCTCTCGTCACGGTCGTCCTCGAAGATGCAGTGGTTGACGGATAGCAATTTCGACATCAGGAAAATCAGTTCATTGATGAGCGAATCGTTCGTACGCTTGGTGTCGCTCAATTGGTTTCCCATATTGTCGGAATAGTGGTGGCCACTCCTTCGCTGCCTTGCTGCTAGGGAAAGTGGCCCCGATTCCCTTCAGGAAAGTGCAAGACAAAATGCGTCCCAGATCGTTGTCGGAAAAGGCATGCCAGCGAAACTCCAACCCGTCGCACTCACGCGTTTGGCGGCAATTCGCCGAGGCCCATCGAGGCCCTCATCATACACACAATTCGTAAGTTCGCAAATTCGAGCTGTCTGAGCCACAGCGCTCCCACCTGCGTTCTACAGTACCTTTGAATTATCCGTCTCCTTCACATGCGTTTGTCCCTGACCATCGCATCGCCGATATCTGGCATTCCAAACCCAATTGCATACAGACTCGTAGCCGACTATTGAATTGTCATCGAGCTAACTAGGCGGGAGCGTTTGCACCAATTGCTATACATCTGGAACCTCTGTCGTTCCCAGAATCGCTTACGTCGAGCGAAGGATGTATGGAAGCCCTGGATGCTCTTGCTTTGCTTGTCCACGCTTCTGATATTTTCACGTCGTCATTAGGCGAAAGACAACTGAGGCAAGAACGGTGGAAGATCAAAGAAAGTCCCTCATTGAATGGCGTTGTCTCATAGTTGTCTCCATCAAGACGCCTTTGGTATTCATTCAGATATATGATATATATACCAACCTGACGCATGCCGAGACAGCGTGTCTTAGTTGAAAGTGACCATCGGCGTGAAGTACAGACAGCCAGCGGGCGAGAACTCGATCTCCGTGAACAACGGCGACAAAAATTCCGGCAAATATAGTACCGAATATGCGGTGAAGCTGCTCGTCAAAGCAGTTTGACACCCTTCTTCAAACGTTTTCTTCGAAGCAAAATAACCTCCCAACGCTCATCTTAGCAGAGTCCTGGTCCAGAACAGTGCCGCGTGTTTGTCATGCGATTGACCGCATTTCGACAGCGGTCACCGACTACACTCCGACCGCGAGATACGTTACGATGGTATGCCGACGCCCTTTCTTTCTCGGACGTTCTCCAGCCGTATTCTAGAAACTCAATTTGTATCCTGTGCGCAAGAAACCTGTCTTCTGGAAAAATTGCTGTCGTTAGGGTTTTCCACAGCCAGAAACGGTTGTTTCTGGAGCCATGCAAGACTGTCGCCCCGTGATTGCGTATAGCATTAAGTTTAAACTTGTCTCAAGGAGCTTTTTCAGTAAGCATCTACGCTCTGCGGAACTAGGTAGGCATTAGGGGGGCTGCACCACCTATTGTTCATACTTAGGTACCGACGGAAACCTTTCCTAATCAGCCTCGATAAACAAAGGGCTCTGCAAACCCACCACAAAAAGCAGCTCGCATTCCGTGGGAACGTCCCCTCTGCTCCATTTACAAAAATTTCTCCCTGCTGGTCAACAGCCCTCCTTTCAAGAATCGCCGGCCCTTCATATTGAATTGTTCTCATTCCGCGAGAAAGGCGAAGTGTAGCAGCCATGAAAGACACCTTTTCTATTTCGTTCCTGTTGTGCATGATACGAGGAGTAGCCGGAATAGTCTACCCTCTCCTCAACAGAAGCTTCCAGCCGCCGGTTGGAGTACACCCCATCAAAAACGTAGACTTTCCTCTCCTTCGCCATGACTATTCATCATTGGCGGGTGTTCCCAATAGGTGAGTGAAGCATTGGTTATCAGTCGACTATCTCATATCGGGATGGTTCAAATATCACGCAACTGTGTCCGGCTACTGGCTTTTTCTCATTACTTTGAAATTATTCTTTGATTATCTAGCGCGAAGTTCCATGACCCAAATGTCATGGGCATTTGCCGCCTGGGCAGCTTTAGCAGTGACTATGAAGCGCTTGACCCGTCCACGTTGTCGAATCCAGCGTTGGCTTTAATTAGCATCGCCGACGCATTTGCGGCCGGATGTCCTCGCTATCAATATCTGGGCTATGTAAGTTGAATGCGGTCGGAAGTAGATTCGCGTTCCTGTCAATTCATGTGTGTCGATTCGTGTCAATCCCTTGTGTCAATTCATACATACTAGGCGAATGGCTGGTACCAAGAGTGTCCCGAAGGAACAGACGTTGCAAGGATGCTTCAGCAACCTGGGTTGCTTCCTTGCTCAACAGCGGCAACCCGACCTCAGCTCGCTCTTTGGATTCAACTAGGCCCTGTAGACCCGTGGTGTTGCCATGATGTGTATTTTGGGACGCCGACTCCAGCGAACGGATACAATCCGGAAGTAAGTACAAGGCAAACCTGAATTACAAAAACCACGCTTTGCAAATGTCTGACCATGCGGCATTTTCGGATGTCACAGGAGATGCAATCGATTGTTCCTCAAACTGGCATCTCGTCGGAAGATGCAATGTACTTCTTCTTCGCCAACAACATATCCTATATCAACGTCACATCTGGTGAGATTGCATAAATTGAGTGAATGGCACGGAGCTTTCCGTACTCAGAGGGTGGAACATCTCACGATCTTTACCAATCTTTTGGCCTAGACGATGCGCATGAAATGTATACCAAGATTCTCAGGTCGAAGGGATTCGACTTTTACATGATCTTCCGACAAGTAGTCAGCCTGATCTATGTGGTAGTTGAAGTCGGGTATTTTCACGCAAGCAAGCATCGTAATGATCACTGAGAGCGCCTGATGTTAAGCGAATTTTTTCCCTAGGATCATAGTTTTGACAGCTCGTCATGAAGGGTTTCGAATGAATCTGAAGGTATGTTATGTTTAGATCTTCAATCCTTTCGGATGACTTTCTGCTGATCCATTTTGTTGGGTGTCCATCTGTGTTTCTTCCCGAATAGTGGGGCGTTCTGATTGGGATCTTCCTCATGACGCTGAGTATGTGGACGTCGCCGCAGCGAGCAAAAAACCAGTCCTCTTACTTCCGACCCTGTTTCTTCTACCTTCAAGTGATGACGGCGCTGCATGCATTGTTCCTGGCTTTCAGATCAAACAGTTATCAGTTACCTACACATGGAACTCCCACACAGATTAGCTTGATGTGGTAAGGGGATTCTTTCGCACCTCTCGTCCCGAAGAAAGCGGGGATTGCTGATGTAATCCACTGAACCTCTCGTTCTCTCTAGCTTTGGATTTATGTTCGGCTACGAGTCATTGTCGCTCATGCTTTTGAAATGGTTAACCGTGAGTACCCTGGACTCCATGGAAGGTCCTCTGATGGAACTTTCATTCACATGGAACCCTCAATATTCCGTAGATATCTTCGAATCGCGGAACTTCCACCACACGCCAGAAGTACGCGCTGACGACGTACAGGTATATATATATACGACGCGTTTTTGCTGAAGCTAAAAAATGCGTTCGAATGACGCTTTGGTTTCAGAGGTTTTATCTTCCTTTCTATGGTGTGGTTTCCTGTCATCACATGTGCTTGTGTCGTAGCCATCGTGCGAGCGGCCGCGCTAAATAGTTTGGATGTCTTGAACCTGTTCTACACGGTAATGTTGCTACTCCCGCCCTACTGTGTATTTATTCTCATACACCGTAACTTCATGTCCTCACTGTGATACGTTTGCATCTCAGCTCTGGAACACCCTATCGGGGTCACTGGCCATCTCCCTTTTCATGCATGCACTGGGGTTCCTGTTCTCCGGCTACCGCCTGACAGCCTCCCTGAATAAGGGCAAGCAGATGCAAGCTGGACAGAAATCTGGGACAAAGTCGTTTCTGGCTACGGCCGTAAGGGAAGCGAAACCGTCTGTCCCGAAGGCCAAGAATGGTTTGACGGAGACTGTGAGAAATCTGATGATTGCCGTTGTGTTTGGGTATGGAAATGTCTTTCAGGGATGCTATCAGGTTTGCCTGCGTACGGGCTACCGTAGCGCTGGTGCACCTTTAATCTTATCCAACTGACGGCAAACATTTATCGTCTTGTATATACATAGGTGGACCATCATGGGCATCGAAGTGGCGCTCGGGTGGGGCCTCGGGCTAGGCTCACGATACGGGTTCTGGGGGTCGTTCGTATTCTTTGACATCTGCATCGCGTGGATTGCCGCCGCGTCGTACGCCGCCATGTCAGCTGGCATGATGGAAACGGTGATTGAGACCCATGCCGGTTCACGAAACAAGCACACGCAGGGATCGCGAGACAAGGATGGGCCGCGCTCCACCCTACCTCGGGCTTCGACAACGGCAAAAGGAGTGACTATGGATGAAGCGGACTCTGAGGTTTGAGAACCCTTGTTCCATGAGGGTCTTCTATCGACGGGAGATGAACTTTTAGTGCATCGATTTGAATTTGAGACATTCCTGTTTCCCGCTTGGTCTTTCAATGATATCTTGTCTTGATAAAGAAGGGGTGCTTTGTGGCGCTTTCAAGCAAGAAAGGCATTTCTTTCAGATGTCCGAAACTTACTGTGCTTCCCTCCATGTATTAGGTCCGTTGCCAGATGCTGGTCACCTAAGGTGTCACGACCATAGCAGAATCCTCGAATTCCAAGTCCTATTACAACCTAAATAGCTAGCTAAGTTCGCACACGGTTGCACGGCCAACTCGAAGGCCAGCCGCGTAAAGGTGATGCACCCTGTAACAGGCGCCATCTAAAAACCAAGGGGGATGATGGTGAACTAAGGAGAACTTAGGAGGGGAAGGATGCTATTGGGGGCGCGGGGGGGTGCACAAATAATCAGAGGGATTAAGGATTGGGCTCGCAAGGCCAACGGTTCATGTCTGGTCTGAACCCGTTATACCGGATATGTGTAGAGGAAGTAGCGAAAGTTGGCCCCTCCTTGAATGTCTCTGTCCACCATGATGGGCCCTAGATCTAGATCTTCATGCCGCTTGCAGACTCGAATCCTTCTTGTCTGCCAGGTTGCCAGTAGCGTTGCAGTGTGTGACAGCCTGTACGTTGCTTTTGATGGCGCATCCACTTCTTCTTCTGTTTGCACTTGTAGAATCCGAGTTTTGAGACTTCTGTGTCATGGGGTTCCACAGGAGGCCCATCCTCTTCATAACCGGCGAGGCTGATGTAGCAGTTGGGAGCGGTTCCTTTCTCAGGACAGATAGTAATGTCGCGCCCGGCAACAGCTAGGGCCCCTGCTAGGCTTTTAACTGGGACCGAGCGGTGAGGTCTGCGCCAGCCAGGGTCCACGGTGAAGTCCCCAGCCTCAAAAGAAATCACAGGCTGGTGGGGTAGACTGATTGCCTTTTCAATAGCCGGATGGATCGGATGATTCTCCCGGGGGGCACCAGTTCCATCGTAGTGGTAATGGTGGAGTGTACGGAGTCGGGCTTTAGCGTGTTGGGTGAAACCGGCGGGGTCGGGTAACTCCGCAAGGAGCCGAGAGGTGCGCAGTACACGCGCTGCGTTCCTGCCATCGGCGGGTGATGGGTTTAGCGCGAAAATGGAGGGTCTGGTCATTGGCTTTGAACTGAAGTCCGGGGAACCCATTGTCGCGCCAGAGTTGAATAATATCGAGGTCAAGAATGTAAGGGAGGCCAAGGATTATGTCCGCACGTATAGGGGCGATGACGAAGGGTACTCTGGAAGGTTTATGAGGGATTCGTTCCTCCGTAAAGACGGATAGGTCTGCGCAGACCATCTGCATGGCGCCGTAGGATCCGGCTTTGTCACCCAATGAACCTCAAGGGCGGTAGGGCGATCGTAGGTGGGGAGAACATGTCGGGCAACGAATGAGTTGCTTATGAGGAGGGTGTTACACCCGGTGTCAATGAGGATGTGGCAGTAGATACCGCCGACACATCGGTGTACCAGCAACATGTGTTTGTCGATGCGAGGGCCCGGGCGATATTCCGGGATGGTGTCCTGCAGCCGGGGCATTGTGGGTCTACCCGAAGTATGGGACGCCGAGATGCTGCAGATGCTCAGGCCCGGGGAAGAAAATCCACACTCCTGATGGACTCCTGCGGGCTCGGTGGTTCCTCCGCAGCCATCGTCCTCCGCCTCGGAGATTTCAGTGGGTGCTGCCGATACCCTGGGTCTGTCCGGGTTCTTTGAGCACGCGCACGCGTAGTGGTCCTTACTTCCTCCCAGTTTCACGCGCCCCGCCGGGTTCAGGTGCGTACTAAAAGCGTTGCGCACGTAATCGCACACCTTTTCCAGCTCGGCAGGGATTTTCTGCGGGATGAGATATACAGTCAGGTAGCTAAAAGCTGTCTCTCCTTCTAATTGAAGTCAATGACCGTTCCACAAGGCGGAGAGACGCATCGGCGGCACTGACTTAATCTCGAGGAGAGACAGCTTTTTGCTACCTGACTGTACGTAATTCTCCTGCGCGGGCGCCAGCATTCGTGAGCGGTATTCTCCGGCGTTTCCGCAATCAGACCTCTGCCGATGATCCTGTGCCACCTCCGCAACAGATCGGGAGTAAACGTGTCCATGGCGGGGGCGTCGGTGGAAAAAGGTGCGGAAAACACAGACGCTATGAGGGTCTGCAGATTGCGCGCGTTGGACCGTTCCTATCGTCTGTCAGCGGAGACCGCGCCACCAGCATTCCTTCCAGATATTCGATGGTGGGCCGTAAGGAATGATGGCCTCCCCGGCAAGGAACTCTCGCAGGTACATAGACCGATAGTATTCCGTGAAACCGTCTAAGAAGGTCTTCAGGGCGGGATTCTCCACAGCTGTTTTGACCTTCCCTTGCAATTCTGTGACCGTGCTCAGTAGCTTGTCCAGCCCACACGGATCGGTATGCGGCGATGTCCCCCATGGACACCGTGACCGTGTCCACCACCTGGGTGCCGAAAAGAGAGAGAGCAGGAGAGCACCGGTGGCTGTGAAAGTCATCTCGAACTGCTAACGTAAGCGGTTGCAAATCAATTAAGTCAAGTGCCTAAGCGACAAGACAAGACAAGACGCTTCTTCTCTCAAGAACAGCCAGTACCTGCCGCCGATCAGAACGGACTCCCACCCCCCAGCACGATCGCCGCACGCACAGCATCCACCCACCCAAACAATGTTCAACCGAACAGCCTCCCGCTCCTCCCGGCGCTCCACTCCCCGCTTCTCAAAACTATCCCACGCAAGATCCGCCCCCGCACCAGCATCTTTCCCATCACCATCATCCTCCTCCCCACGCTTCTCAACAGCTTCCGCCTCCGCATCCTCCCAACCACCACCACCACCACCGCAATCCTCCTACAGAAAAACACGTCATACCCCGGCTGCGGGTGCAGGCGCACCGAACGCAGGCGTGCAGAATGGAATACGGGGGATGGTTACCTCCACGGTACGTCCCTGTCCCCTATCCCTCCTCCTCCTCCATCCCCCCCCAAATCGAGGATATCTGATCTGATTGATTCTGCTTCTCATTGATGATTTTTTAGACCGGCCAGACAAGCACACTTGTCTTTGCGCGCACGCTCACCGCCGGCGCGCTGGTGAGGGCGAATTACTGGCAGGTGGATGATGACTTTTGATAAGGGGACGGCGTACTGTAAAGAGGCGACGGGCCCGTGATAGTGGGCGGGGAGGTGTGATTCTGGCATGTGGGTGGGTGTACGGTTGAGGGTGGGGTGGTGGTGGTTGAGGGGTGGAGGGAGGAGGATGGGAAGTACGAATGGGGGGATGTGACGAGGGACCATGATCTTGGGGTGTGAGGGACGAGGAGGGGGTTGTATTTTTATTGTTGCGGGAGAGGAATTGCAGAATTGATCGAGGGGCATCCCAACTCTATCCGTGATCTTTACGTGACTGGCGTTTTTGGGATCTTTGAGTGTGGTGGGATCAACTGCAGGGTGCATCGACGTACGCAGAGTCAACCCACACCCACCGACCTCTCGGAGAGTGTGCATCAAACGAACATCACAGAAAGGAAGAAAAGGGATCGCAAGCAGAAACGTTTCGATCCCTCACCGGCCCCAAAAACACATTCCGGACGTTCACGCAGTGATCACAGCTTCCTTCCACCCTTTCAAACTCTTCCCAACGCATTCAATCGCCACACGATACTGCCATTTACATTTTACCCCTCCTAAAACCGAAAACACAGTACACAAATCCAACATACATACAGTACTGTACAAAAAAGCAAAGAAAATCATTATCTACCCAACCTACGGACAAACTCTGCGACAAGAACAAGACAAAAATCGGGTTCTTCGTGCTCGATGTGATAATATTTGCGTGTGGGGGATATTTTATGAGGCGATTGCTGGCTCCGGTTCTCAGGGCGTGTCTTTATCACGAAGGATTTGGAGGTTTTCGGGGCAAAAAAACAAAAATAGTGCTGACTGGCGACGGGATGCCCGAACGGCGACATGTCCCTGTCGTTCGAAAACCCTTGATCTGTGTATTCCCCTCTTCGCGATTTGCTGTGTATGTAGGATCCAGCGGGCGGGGGGTTGGAAGTATTTAAGCGCGTCTTGAGAGTTTATGACGACGTGGTGGGTGGCTGGCCGGGGTTTCTTTCTGGAGACAAAAATCTTCGGATGGCGTATCCGAGTCGAATGTGGGCCGTGGGGGGCAAGGTGTAGGGCGGCACATCCCTTACTCCCCCCCCACCCCGACCTCCTCGCCACGTAATTTCACCCGCAACCCATCCCAGGCAGGCCGCACAACAACCCCGTTGCTCCACAACGTCTCGTCCCGCTCCAGCTCCCGCTCAAGCGTCTCGTGCTCGACCCGGTGCGAGAACCCGACGAGGAAGGCGCGGGCGGGAGGGGTTGTGTTGTGCGGGAGGATGCGCAGGATCTCGGTGAGGGATTGGGGGATGGAGAGGTGTGATGCATGGGGTGTGTCTTCAAAATAAAACGAGAGTTTGAGTAGAGAGATAAGAGGAAGAAAAAAAATGGCAGGAAAAGGGGGGGGGGGGGGGGGGAGAACAAACGACTTACAATGCAACGCATCCAAAACCAAAGTGGTAACCCCCCTCATCTTCTCCCTCGTCCGCTCCGGAAACGCGCTCACATCGCTCACATACGCCAACTCCCCAAACCTAAACCCAAGACTCATGAACGGCGTCTCCTTATCCACCCTCCCATGCTCCACCTCCAACGGGACAACCTCCAACTCCCCAACCACAAACTTGTCAATCCCGGCCTCAAACACATGGAACCGGAGACTCGGCACGTCCCCTCCCCCTGTCGCCTTGCCCTTGTCGACGAGGTAAGGGAACGAGGAACTGACGACACCCATCGTCTGCGGTGAGAGGTAGACGTCGATGTGGTCCTGCACGCACAGATGTTTACCTCCGATCGTCCATTGCCGTAAGTCGTCGAGGCCGAGCATGGCGTCCGCGTGGCCGTGGGTGAGCAGCACGGCGTCGATTTGGCGGAGGTTGTGGTGGGTGAACCAGGTTAGGGAGGCGTCGTAGAATGTTTTACCGCAGTCTATGAGGATCGTCCTGATCCCAATCAACCATGGTGATGTCAACATGTGTGTGATTTATTTGTATCAAGGGAGAGAATACGATACCTCATACGACCGTCGGAATGCATATAGCGCACGACGGCGCCCGTATTCCGCCGGCGGTTCTTGTTGTACACCGGCGTGTTGGGCACGACGCCTGCGCGCCGGGGGATGTTCTGCGGCATGGAGACTTCGAGAGCTGCGAGACAGGTTTTGCAGTCGGGGACGTCTTTCGTGAGGCAGTATATGTTGGGGACGTTGCCGGATGTGCCTGTGCGGGAGGAAAGAGAGGGTGGGGTGGATGGGTGTGTGGTTCATCTATGAGGCCCGTGTCCGATGCCGCGACGGAGGTGTGAATGAACGCCCCGCATCGCATATCCCACCGAGAAGAAGTGTTCCACTTCCATCCCCACATCCCCCCTGGCTGCCTTCCCCCACCCCCAAAACATACCAGTCCCCAAAAAGATAATCTCCTCCACAACCGCCCTCGCCCCGCCCTCCGGCAGCTCATGCACAACTCCATTCGGTAACCCTCCTTCTTCCACATCCTCCGCTAGCCAGCCATCGCCAGCGGGGGTTTCGCCGGTGGGTTGGTCGGCCCAGCCTGTGGGGATTGAGGGGTCTTCTTGCATGGGTGTGAGGGACAGGGGGTGTGGGTTGGGCGGTGGGCGGTGAGGTGATGTGAGATGAGGTGTGATGTTAAAACTTGGGTTGTGGGCTGAGGTTTGTGAGAACTTGGGATGGAGTGTATGGAAAGGTCTTACTGTAGAGGAGGTCTTTGAGTGGGGGTTGCTGTCCTATATGCTAAGTGTGGAATGCTAAGGTGGAATGCTGGGAGATGCTGGGTGGAATGTGACGGCGACGTGAAGGTTTGGGTCCGACTCCTCGCCTCTCAAGTTCTCAAAATTCTAGCACTTCGACAACGGACACTTTCTCACCGGAACTTCGCTGCATATATAGTCTGCACTCACCCTCCGTCACAAACCTCCATACACCCCCACTTCCAGACCGAAAAAATGGCCTCCCTACCAACCGGCGATCTCAACCTGGACGAGAAGAGCAAAGCCGAACTCATGACATTCGTCGAGAACGAGCAGGTACGGGGAACGCTTGGGGAACGACAACGGAGAAAGACGTTGGGGGGGGCTTGGATAAGTCGATTCGTAGAAGGAGACCGGAAGTGGTGGGAGCAGTTGGGACACCCGCCTTTCGAGGAAACACCAGGACTGCACCATCCATACAGAGGGGAGAACCGACGCTCACTGTATGTTTTTTCCTATTTTCCTTTCCGTCTCTTTTTCGCATAGCGCCGGGCAAACTTCCAAGCAACAGGTATGGGCCCTCTCTTTCGGACTGATGCAATCGGATAAGAAAGCTAACACACCTATTTGACCTCCGCCTTTCCGCCGACAGTACACCAATACACGGGTAAGATGTGAACTATGTCTGACTGTTGCAACTCCGTACCACCCAAGACTAAAAACCTTTCTTCCCCGCCTCTTAGACACATGCTGGGACAAATGCATCACGAAAGTAAAAGCCGCCACGGATAAGTCTGACGAAGGTACATACCTGAATATCTTTCGCGCACGGTTATCGTACGTCCAAGGGACGAAAAGCGGTCGCTAACAACACATTCCTCCGACTGTAGTATGCTTAACCAACTGCGTCGACCGATTCTTAGATAGCACCATCTTGCTCCTCAACTCGCTGGGAGCCCAGCAGCAGCGTTGATAGAGGTTGGTGGTCTAGAAGATAGATGCTGGTGTCAATGACACGGGGGCGTATTACTGGGGAAGTCGCGATATGGATCTCACGCGACTTTGCGATGAGATGTCGGCCACGAGTCACGACAAGGGTCTTCGACAGTGAAAGGCTCGTACACGCCTAGGTCGGCACTTATTCACGAGGGGGAATGTTTAAATACATGCACAATACATACAAATGAACACATGAATCTACATCTACGAACAATCTGTCCTAAACCCATAGCGCTTCGACACACAATACCGTGCGCAACGAACTCTATGTTACGCTACAGTCCCCTCCTCGCATTCGCAGCCCGCTGCTTTATCCTCTGCCCCGCCTTCGCCGCGGCCTCATCCCTCGTCTTCCTCAGCTGGGTCGCGCTCCTCCACACATCCTCGCTCTCCTCCGGGGTGGTCGTGACCGATGTGGGGGGTTTGACGGCGGGGATGTCGAGCATGGCGCGGATGGCGTTCGATTTGAGCGCGGCGACTTGGAGGACGCTGAAGGAGTTTGTGGCGATCCAGTACATGAAAATGCCCTGGGGGAAAAAAGACGGGGGTGTTAGTTCCCGCTGTGGGATGTCGTGGACAAAGACATTGGGGCAAATTGAGCCTTACAGCTGGCAGGTGGGCGGTCAGGGGGAACCCTAGCAAGGCGAGAACGCGGAAGACGTTCTTCATTGTGCCCGCCATGGGACGGCCAGCGTCCGCGCCGATCTGTTGGGGACAATCCAGAAGCGTCAGCAAGCTCCCATCCGGCATTCATCTCCACCTCACATCTCCGGCAAAAAGCCCAGCGAACACCCCAACATCACAAACCACCCACCTCCATAGTCAATAACATCCCAGCCGTCGCAATCGCCGGCAAAACATAAGTAGGATCCGCCAACGTCAAATTCGTGAACCACGCAAACCCGCCCGTCTCAAACCCCGGCACGGGCGCCAACGCCATTGCCCTCAGTCCAAAGAAGACACAAATATACACGGGTGCCTGCGCAAACGCCCACAAGCCCGCCAACGGGTTCACGCCCGCCTTGCTGAACTCCGCCTTCATCTTCAACGCCGCGGCCATTTTGCCGTCATGATCGTTGTTGGCGCCCGCGCGGTTCATCTCCTCTTGGAGGGGTTTGATGATCGGTTCGAGTCCCTGCATTTTCGCGGCGGTGCGGTGCATGCGGAATGTTAGGGGCAGTAAGGCCACGCGGAGGATGAGGGTGCCGGCGACGATGGTGGCCCACCAGGGCAGGCCGGTGGTGACGTAGATGGCTTCGAACATCTGTTGCGCGAGGCCGGGGGGTGTCCAGCCTCCAAGCCCGATTTGTTTGAGGTCGCCAATGTGGGTGATTGCTGATAGGGCGGGTTGAGTTGCGGCTTCTGCTATTGCGGGGTTCGTGATAAAGGAGGGGGTGGCGGTTGATGCGGTTGATGCTATTTGTTCTGCGCTCACTCCTGCTGGCGCTATGATGGGAGGAGGTAAACCTGCAGGCGGCGCTGGTGTAAGAGCAGACTGTGCTCCCGGAAGCAATTCTGGCGTCGCTGAGTCGTGCCATATCGGCTCTTCGGCACTGCCATCAGTCTGCGAAGCGGCCAGGTCTTTTGGCTTGGACGACCAGAAAAACGTCCGAGCTGGTGCAAAAGACCTTCCACCATTCCCCGTCCCCGTCCGACCTATTCCCAGCCTGGCACCGCATACAAGTGGGGACATTCTTTGTAATGGTATCGCCGTGAAGTTCCGTGCGAGCGCCTTTGTCGCAGGCCGTGTCCTGTGAAGGTTGTGGTAAGACAACATCGTTTTCTTTGCATGCTCAGATAGACTTCCAAAGACTAAAGAAGGTTTGAGGACTTACCATGCGGTTCCGAAATTCCGGGGAAGGGCCCGAGGGCAGATCAGCGCCTCGAACACCTGAAGGGTCCTTGGATGTGCCTTTGACATCTTTGGTAACCCTTGCGATATCGTGGTATACGGCTGCTGTCGCTGGAAATGGCAATTGCGTCGTGCAAGTGGTGGTGTAAAAGCACGGAAATTCAAAGGAGATTCAAAGCAGGGATGTGAGAGCACGCCGCGCGTAGCCCAGAACCCTAACCCACAAATCGCCAGACTCCCAGCGTCCTCATCGCACGCGACACTCACCCACATACAGTACATACAGGTTGGATGTTCCTGTGGTTGTGAGGCGGCGACCTCCCAAGGGTCCGGTTTGTTCCTCCGGTTTGTTTCTTAGACCGTCCAGCTGCTGAAATCGGCGAATATCGAGGATATGTTGAGCGCCGGGATACGCGATCGGAGGTATAACGCGGATCAATCTACAAGTTGGCTGTTTTGCTCGAAAAGTTACGTTCCCAACTCTCCCTTGTTCGTGAATAAGAGACTGATGGATTGACGACTTTTTTTTAGGATGAAAGGCGACTCTTCCCTCTTCGCCAAATCCATACCGGCCGAAAAGGCGCAGCGGAAGAGCGCCGAGGTCGTCTTGAAGGGGATCAGGGCGGGGTCGCCTCAAATTTTTGGTTCACCCCCCTCACGAAGCCACAAACCCTTCATTCATTCCTTCTGCCCCCGTCTCAGCCGAACGTATGCGTGAGGCCCAAAAGGGGGAGATATTTCTTTCATTGTATATATATAAACGGGGATATTGGAAAGAGGGTTGATTTGTGTTGGGTCTTCATGTCCCCGTTCAAACTCGATTGGTATGAAACCCCCCCCCCCCCGCCCATCCCGTTTGAGTTCCTCGTCTAGGCGAATAGTACACACGTGAGCAAGTCCAATCTGGAAGATCGACCTTGTGTTGGGGGCTGTGCGCTGATTTCGAGGCGGTCGGTGTTTGCCGGTTTTGGGCTGCTGTTTAACGCGTGTACTTTCCGACTGTGAACGGAGGGGAGGTTTAGTATTGGAATCATGTGGAGGAGGAAGAGCGTATAGACGACCGGGGCGCATACCAATGTGCAAGATGAAAACTGAAGCGATGAAGGTCAGGCTTCCGACGAGGACGGTGACGGGGTCACTGTTGAATGAAGGAAAAACGGCGGATTAGATAACGAGACGCGAGCGCAAGGGGATCCGAGTTCGAATGAGCGATGCGAACGATGTATGCCATGTGTGGTTTGTTGGGTCCATGGGACGAGCGAAGAAGAATTTGATTGGTTGATGGGGTGCCAAAGGACATCCTGCTCGCTTCGCTCGCGACCATAGTGACGAGCTCGGCAAGAAGAAAGAGATTGCTCCCGGTTCGCGTGGAAAACCTCCCCCTCGGATTCCATTCCGCAAATAAACCGCTCGCTGTCGCTCGTGATGTTGTCCGCGCAGACATCGCAACTGCGTGGGTCGTAGATCTTCGGCTTCCTTCATGCACCCCCTTCCCAACCCGTCCCCCAAAATCCGCCATCCCCTCGGGGTCAATCCCCTTCACTCACACTTTGATCCCCGGCGAGTCGTCAGTGTAGATACGAAGCATGCCACCTGGCCCTGCGGCTGGCCTGCTCGAGGTTGACGATCTGGCTGCGGTGGAGGAGCCTGTTTGGCGCCTTCGCAGGCCGGCGGCGGTCCTGGGCACGACGGGGGATGCTGCGGAGTCGGACTACGAGGGATATATTATCAGTTTCGCCAGGGTGGGGTTGCTGCTGGGGAGGAGAAGGGTGCCTTTACCATTATGGAGTTTGTGTGCGAGAGCGAGTTATTGATTGCGGCAGCTTTGAAGGATTAGGGGCCGTGCTCCAAGGTGACAGCGGGAGACGAGCGGCGACGTGTGCGGGATGTGGAAATGGGACAAATGGGACATGCCGCTCGCTGATTCGCTGCCGTCGCGCAGTTGAATGCCGGTCACGTGTGTGCGTCTGTCCGTGTTCTCATGTCGGGGAGATTTAATTGTGGACACTCTTCTTCCGAAGGGTTTGTGTTGAGACCGTCCGTTCGCACAAAGACCCCAGTCCAAGATCGCTCCCTCAGGAAACTCAGCCCCCCCATCGGTCTCACCCATAACGTATTCACTTGTATTTCATATTATATCTCTTTACTTCTACACGATCCAAGACCCGGGCTGGCCACCCGAGCTCTCGGTGATACATTACATAAGGCGCCAAGCCTCATGGACGCCACGCAAGCCCCACTGGCAGCTCATATATAAAGCTGTCAGTTGAGCGGCTGCTGCGAAAAGCTTCTTACTTTTTTCTTAGGCGCTGCTATGAATACCGGCGCTGCTATTCGATGTGCAGTAAAAGAGTTACTTGTTGTGAATAGGAACGCGCGATGAGCACTGTTAAAGTACCCGTGAGGCCAGAGTCCACTGGAGAACACGCTCTGGGACATGTCGCGTCGTTCTCCAACTAGACCGGACAACCCACATTACATTGCTGGGCTCAAGATCTGAGGTCCAACATGTGTTGTCCATGTAATGACATCGGCTTCAGTCGTGCATCCGGCTAGTTTATACAACGTGCTTGTGAATGGAACACGTAAAATATAGGAATCCCAATGCTCTCCTGCGGTTCAAGACAGGAAACGATCCTACAATACGGCTGCAGTTGGCGAACACTCTCAAAAAGATCCATATGTCGCGGACATTGTTTCCATCCTCAGGCCTGTGCCAATAACCCACAACGGTCGGCGAGGTGGAATCTTTCATCAATTTTCGCACATCACCGGGTGAAGACACGGGGGTTACATTCTGACCTCACCTGCGGACAGGCGCTTACCGAGACGCTTCACAACAGCTATCCATTCGCACGATACACAGAGACACTACGCACCAACAGGGCCAAAAATACAGAGCTACAAAAAAAAAGACCCCAGCGCACTTCCTCCACCCTCCACAAACGTACATACATCACCAGCCAATCCCCAAGAATAACTCGCATCCAAAAAAAAAACCCTTGCCCCCCAAAAAAGTATTTGTCCCCACTCAAACTCACCACTTTGCCTCAACCTTCCCCCAACTCGGATCCACAGCGCGGTACACCAGTACAACCCCGCTCCGTATCTCCTCCATCCTCACCACCGACCTCACAACACCCACCTCCAGCCCAGTATTCTGCTCTACAACCTCCCATACAACCGTACACCCCGCACCACCCCCACTCGACGGTGGTAACACCCTCACGACCACAGCAGTATGCACAGGCGTCCCCATCGTCACCGTATACCCCTTCGGACTCTTAAACACCGCTTCCGTGAACTGCAGAATATCCCCGCGGGCGACCAGGCGCATATCCCCCGATACAGAGAGGGTGGAGGATTCGGACGTTGTGGACACGGAGAGGATGCACGCGCCGTGGGTGTAGCCTAACGAAGGCATGGCGTTGCACGCGCGCAGGGCGTCGTGGGCGAGCGTCCAGCATTCGCCGTTGCCGACTGTGGTGCCTATGCGGGCCTCGCACCATGTTGCGACCGCGTTACCGTATTGGGTTGCGAATGTGGTGAGTTGGAAAGGCGTGGGTGGGGTGGGTGGGGGTTTATGACGTTGTTCGGCTTTTGCGGTTGATATATCGTCGTTTATCCATGTGATTTTGAAGTGGGAGGTTGCGAGGTTGGGTTTCCATTGGAAGGCTAGGATCAATTCGTTCGTTGTTTGGGTGCCCTTTCGGGAGCGCGAGGAGTGGTAGCTGTGGTAGGCGGAGCGGCCGTGGAGGGATGGGGGTAGGGTTGGGGGGGTGTGGGTGAACCAGCCTGTTGAGAGGGAGAGGTCTACCTGGGATGGGGGTTTGAAATCGGAGAAGGGGTAGGAAACGTAAAAGGGTTTGTCGGCTGGTGGTGGGGCGGGCGAGGCGGAGCGGGGAGGGGGCCGGGCGGAAGGGCGGGAGGGGGGTTCGGAGGGCGGGGTGGGGGTCGTTAGGGGGGTGCTGGGGCGGACGGTCCTTGATGGTTTGGAGGGGGGGTTCGAACCAGTGTTCGGGTTCACGTTGGAGACTGCTGTTGGCTGGTCCGGCTTCGGGCGCGCGGAGACCGATGATGTGCCCGTCGTCTGATACACATTCGGACCCCTGGCCGTCGAAGCATGACTCTGCGCACTCTGCGCCCTCAAATCGCTCTGCACAAACGGGTTATTCGCAAAGACAGACGTTGCCGTCGCTGGGGTGGAGTTGTGAGCAAGATGATCTCGCGATGAAGCTTCTTCTCCCCCACTCCATCGCGGCGGTGAGGATTTTGGGGGTTGCTGTTGTTGATCCTCAAGAAAAGGGTTACCTGGCTTCGCCCAAGAGGGGGTAGTTGGCGGGGGTGGTTGTCGTTGGGCCATATTCAGTGGGAGGTGTTTCTTCTGTCGCGGATGGCGCTGCGTTTCGTTTTACCTGAACCCTACGTACAATATGAACCGAGCATAGTGAGTGAGAGCGAGCGACGAAACAGTGAAGGTGCAGGAGGACTCTGTGCGCTGTGGTGGGGGGGGGGGGGGGGGGGGGGGGCGGCGTACTGGGTACTATGTAACACTGCAATGTGCTGGTGGCAGAAGGAGAAGGAGAAACCAGAGGAGGAGGGGCCGCCACCAGACAGAGAACAACCGCGCAAGTCACGTGAAGTGCGAAATAAACATTGCGGCGGAGAATATAACACCAATCAACAGCAAACTACAGTACAGTACCCCGTCAAACTCTCGCAACGCCCCTCTCTTCCCTCCACATCCTGCAAAACAACACTCCCCGTTCTCACCCCTTCCCCATCCAACCAGAGACATTCATCAGCTTGTGTTAGAAACATGAACGCTCACCTCTACGCTCTGGGATCTGCCTCCGTCCTCCTCCTCCCGCGAAGACGGCGGCCACAGATACAGCCCCCAATCAACCCAGACACTCCACGACCCCTCCCACCCATTTTCATCTCCCAACTATTGCCCAGCGTTTATATCCACCCAATACATTCCCACCGTCCAGACTCACCACCCACGCCTTGTTGATCAGAACGCTGTTGACGAACAAACACCGTCCACCAGTGGTATAACACACCCGCGTCGGATCTCAATACTCATCATGGGAAACAGGAACGAGAGAGAGCAATGTCGGGACGTAGATACTCCGGGCTGGATGGGATGAATAATTACCCAGGACCATTCGTTCGCAGAACTCATCGTACGGCGACGGCGTACCCACCCCATAGATCCACCGACTTTCATCATTATCCCCGTCCCCAACCATTCACTTTCTCGAACGTATCGACATCGTGTGGGGGTCTTCGAAGGGGCAACGCGGATATCAAAGAACATCAGAGCAATAACATCAGTAAATCGGTGAGAGGAATCCCAGGTAACGATTTCTGTATCATAGACCTATTGCTATTGCTATGTATATGTGTCCGAGGGTGCTGCTGTATCCACTTTGGCCGGGTGCCACACCTTCCGGGCAGACTCATAGCCTTCCGCGCTGTGGTGCCACGCCTTCCACCAGAGATAGAGCCCTTCCACGCGGAGTTATAGGCCGTCGGCGCGGAGTTATAGCCCTTCCGCGCGGAGTTATAGCCCGTCGGGGCGGAGTTATAGCCCTTCCGTGCGAAGTTATCACACTTCGTCACACTGCTTAAGAGATGATGGAACTCGTCTCCTATTCCTACACACGCATTATCTTTCTCCTAGCATGGAATAGCCCGCTCTCTCTCTCTCCTCTCTCTTCTCCTTTCTCTCTCTCCCTCTTCTCCTTTATCCCCTGGGTGGATACGCCATATGCGCCAATCCGGGGGGTGCTGACAGTGGTTGGATACGCAATATCCGCCAAACCATCTGGGCAGGGTATAGTCCGCTCTCTCTCTCTATCTCCCTCTCTCTTCTCCTTGATCCCCCGGATGCATGCGCCATATGCGCGAAACCATCTGGGCAGGGTACCTCCTCTCCTCACCCTGGCATCCACGACTACGACGGCGAAGCGATCGCGGAAGTTGATAGCGTACCGCGAGGCTGCCCCTATTCCGGGTTGTCTCGAGCGATCGTGAAGTGAAGAGCGAATCGCGAGGCTGCCCCTATTCTGGGCTGTCTCGAGCGATGGCGGAAGTTGATAGCGTAGCCAACCGCGAGGCTGCCCCTATTCCGGGCTGTCTCGAGCGATGGCGGAGGTTGATAGCGTAGCCAATGGTGAAGGATTGCGGTTGTTACCTGGTAGTGGTCGGCGAAAGGATATACTGGGTCAAGACGGGTGGTGGTTGGCGTAAGGATGTACTTCCGGGGCAAGAATGAGAAGACTGGTTTTGGAGTCACCTTGTAAACAAAAGCAGAGCAGAAAGTTGGGGTTCCACTCTGGAACACTACTGCAGCTGACAGGTGTGCTGTAGGTGTGTAGTTCAAAAAAGATCTTGGCAATGGCGGTGAGAGAGGGTGTGGAAGAATCTGCAATATGTTAGGTGATGCGCTACAGTACCGCCATTGGTGTCCGAGTTAATCCTCCTTGGCAGTCTTCCCAAGCTCGCTCAACCCAGGAACAATGCTATCAACCCGCTGCACATCCCGCCTCCCATCAGCAGCAGCCCGCCGCTCCTCGCTGCTCCCAAATATGGCACATCACGGACGGCCGAAACGGGATCCGCGCCGCCGCCCCACAACCCTCCACCACCCTCCAACTTCAAAAGGGCAACACACCCCCTGCACCTCACCCCAACAACCGGTTGTTTGCTCATGCGGCGTTGACGTCGGCGGTGGGGAGGAAATCGCATATACGGCGCAAGACAAGGTCTGGCAGCTGCGGTCGCCATCTATTGACGAGAGCGGTAGTCGTTGAAGGTGCTGACATGGCAAGGAATCGTGAGTCCCATGTATTTTTGCGGTATGCGGTTCACTCAACTTAAAGTTGCGCTGCTCAAAGTGAAGAAAGAAAGTGAGAAAAGACCATACGAGCTTGAAATCGAAGCCCAACGCTCAGAGACCCACTCCTTACCCACTCCTTGCCTACGTACGGAGGTGTGTGCAGGGGCTGCGGCAGAATGGCAAAGGCAGTCAAAAAAGAGAGGATTGTTTGGAATGCTGAGCTTGTGTGCTTGAGAAGTGGGGACTCGTTCATGGAGCGCAAAAGCAAACACAGTTCAGAACGAAGGACGTGCGGCACTGTAGCTACCCACGGACTGGTGCGACTGCGATGAAATGGATGAAGAAGAAGGTTACCTCCTCGATGGGGAACCGCTCACCTGGCCTTATTGCTGCGCGCCATTCCTGCGACATGGCTTGGCTGCCAACCTGCAGGAATTGATGCTCTACAATGCGATTTCCGATATGGAAACACTGCAAATCTTGTTGAACGAGTCTCAATCGCTCCGCGTCCTGGTTCTGGTTGGCCGACCGCAACAACCAGGCTTTTATGGAACTTATAGAGCACCGGAGATTGGGGGCGCTTTGGCAAAAATAAAGCGGCTGAACCAATTACGAAGTCTGACACTTCATGGTATCAGTGGTTTTCATTCCGCGGAATGGCCAACAATACTTGAAGGTTTGAGCCAGCATCGGCAACACCTCTCCCCCATCGGGGTCACGAACATCCTGGATGCACTGCCAAGACTGGAACACCTCGAGCTCTTCAGCGTCTGCAAAATGCCAACCCATCTAGACCTGGGTTCCTTCCGGATCACAGACCCAATGCTGCGACAGCGACAAGAGGCGGAAGACATCCTTACCCAACATCATCGGCCTCTTTTCGCCCATCCCACTCCGGTTCTTTTCCTACCCGTCGTTCAGGAGATGGAATACGACATGCGCCCAGATCTGGAGGTTTGGTCCGGGCCCGAGCCGGGACCTTTCGCAGCCCACCAATTCAGAGAGGGCGATCCGGAAGGCCCGCCGAATGCGGTTGACGTCGGGTACGATAAGCCGACCAAGCAGTGGTTTTTGAGAGGCGTTGCTGCTGAGTGAAGGATGAAAGTCTGAACAAACGGGGGAGACGTGGTGGGAAACATTGAGGAGCGGGTTGTCGGCAAACGAACTTGACAGCGTTGGCAGGTTACGGGTTTAGCTACACCGCTGGGTCGTTTTGGACAGTTTCTTGTAAGGTTTTGGATCACGTTTTGGATGTCTTGTGTTTTGAATCGTAATATGAATTTTTGGAATGCCTCACATCCGCGGAGCCCGAAATAAACCATTTGGGTTGGATGGGCAACTGATAATGTTGCCGTGATGGTCCCTATGGTCGTATGACAGGCCGGCCAAGAGGGGGAAGGGCGAGAGCGAGAGCGAGATGAAGTCACGCCGCCGCCCAACTCCTCACCGCCCTGCTCGGCGCCGGCTACCAACACCAATCCCGCTCCACGCAGGTCACCACCATCCTCGGCAGCGTCCTCACGGTCCGCAGGGAGACGATCGAGGATAGGGAGAAAGAAATCCAATTTGACAATCGGGCATAACCATCCTCCCTCTACGCCCGCTATATACAACCTCCCCTCTCCCACCCATTTTCCAAAACAACAGGGTTCACACAACACCCACCCCTCCCCCACCTCCCCCACCACCCCTCCCCCCCATATCACTGGTAATATCCGTCAAATCCAGAATAAACTGCTGGATCTTCTCCAGCTGCACCACGGTGCTCCCCGTTGCCACGAGCCGGTTATTGACGTGGCTCTTCACCAATTGGAACAAATTATTCGTTGCCCTATCGAAAATGGACAGACATCAACAACCCCGGCAAGGGGTGTGATAAGAAGAGAAATATGATTTTTTTGTTCCTTTTGACGTACATTTTGATCTGGCCTAATAGGAGGGATTTCTGGGTGGCGTTGTTGATAGTCTGATCGCATTCGGATTGGAGTTTCGTTGTGCGGGATTGGAGGTGTTCGAGTTTGGACTGGAGTTTTGCGATTTCGTTGTTTTGGTTTAGGATTGTTGTGTTCTTTTCCTGCCCAGACCAAATATCAATCACTCAATAGCTACCATTTTGTCGCATTAGCACCCCATACCTCGGTGCTATGAACAAATCCGGAGCGGTCACGTTCGGTGCGTTCCTGCGCCTCGCGTGCACGGTCGAGGAGGGCGCTGTTGGTCGCGGCGAGGGTATCGAACCGCGCGATAATGTCCTTGACTTCGCTGAACTCCTCGACGGTTTCGAGGAGGAGTTCCAGGTAGCGTTGGTATGCCAAATCTAGCATCACAAGAAAAGAAAGGGGTTGATGAGCCCCCGGGGAAATGGGGTGATGTTAAGGGTGATTACTGACTGGTCTCGACACTCCGCCCCTGCCTCTCCCGCACGTCGGTCAACTCAGCCATGTTGGTACGAAGGACGGTGATCTCATCCTCCTTCTGTTCGCGGACTTTCCGCTCGTCGAGGGATTTTTTTTGGGCGCGGGTTCTTTTTGCGTCGTTTTCCTAAAATTAAAAAAAATCACACTCATCAATAACCCCATCCCTGAAGAACACTATGCAGTATGTCCCCTCCGACCGACACATACCTTCAGAAATTTATCGAACTTTCCCAAACTCTCCCGCAACCTCCCCTCCTTCCTCGCCAACTCCTCGCGCCTCATTGCCAGCCCTTGGATTTTTATGGCAAAATCTTCCTTCTGATGCGTGAGGCCGTCTTCGACCTCTTGCATCTCCCGCCGCTTTTCGAGGAGCTTTGTGGCGGGGGTTAGGTCGTGGTCCTCTTGTTCTGGGGCGCGGCTGCGGGGATGGGGGGGTTGGTGAGTGAGGGATGGGGGGATGGGGGAGAGGGGTATGGGGCATATGGGGGGAAAGCAGATGGGGAGGGTAAGGGTAAGGCAGAACAGAACGTACACCATGAGTTTCTTTTCCATGTTCATGCGGAAGTATTCTTCGACGTTTGCTAGGCTGGAGGTCATTTTGGGCGGGTGGGGTTGGGGTTAGAATGATATGAGAGGAACGGGTTGTGGGGGTAATGGACGAGAGGTGGAAGGAAGGATTGTGTTGTGTCGGTGGGAAGGCCGTGCACGGGAGCGCTGTTAACGGCAGGGAAAAGTGACAGTGTCGGAGCGCTGGCCTCTCGGCGTGTGGCGCAGCACCTTTGATATTCATCCCGCCGGAGTGACGGCGTCCCTCTCGCACCCCAAGCGCCCGCATAGATCTTAGACAGCCTATCTGCTGATCAACCACCACGGCGCCTTGAAAACGGCAAAGATACATCCTTCGCAAGGCAGCACCAGCCGCCCCCCCCCCCCAAGCCATACAGTACTGTACAGTGCCGAGCGGCATGGGTTTAGTCTTGTATACCGGTGACGACCTAATAATTGCGAGACGCCGTCTGAAACGGTCATTGAATTCAATTAGAAGGAGAGACAGCTTTTTGTCCACTGACTGTACTTTGGCAACCGGAGTGCCCGCAGCGGGCATGGGCCATGGGCGATAGGCTGGGCCGTGGCAAGCTAGAAAGGGGAGAATGGAATACGTCCATGGATTGGTGGGTTGCCCCAACCCCCGAATGTATCAACCAAGACTGGACGCCATTTGAGATTCCTGGAAGACAACCACTACGGATGAAAGTGCACGATCGGGACGTCCTAAGCACCAAGAATTTCCTCTCAATTGTGCGTTCGGTGGTGTTTGGCAATGGCCGCAGACCAGACGCAATGACCAGACGCAATCTCCCGTAACCGGTAGTCTAGAATTTTCACCCCAATCCATTTTCCGTGGTGGTTATCTGCCATCCACATCATTGTACCTCTGCCTGAGGCGTCGCCGATGATGGCAACTTGTAAAAGCAGTTTTTCTTGGACGGTATTGACTAGGCATAAGGGGCCGTGGATGCAGCAGGAGGAAGTATGTTATGCAAGCCAAAATATAAAAGGAAAAGCGAGGCACCTCAAAGCGCCATGAAAGCACCAACGACGGCAGCAACGACAGCCGCCACCCTCACATTTGCCACGACCGGGCCCTCAGCAGTATTCTGCGTCGTACCCAGCTTAGCCCCATCACACCCAGTAAACACACCCAACTCGCCAAACGCCGTGTTCGGGCAGAACGTAACATACTCCTGCGACGAGGCGACAGCGGCACTCACATTCGGGCACTTCAACGGCCGCGCGTCGATGTAGAGCTCGACAAGGGACCCGTTGGTCTTTTGCGAAATGAAGGTCAGCGTGTAGTTGTTGTACACGCCTTCCTTGATGTTTCCCCCCGACACGCGCTTGCTCTTCGTATCGAAGGTTAGGGTAAGTGCACCGTTGGCATCGTCCGAGATGGGGATCTGTTGCTCGATCATAGAGGTCGCCGCAGCGTCCTGGAGGACGTAGTTGATGGTTTGGGAGGAATTTGAGGGCACAAACTTCAGGGTCGTCCAGTAGGGTGTAAACTCTTTCTTGTTTTGCATAGGAGATTCGCGGATTTCCATGCCGTTGATGGTGATTTGCGCCCATGGGTCGGCGTCGGAGAACTTTCCGTTGAGGTCGTCGGAGACGCGGTAATGCTTGGTGCGGACCACGACCGCGGTCACGTCCGTGTATTGCGCGGGCAGCCTCGCCCAAGGTGTGTAAACACTCGTAGCTTGTGCGATCAACGAGTCGTCCGGTAGAACAACGCCCGTGACAACATCCGTCGATGTGTTGAGGAAATTGTAGGGGTATGGGTTGGTGATCAGTTTGTAGACGGGGTTCTCGGAGCGGAGGTACAGGTTGGTGAAGGTGGTCTTGTCTTTTGCGAACGACGCGACCGATTTGGCCATAGTGCCGAGAGAGCCGGAGCCTTCTCCCTTCCAGTGTCCGTTGTCATCGCCGAAAACTCCTTTGGTTGTGGAGTACGACACCTCAAACGCCTCGTCGAAGTTCTTGTACAAGGCGTCGTGGTCGGTCTGGTTCGCGGGTGCCCAGTTTTTCGCCGCGTTCAACGTGGCGTTGCTAGCCTCGACCTCCCCAGCCCATTTTTCGAGGTTGTACAACCACTCGACACTGGAGGCGAAAGCGTACGCAAAGGTCTCCTCGTAGTATGGGCGGATATAGCTGTCCTTGTTGACTCCAGAGCAGTATTGGCCGTGTTCGACTGTTCCACCCTTAACGTTGAAGTCTATGGAACTGGGGTTGGTAAGGGATCCTATGATAGGCTAAAATCTCCATGATCTTACTTGGGTAGTTACGGTCCAGCCACTCGTATGTAGCCCAACCGGAAAGTTCGGGGCTGGTTGTGAGCAGGGTGTCTACGGAACTGTTGGCCGCGATAAGTTCACCCATGAAGGTGTCTGTGACGCCGTAGCATTCGCAGTCCTTACGGCGGTGCAACTCGGCCCAGTTCGAGTGTGCTATGTTTCGGGAAGTACCGCCTCTGATCAGCCTCCGCTCTCAATCAAAATGCACCCCGCTATCTAACGCGCCCAACTCACCATAGAGATCCTGGTAGGTGTGCAAACTAGTCCCAACAACAGCCAAATAGTCCAATACGCTTCCCCTCTTCACAGCGTCCTGGATCGCCGCCTTTGAGTTGACCACATGTTGCGAAATATAGTTTGCTCCATACACGACCGAGTAGAGGTTGTTGCAGTGCTGCATTTCCAGGTCGGCGATATGGTCAGGGACGATAGCAAAATCTGTTCCCAGAGAGGGTGTGAAGGCGTACATGTCGGTGGCCCAGTTGGCGAATGCGGAGAGCGCTTGGGCATCGCGGGAATAGCCGTACAGCTCGAGGGTGTTGCGAACAAGGTCGTTGTGCGGGCCGGTGTCGAAGGATAGCACGGAAGTTGGGAGGAGGAGAGCCAGGAGGGCAGTGGCCGCTCCGGCCTTTGTTGTGAGCATGGGGGAAGACATTCTCTGTTCTCGTCGTTGTGGTATGGGAGCAGCAAACACTTGGTATGAGTAGCGAGGAAGGGAAAGTGTCAAACTCTCCGACTGTTTCCTGAAACCCAGCAAGAAACGATTCAATACTCCTCCGAAGCTGCCCTGGCTGGAAAGAAAAAGCTCTCGGGAAGGCAGCACGCTTTTATATACGATCACCGCAAGCCTTGCCGGCGGAACATTCCGTGCCGAGAAGAGCCCTGCGACGCCAACTTTTTGCAGAACGCCTCTCGCGCCCTTCGCGCCAAACCGATGATGATGACGCGCCGGCGGGAGAGGTCAGCGAAAGCCACGGCTATACGTAATGCAACCCCCCCTCCCGAGTCCCAACTCCAAATCGGCTTCCATACGGACATGCATTTCGTACGCAGTCTCTCTACGCTGATGCTGACAGCGCCCATCGAAGCCTTTTGTTCTCTCCCCAGGAGGCCGAACATGAGCCCGTTGCCTTCGTCAGCACTGGTGACGGTAGCTAAGGGGGGAGCCATGTTTGGCAGATCCATACTGGATGCCTTGAATGCGTACAAGGATTTTGTCGCCTGGGTTACCCTAACCCTAACCCCAATCCTAACCCTAAGCCTAACCCTAACCCTAACCCTATCCGTAACCCTATCCGTAGGTAACCCTTGTGTACAGTTAGGGTTCTACGGATAACCCTACAGTTAGGGTTACATGCGCAAGTAACAGCCAATAACGGCCCTCCGCGCGAGAAACAGCCAATAACAGCCTTCCGGCCAATACCAGCCCACGGATCTCGAGTCTTTTCTGGAGGCGGCAACCCACTCGTATCATACTCGACCCGGTACTTCCCGCGGTGCGTGGCGTTTTGACATTCCCAGATTCCCACGCTTCGCAGCACATTACAATCGGCATAGGCACCATACTTCCCACAACTACAAAAATGGCACCAGCACAGCAGAAGTGAGTTTGGAGGGCAGAGTGAGGCGGCCGTGGTACCTCTACTGTGGGCCGACACGTCAACAACAGGCTCTCAATGAGTGCCATGTCGACCGCATTGGCTAACCAAGATGTCAAACCTGAATAGGAAAATCTTGCTCTTGGGCAACGGCTTCGTAGCCGGTCCCTGTCTCCGATACCTGTTGCGGCGTGAGGAGAATATCGTGACTATTGGTGCGTGTCTGTGGAATGCAGGCGATGAAATGCAGATCACGAAGGTTAACTCTAAACCCATGCAACAGCAAGTCGAAGAGTGGAGAGCGGTGAAAAGCTCGCCAAAGGCCACAAACGTGCTATCCCCATCGCGCTCGACGTGAACGATGATGCCGCCTTGGAGAAGGAGATTGCCAAGCACGACATCGTCATCAGGTGGGGTTGCACATACTTTACTGTCGTATGGACTTTCTTGTTGACGATCTGTGAACCCTTTGGCCACCAGCTTGATCCCATACACCCACCACGCTCGTGTGATTGGTGCCTCGATTAAACACAAGAAGCATGTCGTTACGACCAGTTATGTTTCGCCGGCGATGGAGGCTCATGACGCTGCGTGCGTGTGTCCGAGGCGCTGCTGTAGGATGTTGAATGTTGGGACTGACTCCGGCTTGTAGGGCGAAGGAAGCTGGTGTGACCATCTTCAATGAGATTGGTGTTGACCCTGGTAAGGAGAGTAGTCCTTTGCAGAACATTTGGAAAAGTGAAAGTGCGCTGACGTTGGTGGACAGGTATCGACCATTTGTACGCTATCAAGACCATTGAGGAGGTCCATGCCGAAGGTGGAAAGGTAGTGTCTCTCATTGGTCATTGAGGTGCTCTATCCACAAGGATATACTAAAGACGTGCGGCAGGTTCTGTCTTTCCTGTCCTACTGTGGCGGTCTTCCGGCACCCGAGGCCTCCAACAACCCTCTCGGATACAAATTCAGCTGGAGTTCCCGTGGTGTCCTTTTAGCTCTCCGGAACAATGCGAGATACGTCGAGAACGGGAAGGTTCGTCGAGTGCAGGGGGTCGATTTAAGCCCCATACTACTCTGGACTGACGCACGCAACGCGAAATAGCCTGTCGATGTACCTGGCGCGGAACTCATGGACAGTGCCAAGCCCATCTACATCTACCCCGCCTTTGCATTTGAGGGTTACCCCAACCGTGACTCTACTCCTTACAACAAGCGGTACAACATCCCCGAGTGCAAGACCGTTCTTCGTGGGACGTTGCGTTATCAGGTGGGTGGGCAAAAGACGGCGCCCTCTCCTTGTGGCGGGGCTGACCTCACCAAACGTTGATTTCATTCAGGGTTTCCCCAAATTCGTCAAAGTCTTGGTAGCCCTTGGATTCTTGAACGATGAAGAGAAGGACTTCTTGCACGAGTCGTCTGCCGCTATCGCCTGGGTACGCAGCACTGTGATATGGGCGCGGACGGATGGTGGGGTGGTGGGGTATCCCAGCTGAATTTGTATGAATTTACTCATTTTGCAGAACGCGGTGTTGGCGAAATCGCTGAACAGCCAGAGCGCAAGTGAAGCGTATGTATACCGAGCGATATTAGCGGTGGTGTTGGCATGCGGAATGTTAATGAGCTGGTAACTAACGTAAGTTTCAACAGGGATCTCATCAAGGCAGTGAAGGCTAAAGCTGGCCTGAAGGACGACGACGAGAGCGAGCGTGTCATTCGCGGGTTGAAGTGGTTTGTTATCTCTTTCCCCGCCGAACTGAGACATTTTCTACAAAAATGTCTCATCCCGTACAACCTCTCCAGGCTCGGCCTCTTCTCCGAAACCCCCGTCACCAAGCGCGGAAACATCCTCGACACCCTCTGCGCCACTCTGGAAGACAAGATGCAGTACCAAGCTGGCGAACGCGACATGGTTATGCTGCAGCATAAGTTTGACGTTGAGCTTAAGGATGGCACGAAGGTAACCGACGTCGATGCTCCCTTAGTCACATAGGGCAGAGAAGCCGTCGAATAGTGCAATACTGACGGGATTGCATTGTCATACAGCAATCTCGTACATCAACAGGCCTATGGTTCGGAGAGCCAAACGGCGACACAGCTATGGCTGTCACTGTCGGCGTGCCATGCGCGATCACCACCCAGCTGATTCTTGACGGTAAGGCCTGCCTGCCCATTCCTTCATACATTATTCGCCCAACTTCCACCACACACGTGCGAATTCTCACCGACACGTATGCTCTATTTTCAGGCAAGATCACGCGCACAGGAGTCCTGGCGCCCATGGACATGGAACTTGCTGGCCCGCTTATCAAGGCGCTGGAGGATGAAGGTATCAAGATGGTTGATGAGATCTTGTAGATGGGATGTAGTTGCAGTAGGTTGTAGAGACTGTTGCGTAGTGTAGGATGGAATATTGCGCGACTTGGGAAAACCTTGTTTTTCAATCATTTTCCGTGCCTCCCCAATCTTGCACACAAAATACATTATGACAACTATACAGGCCCACGCTCGATTCCGCGCCCAACTCAAGAAAGGCACTTAAGATTTAGAGGCACCGCATCACGCTTTTCCCGCTTTCATTCCGAGTGCTTGTCAGTATCCGTCGAATACCCTCCAGTTTTCCTCAGAACGTATTACCTCAACGCTATCAGGCGGACCGTCATCTCCACGGCTGCAAATGTGGGTACGGCTGCAAACGTGAGACTCGAATCACTTGCGCTCCTTCCCCATCCTCTCCTCTACCCTCGCTCGCAAAGCGCGAACCACTGCGGCCTTACGGAAGCGAAGAAAACGCGTAACAGGAAAAAAATAGGCGAACGAAGGAGCTTACATAACTCTCAACGATCAACCGCGAATCGAGAGGCTGACTGGGATTCCGCTGCCGTGTATCAGCGCCTTCTGCCCCTTAGGAAGATGGTATCAACGCTTAAGGGGTAGAAAAGGGGACCCATGGGACCACGTAGAGGGCTTCCCGGGGATCAGTTTGGCCGCGACGAGGGTTGTCGCCAAATCAGGGCCTCGGAACCGCTGAGCACACTAGTTTAAAAGAGAAGCGTTGAGAACCTTGGCGTCAGTTTTCACCTGTAGGTTCGTCCCGGGCGCGAACTCCTCCGCTTGTTCGAGTATGCTGCGTACGATTCCAGCGTAGTCGCCGTCCACGGCGCAGATCGAGTTAGGATATGGGTTCTTCTCCGTAAGGGGAAACTCGCCTTTGGCGATGAAAACCGAGTCCTCGTCACAGTAGGTGAGTTGGATTGTCAGAGACATAACGCAAAGCCGGGTATGCTGCAGTTTTCTCCGTTGGGTGGATGCTGTATGCTGCTATGTGCGAGAAAAGAAAGCGGGAGACGTAGCCAGCTTGTATGTTAACGTGCTTTTCCACACTACAGTACTCGTGCCAAGGTCTCGTATCATACTCGCCCGCAGTCGCGCCGAGGGCGCTCCGGCGGCACTCTCAGGTCCTAGGAGAGAGTGCCCGGCTTCACGCAGCGCGGGAAGTACCGGGTCGAGTATGATACGAGACCTTTGGCACGGGTATTTAGGTGGCAAGGTGGCCTTTCCCCACAAAAGAAAGCTCAGTGCGGCGTGCGCACTGCGCACATACTGTACGTTTGAGCAGTCGCGTCGCGAGGCAGGAAACAACTCCGCTTTTCCCACAGCTCCCTTTTCTGGCCCATTCCCTGCCATTAAAACAACAAACCCCAACCATCAATCCTGAGAATATTGGACCACACTAAACAGGGTATGGACAATCAGTAAAGTGTGGACTTTCATCAATTAGAAGTGCTGGATCCAAAATCCTTCAAACATACATCCAATCAGTAGAAGTTTTTCCCATCCACGTTCTGGAAAATCTATCCACAGTGGCTTCGCGTCACCTGCAGGAGAAGCAAAGGGGTGTCGTCCGTGTGGTCTCAGTTTTACTCTGAGAGCGGAAGGGACTCATTTACAAAGCGACAGAAGGAAGCTGTTTACGCAGGGGAGTGACCGGAGTATCCGTTCTCCGCATGAGAGCAGTGGGACAGTATATCAGAGAGTCTGCTCCTAAGACGGGTAACCCCTTCCCGCATGTTCCCGGAATCCTGCCCTATAAAGAACGCGTCGGAACTGATTACGTCACGCGACGCGTCGGAGTTGTGATTTCCTGAATCTGAATCGCGAGCAAGAAGAAACCATACACTCCAAGCCGATCTGTTTCGCTGCAGATGAAGCAACCACTTTAGGGCTTCCATTTCTGTTGATATTTGGATTTTCGTTTTTTTGTATGTCTTCGGAAGCGTCATTTGGCGTTTTTTGTGTCTTGGGAAGTAATGTACTGTACTCGGGAAGCGGCTCTGCTTACCTGTCGATGTAGACAAGATACCAACGTCGAAACCGAGCGAGAGACAAAAGGAAAAGACTGCGCTGGCTTCGCGGAAAGCGGAAAATGTCAATGCGGGAACAATCAGCGAGGACAATGCCAGCAGAATGAGCAGCGTGGCAGCAGAATGTGCAGCGTGGAGGCTCACAAACTCCCCCATTCCGCCGCATTGCTCCGTTCTCGTCTCGTCCACTTTTCCTGAGGGCTCAGCGTGCTGTTGTCCGTACGCTACAATGCTGACAAGAGAAATATTCCCTATCAGCGAGGAGGGCGAGATGAAGTTCACATGTCCGATCTCGAGTGCTGAGGTGCGGCTCAGTTCCTCATATTTCCGGGATGTCGAAACTTACAATGGATATTAAGAAAGGAATTGCGGGAGAGCTGGCGGGGCGGCGCGGGACCGACACCAGATTCTTCCGGGAGCATGCCAGTCTCCTCAGACCAATGCACAAAATGGCTGCAATGCGGAAGGGGATCTTCAAACTTCATTGCAACTGGGGGAATCGGGGCAGAAAAACAATGCCGTGGCCAGATCGTGAAGGGCCGAATTGCGAATACGACCAAGTATCCTGCTTTCAGGCACACAAACCTTTGGTCGTCTTTAACGGAAGACAGACTTTTCCCGTTGGCCGCCTGTCCCCCGAGAAACCGCGATACGATACTGACAGGTCACCCGTGGAGAATCGCTTGTGGTCCCAAGATCGACAGACAGCCATGTTCGAGCGCCATCAGCGTCTAGTCGAATCTTCTTCGCAGGTCAGCCATGAGCTTCGGAACTTCTTGCTGATACCGATCGATGCTCATCGGAAGCTGTGATAACGGCAGCTCTGCGATTGACAGGCTTGCTTTCTTTTTCTTGATGATCCTTTGTGCTCTACCTTTGCTGCTTTTTCCCGTTGTTATTGCCCTTTTTGCTTTCCCAAGTCCACAAATATCTGGATTCCGTGCTTCTGAGGCATATTTGCTGGGGTAGTGCTAGATCGTTTGTGCGGCTGATCGTCCTCGGACATGTTGAAGCTGAAGTGGGCTGTTGTCACCGGGACAGTGCATTGAGGGAGAGGCATCGTACGGTAGTACGCGGCCACCTGGGCTCCGTCGATGCACATCATCCCAAGAACTGCAACAACACAAAAAGTTGAAGAGACGCTAATCGATGATTGACAGTTTGACAGTTTCGCTGCGACTGACACTTTTGACAAGCTTGTCGGAGTTACAATAGTAGACTTCCTCCAGCACCGATTGCAGGGCCACGCCCACAAAAAACTTTTCGAACCACAACGCCGCAGGGCCAAAATCACAAGCACATTGATGTGGACCTCCGACTCGCCTCCGAATTATTTACCTGAGCAATATGTGGGTTTTCGCCTCCCTTTCCATGTCTAACAGCCCTGGCCACGGATGAAACCTTCACCGCCGAAAAAATGGCCCCCGACATGTTGAGCGGTTCGCAAAATTCGCTCTTAAAAAGGGCACGTCGCTCCACAACCCCTGGGCAGAGCCATGGATTCTTTTCATACGAGCGGAGCTGATCCCTCGTTGTCCCATGGATTCTACGGCCGGAACGTTCAGGCTGTAGTGACAGCATACTAAAAAATCGGAACTTCCAAGCAATTACGTTCACATCAACAATCTGGGCGACTACCAACTTCAAAACACCGCACGGTGCTAACATTCGACGATCCTGCGCACATATTGCTTGCACCTTATTCGAAATTGTTCCTTGACCTTGCACTGATGCCACATGGCGACAAGGAGGAACGGCTGGATGTCAGTGCGTAGTGAGGGGCAGTGCTTCAGTGACGGGTCCATGTAAGTTCACCGCATGCTCCATTGTGATAACATCGCAGCCCGTTGACATTTATGAAGTTTTGCGAGGATTTGTGCATCGTTGTGCGTTTCCCTCGAGGCAAGGAAGAGGAGGCTTCTGGGCCTGGATGAGGGGGACTTCCCCAAGGAGCGGACTTTGTGAACATCGAAAAAAAAGGTCTGGTCACAAACAACTGGGTTGATCGTTCATGCTGAAACTTTTTCGCTCTCCATTCCGCTTGCCTTAGGCTTGCCTTAGTGCGGTCATGGGAATTTTGGCGGCCTTGCGACTGAACAACCACTTGCGGGAGCGGAAGATGTTCTTTTTTGGAACTGTCACTGAAGCGGCATGCGAGCTCGTTGGCTATAAAAGGGAGCAGGCCGGTCGTATCCACCCATCCTCATTCCGGATCCCACATCCCACTCTCCTCATCCATTTTACACCTCGCATCCGATTTACGATCTGTCACCTCTTCCGATACATTCTTACACGATGATCCTTAAACGCATCACGCGATTGTCACTGCTTGTGTACGGGGTGCTCGGCATCAATGCACTTCCGGCTGTCCCGGTCTATGACCTTAATGGCATCGACTTGACTGTGCCCGTTGAACGGCAGCATCGTCATTACGGTACTGGATTTGTGATTTAAGCATTCAAGCGAGGCTGTTTCAAGCCGTTACTAATACAGGGGTTCCTTGTCGATATCATCTGTGCTCTCGGAACAGATGTCGTGGCGCTTGAAGTTCCTATCGTGTTCAACATTTACGGAGGTACGTTGGATTTGCTTGTCGCTCATCATATCATTATCACTCAGTCTCATCCGCGCTTTCAATTCCCGATGCTCAGATCACGATCCCAACGGACTCATGTTTGCGTTGAAAGGTACATTGGGCAAAACCTTGAAAAAGCTTAGATGCAATAGCTGGTGCTGCTTTTTCCCTTGTAGAGAACGAGCAAGCCCTCGAACGCTATTCCGAGAACTTTGTCCCCAACTCAATCAATGCGACTTCGCGTACTGCACGCCGGTTTGAGCTCAACCCGCTCGTGCGCCCTCTTGTGCTTCGCTGCAACTTGCACGACTCCGTCACCGTCAACCTGGAGAACCACATTCGCAAGCATGCTGTAGGCCTCCACGTTGCTCTGGATGGGCATGATGTGAGGGACGACGGGTCCGCTGGTGAGTCTTCTTATTGCGAGGTGCCCTCGTCATTCACTCCATCGTAACTGCTGGTTCAGTCGGCAGGAACCCTCCGTCTCTCGCACCTCCAGGCGGCCGCTATCAGTACCATTGGCAGTGTGGCCACGAAGGTGTGATGCAGGCAACCTCGGCGGGCGCGAAAATGATACCAATCTACACGGCCTCTTTGGGGCGTTGGTGGTGGAACCCTTCGGCTCTCGCTGGTGAGTAGCGGAGTTGCTAAAGTCGAGATGACACACCGCGTTGAAGAAGAAGACTGACATCTGGAGCACCGTCCCAAATTCAGGACGCATCCCCACACCGGCAAGCCTATCCGCGACGGCCTTACTGCTGATATCCATCCACCGAAGCGATCGGGGTACCGGAACTTCAAAGCCGACTTCTTCCGCGAGGAGCCCGAATTGCACGACCCTAGCGCTTCATTCCGCGAGCACGTCACTATTTTCCATGATCAAGCGGAAGTCAGAAAGGGTTTCAAGTTGACGGAAAACCCGTGCGGCGAAGGGCAACCGGGGCCGTCTGTCGGAAGGCCGGACGTCGAAACAAGAGACAATGATGCTGTTCACGCAATCAAGTAGGTTACGGATCCCATGAGGTTACCCCCTAATCCCATATTCCTGACGCATTTCATTTCCATCGTAGCTACCGCTCCGAACCCCTCCGCAACCGTCAATCCGACGTATTCGACCGCATTAACAACGGCATCCTTAAGCGTCCCGTTTTCGGGGAAGAACAGCACCATTCCTCTTGGATGCATGGCGACCCGGGTTTGGTGTTCACCAACTACGCTGGAGATCCCGCCAAGTTTCGGGTTGTCCACGGCGGCGTCCAAGAGACGCATGTGTTCCACTGGTGAGTTGTGAGCTTAGATTTGTAGCTGGGCAACGAATACAAGTTTCGCTCACTTTATCATTCCGCCCGCTAGGCATGTGCATCAATGGTATGCCGTCGACGGAAAGACCGACAGCCCTATCACTGATTCCTTCAGTTTGTCACCACAATGGGCAACGACGTTCACCGCATTATATGGCTCGGGCTCACGACTGAAATCCATCGGCGATGTGATCTTTCACTGCCATTTGTACCCTCACTTCACGCTCGGCATGTGGGGAATCTTCCGCGTATTCGATAAGCTCCAAAATGGGTCTCAACGCTACCCCGACGGCAGTCAGATCCAGCCCCTGTTCGTGCTCCCCGACCGTCAACCTCCGCCGCCACCCACCGCTCTTCGGCCTGGTTTCCCAAACTTCATTCCCGGCGAGTTCCGTCAGAAGTCCCCTCGCATTGGCTGGCCCGAGGCAATACTCGGCCCCATCCCTGAGGGATCAGACTATCGTCCTGCCAACCCTATCGAGGTTGCTGCGATGAACGCCAACCCCCAGCCCGGAAACTTCTGGGCCCTGTTTCCCACCCGCAAACGGGGTTCATCGATCGCGGAATCCCTGTACGCGAGGTCAAGCACAACGTCTCAGCAATCAATAAAGATATTTTGTTCAACAACTACGGCTGGCATGATCCGAAAGGCCATATCTACATGATTGAGGAGGAAGAGTTTGGCGACCGGAACACCCCTACCCCATACGACCCATTGATTCTCCGCGGCAATCACGGCAATGTCCTCGTCAACACGATTAAAAACAAGTTCGACACCTTCCTGCCCGAAGACGCTTTCGAAATGGCAGTGCCCGACTGCCCGAAACATCCTTTGGAAGGGGAGGTCGGCATGCACGTACACCTAGTCAAGTTTGATGTCCAGTGTTCTGATGGAGCTTCCGTCGGTTGGAACTACATCAGTGGCGCTCGGTTCGGGCGGTACTACATTGCGCGTTGGTGGGCAGACGAGGAATTCGGTCATGTCTTCTTTCACGACCATCTCTTCCCACAAACCCGTCAAAAGCGCGGATTGTATGCAATGTCGCCGATTGAGCCTTTCGGAGTTCTGTTGTCCGCAGTTTTTTCGGTCTGTGCATGCCAGCCTTCGCAGAGTTCTGATCAATGGTTCCAAATACTACTCCAGGTGCGGAATACTTCTTGAACAACAATCTGGCTCAACGCACGCTCACGGGGATCCAAGCTGCGATCCGCAAGCCGGACGGCGACTGGTTCTGCGAAATTGTCCAGTTTGTGGCTGACCAGCATCCAGCGTTCACAAGAGTTGGGATCCCAATCAACCCGCCGCCTTTCCCGTCCGCACTCAACGACAACGGCGTCATGGTGGTCAACTACAAGTCTGAACCTTTCCGCGAACGCATCAAACGCTTCCGCCGCGAGCATCACCAGGAGCCGGACCCGCGTCTGCTGATGGACTCCAAAGTCTTCGGCGATCCCTTCACCACTATTTACCAGTCATACCCAAACGATACCATCCGGCTACGCATCGGGCAAGGCTCGCACGAAGAGTCTCATTCGTTCAATGCGTACGGGTTCCGCTGGCACGACCTCTGGACAGACCCCGACTCGCGCCTCGTAGATCAGCAAATTCTCGGCATCTCCAAGGCCTTCACCAAAATCATCGAGGGAGACTACACGCCTGGCGATCACCTGATTTACTGGGGCGTGATCGACGATACATGGCTCGGGTGCTGGTCGCTCGTTCGTGTCTTTGACCACCTGAACGCATCGCTGCCGGTGCTCCCCAGCAATGCGGACCCGTTCAACAACCGTACCACGCCGCACTTACCGGCTAAGATCAACCCAAGCCGCCACAGAGAATACCGGGTCGTTGCGGAAACGAGGCTGATTGATTATACGGAGGGATTTTTGGGGCAGCCTGGAAGGATCCGTTTGGTTTGGTTTATCGGCTCGAGGCTTACAAAGGTTCGTTCCCTCGGGGTTATGTGTAACATACAGGATGCGTAAACTAACATCTGGTCAAATCCGCCCTTGTAGAGCCTGGAACGAATACATGGATTTCTGTGGCGCAAAAGGGCAAGAACCCGGAACCGCTAGTCATCCGCGCCCAGGTCGGCGAGTTTGTGACGGTGTGGCTCACCAACAATATTCGTCGGGACCTGGTGGCGGAAAAGCACAGACCCGAAGGTAAGTCTTATGCGGGCGGTCTCTACGCTGGCCCTTTTGGCGAGAATCGTCCCTTAATGCCGTTCTTTTCCTTCTTCTTCAATAGTCCCGGTGGATCTGTTGAACTTCCGCAGAGTCTCGGAACACGTTTCCATCCACGCTGACATCGTTCTCTTTGATACCCGTACGAACGATGGGACCAATGGTGGGTTCATCCGTGTCTTTCAAGTTCCTCAGGTGGCGACTTCAAGGCGGGCCCTAATCCCATTCCTGCTGCAGTCGGTTTCAATCCGGACCAAACCGTCCCACCCGGCGAAACTCGGCCTTTCACGTGGTTTGCGGACCAGGTACGAAACTGCTTTAACCAAAAGGAGAAGAATCGTTGTTTTTCGTTGCGTTATGTTATTCATTCGGCTGATGAATGTTCGCCGGCTCCCAGTTCTATGGCAGCCCCATCGTCCTTCAAGATCAATCCGACTTCCGCAACCATCGGCACCACGGTCTAATCGGCGCGCTCGTCGTTCGCCCCCCAGGGTGGCTTCCCTCTCGTTGGTACGGTCAGGAAGCTACGCTACAGCGCGTATGGTCAGTACCCGGGCAGTTTGACGACAGCGCGAGTATTCGGTTCAATCAAGCGGGCGGCGCTATGGGGTTCCATCCAAGAATCGATGAGGATGATGTGTTTGTCATGGATGAGCATGTCATTTTGTTGCAGGATGGTAAGAGACACCCCTGTTTCCGCCTGTCGCTTGGTCCCATGCTGACTTTGTCTGTCTGTCATTACTAGGCTTGCGACTCTTCAACAGAAGAAATCCGAACGAACCCATCCCCGACATAGACACGAACGTGAACACCGGAGCGGACGGCGATGTTGCGAATGCCGAGATTATGAACGATTTGCAAGCCCCGAGACCGCACACCCTTGCTCAGTTCCTGCGTGACCCGTTCTTTTTCAAGGCGTGCAACATCTCAGTCTGGTTGAAGGAGCAGCATGGTCAGATGCCCTTGCCGGACGACGATCGGGACTTGTGTCACCCTCATATGCGGCGGTTGGCAAACCAGATCGGTAAAGATGGAACATTTTGTTCTTCAAGCGCGCGCCGTTCCCCTTCTCATTTTGCTCAAACGACGATCAGACCCGGAAGATCAAGGACAAAAGGGGCTGAACTATCGCTCGGCACCAACCTTTGACCCCATCTGGCTTCAACCCGACAACCCGCCCACACCCATCTGGCATGCGGTCCAAGGAAGGTACCAGATGTTCCATATGGTAGCCGCGAACGATAAGCCGCGAGCGATTTCGCTGCATGTGCACGGACATGTGTTTTCGGAGATTGAGAACGCGGGAGCGACTGCGACAGGCGTGGACAATGCGATCAACCCGGGACGCACGGAGACGTTCGTGTTCAAGGCCGACAGGCAAGGAGATTGGGCGGTTCGGCCTTGTTCGGTATGACGGCGTTGTTTTTCGGGGAGCTTGGAGGAGTGATGCTAAACAGTACCGATACCTTTCCCGTACTCGCACCGATCAGATCGCACGTTATGGAAGGAATGTGGTCTATCTTGCGCGTGAGCCCCAAGGAAGTAGATGTGGGAAGCGAATTCGTGGACGAGGCTCCCCATCGAAATGATGGCCTGCAGCAGGACAAGACCGACAAGGACGACAAGAGCACTGCCGATATCCCGTCCGTTCGTTTCTCCGGTCATCTCTGAGCTTTGCTCGGATACTTGCGATGACCTGCCTTCTGTTTCGCAATTGTCTCGTCCTTCCCGACCACTTTTATTCCTTTTCCATCATTCGACTTTCGTTTTCGTTTTGGGAACATTGCCACTCTTTGGACATTACTTTGTGTACGGCGTATTTGGGATCAGATCTTCAATTCTTTATAGTACAGTATATGAAATTTCAATGGAACATTTTTCCTCTTACTTGCAATTTTCGGAGGTGCGAAAGAACGGTAACTTGATGACTGGCTTCTGGATGAGCTTCATGTCTCGAATATGAACTGAAAAAGACTCGATTGCGAGGGTCTCGCGCATGTGGCGGACACGAACACGTATAGCGGATGATCGCGCTGTCGATTTCCACGCGCGGCTGGTGCGTCTCCAACACCACCCAAACGCAGCTTCGTCCGTCGGCCCAACATACTGTTACATGAGGTCGTAAGTCCGGATCCAGCTCCCTAGAAGTAAAGCGCCCTTGCGGTTATACATACACCAAACAGCACAGTCAACCACCTCAGCATCCGTGTCGGGAGCATTCTTGGGCGTCTATCGATCTATGCGGTGGCCGTATAGCCCTTCTGGCACGGCCATCCATTTCGAACCGCCAAACGGTCGTGGCAACATACCGGATTCCAACCGCTGATTTTCCGACATTCTCCTCGTTTGCAGCGCCCGATGGAGCTCTTTAGGCGGCCTCCAACGTCAGCGTCCGCTGGGACATTCAAACCACCAATTGCTATGCGAAATTCCTGGACTTCCAATCCACAGTGGCATCTACCGCCTCGTAGTAGGAGACGGATATGTCACTGGGTCCGTTGGGTTATATTCTGTTAGATCGACTACCAAATTCAAGTGAAATTTCCCGCATCGGCCTCTAACTCCGCACATATCTGCTGCGATGCTCAGACCCCCTTGACGACGCGGCGTCGTTGCGGCGAGGTGTTGTAGGTAGGGAAAACTCAATTCACATCGGAGATGGAATTGGTTCTTGCGGTCGGGATCACCGCCTCCTGCACAGCCGATCTGGTGCCATCCTTGCAACGTTATTTTCATGATGACTCAAACAAGCATGCCAAAGATATGAAATATTCAGCAGACAATACAGGACATAAAAGTCTAAAAGCCGCGTCCTAAAAAGAATCCTCCAAGTCCAATCAAGACAACTGTCGTCAATATGGGCAGAGACGGAAGATTTCCAACGGCGGGCGATGTCGCATCGCGGTGCTCACTCGTAGGGACACTGGCCGTAGTGGGTTGGCTTGCCTTGGCCGAGCTCGACGGCATTACGGTCGGAATCCTCGTGGCCTCATTTATTGAAACGCTCGAGTCGACACTCTTACTGGCGTCGGCCGTGGGAGTTTTGGTGACGTTCGGAACAGACGTCGGCGTAGTCTTGGGTGGAAGTTGTATCGACGACTTGCGAGGTTTCTCCTCTGTAGTTTGATAGTGAGCGATAGGAGATTAACAGGCGTCCTATGGGGTGCACTCTCGCGCAAATTAAGCCTATGCATATACGTACCCAGCGTTTCAGCCTGAGCAGGACCGTTACGCAAAATTGCCCACATCCCGTCAGTAACGCCGAAGAGGCTGACCCCTAATAGTAATAACCACTACCAGTCAATGACCACATCGTCGAAAAGTTCAGAATAGCTACCCACCGTTACGGATCAACCAGTCTCCTTCGACGGGGTTCTCCAAGTCAATCAACACCGCGGATCCCGATGTAATGCCGTCAATGGTGCTGACATAGGGACTCGCGACCCCAGGTGTCGGCCATCGTTTCCAGGTGTGACCGTGAATGTGAATAGTCATCATTCTTTCTCGTTCCGTACCTCCGATGACAGAAATCTTGTGGCGCCGTCCTGCCCTTCCTGGTAACACCAGCGCCCCGGGGGAATCGAAGAGCACGTGGGTCTCATTGACCCTCCGGTGTGTCGGGCAGGAACGGTAGTTGATGCCCTTCTGACCTCTATCCTCGTCCTCATCACTTACAGGCGTATCTAGGACATTCATCGTCAAATCCCCGTTCTTAAAGTGGCGTAGCCCATCCTGGACAACAAGCACTGACTGATCATAGATGAGCCCTGTGGAAGGGACACGTATGACCGTCGAAGTCCCGACCCATTGATCAGGCACAGCATCGTGTTCGAGAACAACAACCGCTCCAATTGCTCCGTGACGACGGTGATTTCTCACATCGGCCATATCGTGCATGGGTACCGCTCCGACTTCCTCGTCAGCGTGATACGTATAGGTCTTCCATTGGCCTGGTGGAACAGTTTGATCAGGGTTCCAACCCAGATTCACACCCATCGAGTCTCGAACGTCGAACTGCAACACATCCACATGGATGGAGATGTGATTGGAGACGTTTCGGGCGTCGTTCTCCACCGCAATCCTCGCGTAGGCCGGCTCCTTTTTCATTGAAGTGATCAGCCGGTTCTCCAAATGGATCTTGAGCAGCTCTCCTTTTCGCACGCGGAGAACCAAGGGTTCCGGCTTCTTGCCAAACGACGACACGGCTTGCCACGCGCCATCCGGTTCCTTGTACGAGTCCACTTCATACATGATGCCAAACGGGTCGGAGAGATCACTGTCATAGTCAATCTGCCTGCGGGTTGCGACGACTCGGTATTCCCGCGTCTTCATTCCAGCAGCGGAGTTGAGCGAAAATATGTTTGACAGTGGACGGAAGTTCGGTTTCCGGTTTGAAGATAGCAGGGGTAGGTTTGGTCGAATGCCATCGTGGACCCGAATAATGCCCCAGTTTCCCGTCCAGAGATCATTGATTCCAGAAAGCTTATACATATGATCGCCTGGTCCGTACGTTCGATCGATCCAAAGGTTCGTCGCCTCCGATATTCCGATCGACTTTTGATTCGTCCATTTGGATGTAGGGTTATCCAAAAACTCGCGCCACTTCATGCCGTAAATTTGGAAAGAGTGATCCTCCTCGTGACTTCCTTGAACTATGCGAAGGATGATCTTGTCACCAGGGTAAGCTTCGTAGAGATGAGTGACGGGTTCTTTGAATTTGCGACTGGAGAACCACGTTTCAGGATTTCCGCGCGAGGCTCGATAGTTAAGGTCTTCGGCTCGATACCCGATCATCGAGATACCAGGATCGTCCATACCACCAGGTGCTGTAGGCGGACGGATGGCTTGGCTGAGACTACCGTTGAAGGCAGGTACAAAGTCGCCAAAGGAGAACGCAAACTCCCTGTAAGAGTCGGTGGGTGTCTCGATTCTCGCTTCGAGTCCAGCAATCATAGGTGCGTTGGTCCGAGGATTGAAGTACTTGCTGCCCTCAGGCTCGATGACCATGTTCCCGTACAGTCCGGCTTTCTGTCGAGTGTTCGCAAAGAGGTGATCGTGGAAGAAGATACTGCCAAACTCCTCGTCGGCCCACCATTTGTAATAAAACTTCTCGCCGGCTTTAGGCGCACTGATGTAGTTCCAACCAGTCGATGAGCCATCTGCGGACATCACGTCAAACTTTACCAAATGAACATGGAAAGAACTTTCGCCCTGATAACCAATAGCACCGCATACGGGCAGCGCATTGTCATGGCGATTGGCAAGGGACTTTTTCGGCAACCTATTGATGGCAGTGATATCGATGACCTGACCTTTGTTTGCTCGGGCCACAAACGGCTCGTATGGATAAGGCTCGGACGGATCGACGTCGGGAATCTCATTATCCATGATGAACATTGTTGCGCGGTCCACGAACCATCCATGCTCGTTCAGCTTAGTTTTTCTCTCGATAACGCTGATGTTATACTGGACGGATGGGAGCGCTCTCGAGAATGGTATCTTGACGAAGAGCCCTCCTGGGACAGGGTCGTCGTTCATGGCAGCTACTTCTAACTCCGTCGCCGGTCGGTAGGTGTAGCCTTCGGGCACAGGGCCGAATTTGCTCTCCGGCCAAGGCACGCGGGGGGACTTTTTGCCCATCTTCCCCGCGATGAAGTTTGGAAACCCAGGTTTCTCAGCGGTTGGAAGCGGCGGGCGTTCGCGATCCGGCAAAGGGAGGAGCGGCCTGATCTGAGTGCCGTCGGGATACTTCATGGTTCCATTCTGAAGCGTGTCATAGGATCTTTGGATACCCCACATCCCATGGTGGAAGTGCGGATACAAATGACAATGCCAAATGACATCTCCGGGATTTAGCAGTCGAGACCCGGAACCGTAAAGACCAACAGCGGTATAGGCCATTTGCGGTCCGAGAAGCATTGCATCAATCAACGGGGAAGTGCGGTCCTTGTAGTTTGCGTGCCACTGGTGAACGTGCCAGTGGAAAACATGTGTCTCCTTCACACCTGCGTGGAACACGTGGATCCGTAGCGGATCGCCGATGTAGTTCCTTAAGATAGGGGTAACCGGGTCGCCGAACATCCATGAACTATGGTGCACTAAGGGGATGGGTGCGAACAGGATTCGCTAAGTCCCGGTCGACCTCTTCTCAACAGCTGTCCAAAAGCCGCTCCGATCCTTACCTTCTTCATCATGGGGCGCATCAGGGTCATCCTTGTACTCTCCTCGGTTGTAACGCTTATGCATAATTCGAAGGCGGTTTAACATCGGCTCAGAGCGATAACTAAACCAACAAAGGCTTCAGCAAGGCATCGTACGCAGCGAGCACACAACTCGCAGCTCGCTAAGTTACCTTATAGGCATAATCTCCACAGCTCGCAAACCGGGCAGACCTTCAAGGTCCTTGTCTGCTTGCTCGGCTGCCTCGGCAAGGGCACCTAAAACAATTTGTTCGGCGGCATGCGGCATCTCCGCAGCAGCAGCATCCGCAGCACCTCCAACTTCGACTTCTGGAGCATTCGCGGGCTTCCTCATGCTCATTTGTGCACTAGGAGCGTCGGCTCCGCAAGGGCTTGGCACTAGGAGAGTCAGTTAGGGCTAGTTCGGAGGAGTTATGTCTGTGATGATGCTCACGTACCTTCTTCGAGGTCAGGATTATAAGCCTCCACTTCGTCGTGAATGAATACGACGAATTCTCTATAAGACGCTTCATCCGGCGGGTATTTCGGAGGGTCTGATCCCCACCCAGGAAGATTGTTTCGCGCCTGCCGCCTGTGCCAATAATAAGGGGCCGAATGCTTCCGGAATTGTCATAGCCGCCATGCATTACTTACCCGCGCTTGGGTGGGTGAACATCAGCGTAAGGTCCGTCGATGAGTTCCGCCCCAGTTTCTGGATCAGTCCACACGGCGTGGGCTTCTTCAACAATGATGGCTCCGAATAAGCCATGGGAGTTGGTGCCTTCCTTCCCACCGTTAAGGTCTCCGGCATCTGCTCCGTATTACACATGAGTGGTGAACACCTTACGCCCTACCATAGGTCAATCTGCTTGACGTACCTTGAAAGAAGAACGGCCCTTCGTGCTCGAGCTCCCAGACGTACTCTCGCGTACCGTTCGGCGCAACAAGCGAATGAGGGTTCTTCCCTACAGCGGACCCGTCACTGGAAGTGTTATATCCTGCGGCGTTCAGATGGATACCGACAAATCTGTCTGGTATGAGATTCTCGAGCTGAATAATGACACGTTCGCCGACTCTGGCGCGCAGCACCAAAGGGGTGATAACAGGATCGACCGTCAAATTCTGTAAGACGCTAATGTCAGGAAAACCGATTTGGAAGGTCTCAGAGGATAGATCCATATCACCTTCGCCGCCAGCCTGTCGGGATAGTCATCGATCACTTGCAGCAGATGCTCTTTGTTGCGCGCGTGCGCGAAGATGAGACCTTTCGGGTCGTGATCGCCGTAGTTGTTGTACACTACCGATGTGCTGATTGAGGAATTTGAGGAATAATAAGAATGCAATGCAAGTCCTTCTTACCGAGTGGCACTCCTATTGCAATAAGCGCTGAGAAAGCGAATGGGGAACGTTGATGAGTTGTGGTCAAAGTAGCTGCGGGTGGTCAGTCATCCATCCAATCTTACGGAAGAAGCGCTCCCCACTTCGCACATCTCGGGTCGGGACTGGGGTTGGCACCCGTGTCGTCTTCGTCTTTGTCGTTGTCGCTGTCGTTGGTGAGGCCACAGGCGGAATAACCGGCGGTTCACCGGGTTTAGCAGGTTCGCCTGGCGCACCGGGCGTGGCTGGAGCTCCACCGGGTGCCACCGAGGTATACCCCGCGCCTGGCCATGTTGTACTCGCGCAATACCATATCTCACTAAAGTCTTTGTCGGTACGGCCCAGCTCACAATCAGTCAGTAAGTCTTCGACAACTGCACCGCATGTTCGTTGAGGATGACCGGCCGGGCAGCTGTACACGCATTTGTCGCTTGCCTGCGCGCCGACTTTATAGGCCTTTGTCCATGCCGCCTGTAAAACTAGCAAATGCCACAATGTGTCAAGAATCGTCCGGCGTTCATCTGACTCAACCTCCAAGGGCTAAACAGTGACTTACATCCTTTGCAGTTTTCTCCGTAAGAACGCTCGACGATAACCCAGTCAGCCCCGGTCGGGGGGAAGACATTTGTAGTGGATTTCTCCAAGCAATCTCGGTTCCCGTCGACGGCTAGAGAGAGAGCATGTGGTGTGAGCTTTCGGAGTGCTCGGTCCCAATACCAGTGGTGCTTATGAAAACTTACTGATTTCCCAGGGACGGCATTGAACACCGGAACCTGGGACACATGCGTTCCGATCACTAAGTACACCCTCGATGGAGGAAGTCGGATCTGTTCAAACGTCATTAGCCGACGAAAACCTGGGTGGCAGTCCCGCTATCAAAATGATCTTGGACGGAAATTCCTACCCCCGCATCCCGCCGTAGACAATGCCCAAGCGCCACGAGAACCCAGCAGCAGTGTGCCTACAAGATTCTGCCGCGATGTGCGCATGGCCGAGCAGTGTCCTCAGTGTTAGCAATACATGCCGAAAAAACATGACTGCTGTTGCCGCCTCTATTTATACGCACCCTCAGGGACGGATTGCAGAGTGCTATATAGGCAGAGGCGTATAAGTGCTGCCTTCAGGGATCGTTGTTCAGGGAGGGCCGCCGGATCCCATTGATCTTGCCCTCCCTACAGACGAATCCGACATGGGCCTCCTTGTAGGTAAGCGGCGGAAAATCGAAAATCCTCTATTTATACGCACCCTCAGGGACGGATTGCAGGGTGCTATATAGGCAGAGGCGTATAAGTGCTGCCTTCAGGGATCGTTGTTCAGGGAGGGCCGCCGGATCCCATTGATCTTGCCCTCCCTACAGACGAATCCGACATGGGCCTCCTTGTAGGTAAGCGGCGGAAAATCGAAAATGAGAAGTTTGCAACAAAAATCGACAGCGCGACCCTTACAGTAGGTAAGCCGCGAATTTTCCGCTCACTGAATGGAATGGATCCAAACGTCTCCCAGCGCGGACAACCAAAAGACTTATAAACACCGAGAGATTTCCTGACGCCGATACTGAAGTTCAGTAGTCGTGCAGAGGAGGAAATCTCAGTGCTCTCTCTTCTCAGAAACCTGAGACGGCCCACATTTTACGACAATCTGCACGCCCGCCATGTTTTCTGGCTCGGCAGTAGTACAGTCTCTGCTCGTGTGGGCTACTATCTTGGCTGTAGCCATCGCCGCCCCCCTATCATGCCAGGATGGTGGCGACTGCCTTCCCATGCCCCCGAATGGCATATCGATTTTCCCAGATCGCGATTTCTTGACAGTCGAAGCTTACTGGGCACAGCAAGGCAAAATCGCTGAGGTCCGGGTTAGCCGTATGGTTAGCCGTTCCGGGTTAGCCGCTGACGCCGTCCTCACAGTCGTCGCATCCGTGAAGGCTGTTGTCAGCGGAGGAGCCAATGCATTCGACATTAACCACCCGGGCGGTTACTGTTGGGGAGCAGGGACCGACATCAAAGTCACCCCTGATATTGTTGGCGGAGACATCATCGATCTGTATTTCGACAACATCAAGGAGGCTTCGGTTCGGACACTCGACGCTAAAATAACCAGCGTCGTGTATGATGGCAGCAAAATCCTTACCTTGAAAGGGTACGTCGACCCGTTCAACAAAGACAAATGTAAAGATTGTTACGAAGTGCGAATCGTAAATCCCGATCTCCGCCCTTTCGTAACAAAACGGGACATTCGGGCTCCCCAACCTACAACCCACGACGGCTATACTTCTACCCTCGTCATTAACCCGGGTACGTGATTTTTAGTCATCCCCCAGTGCTGTAAAATCGCAATGAAGACAAAGTAAACGACCACCTATACTTTCTTGCAGACAATAATCAATTCGTAGCCACCTTCACTTTTGATGACGTTGAAGCGGCACAGATTGCTTACAGAGGAGGAGGAGCTCGCGTGATGGGCTGGCTGGATGTGACACCCGACGCCCTCCCTCGAGGACTGACGATCCATGAATTAGGGGAAACTGGTGGACCTGGCATGGGTGGTTGTCCTCCGGGACCTCAAGAATTCGCGCCTCCTGCCAGCAAATACTGGACTACCGTGGAAACCACGGGTGAAACCCCGGCAATCAAGAACGTTGTCACGGTTTCTTGGAAAGAGCCCACGATGCCGGCTGGATTAAATCCACTGGCCGGCTACGATGTTCTGGTCCTTCAGCCTAAAGCTTCCAAGGCGGTCCGTAGCGACATTGTCGGCGCCTATGTCCCTGCTCCCGCCTCACAAACTCAGATAACGGTCGTGGGACCAAATATTATCGACGCCACGTCGGTCCAGATTCGCGCTGTGGTTGAGCACGGGCCGACTGATAATCCGACTACGAGGACTTCAGACCTATTCACTCTTCGCGGCCCCCTGAAGCTCGCCGCCGAGCCAGCCACAGGCCAGACGGCTCAGTTTGTGAAGTTGACTTCTTCGAACGCCGGAATCATCAAATACACGTTGAACACACCGATCTACGAAACCGAATCACCAAAACCGATCTTTAGCGCCTCCGCCAAGGTATATACCGGTCCTATCGAACTAGCGCAATCAGCTCCTGCGATCGCCCCCGGCGGGCGTGTCGAACTCAATGTCGCCTACGCCTTTTCCGACTCCGACGAGTTCACCAAGGCACAGTTCATTTACACCCTCGCTGCTCCCGTCCCCGTCCCAACGGGTCTGAAAGTCGTGGGTGGAGCTGCGATCGTTACGATTTCCTGGAACAAAGACGCCAATGCCAAATCGTATCTCATTCAGGAATACGAGGGCAGCACGGGTCCAACGATTGGAGACCCTTTCGAGACTCTGAGTACCGAGACCACGGCGGCACAGGTTACGGTTTTCGGCCGATTTGGCAAACGCGATTACACTTATGCTGTGGCGACCAAGTACGCCGGAGGCTTTATCAGCAAGTTCAGCGAAAGAAAGACCTCCGACCCTCAGCCTAACGATAAGATTACCATCGATATCGGCACTTACGACGGGAAGGCGTCGTTGCGGATCTCGGGCACGGGCTCCGAAGAAGGCGCCAAGCTCACTGTGTATCCCTCGTGTTCCGATGATGCTTGCGTATCGCCCAAATTCGACCTCCCTTATACAACACCTGCCCCGGTAGTCGTCGCAAAGAATGCCTGGCAAGTCCGCATAGCGACCAACATTAACCCGCGCAAAGTAAAAGTCACTTCCGACAAGGGAGGGTCTCAGGAATTCACTGTGATTGTAAAGTGAGCTGAGATGGACTTGTTGGAAAAAACAAAAGGAGGGCAAGAAGATTTCGTTACTGCTCGTACAACCCACGTACCTCCCAATAAGACCCGCGCTCTCCCGCGCTCTAGCTTTCCAATAAAATCCTCCCTCTCCGGTTCCTCCATCTTCGTCAATGCCTCTTCGTCCTTCATCTTCTTCATAGCCTCGGTCGTAGGCGCCGTCTCCATCTTCATCTTCATCTTCAACTCCTCCTCCGTGTCCCACCGATGTTTCCCTTCTTCGTTCTTCTTCTTCTCCTTCTTCTTCCGCCCACCACGCCCAAGGTTTTTGTGAGCCTCTAAAGCTTCCAGCTTGACACGGGCCATCTCGTTTGCAATTGCCCATATTTGACATGGCCTGGTGAGTGAATTGCAGATAGGCACGGCGCCTGTCGTTTGGTCGCTTCTTGGATGACTACCGCAAGATAAAGTGCTGTTCCGCCTGACTGTTCCATCAGAGATGAACACCATGTCGCCAGGGCAGATCAGGTCTGCAGATCAGGTAGGCAGAAGCGGCATCTGTTTTCTGCATAGTGACCAAAGCAGCTCATGCCTGTCAATCCGTATTTGGTGGCCCTTCGATCGTGATGTCGGCCGACTTCATAGTTTGAAATCAACGCGTTGATTCTCGGAGCCCGGGTCTTCCAGTAGCACTGGTTCGCGTCAGGTATGAGCATAAAGAGAACCTTCAAGTTCTTCCGCCCTCCCTTGAGGATAATTATTTATTTTCCCTTAATGCCTTCAAGCGAGATTAAGGGCCTCTCTCGCTCCAACCTGCGTTGTCCGCGTTCCCCTCTTGTTCGCAACATACCCCCCTCCAACTTCCGATACTTGTTGCTCACCGCAACCACTATATATACATATACTCGACAGCTCCCACTTCAGCACAAGTCAGTCAACGTCGTATAGTCCTCCTCAGCCTGCTACTTCACTCCCTGATTCTACAGCCAAAAAAACGAGTCTTTTCACTCACCACAACCCCCCCCCTCTTAATGGTCTTCACACCACTCTCACAACCCACCGCATCCTCCCCCGCCCGAACACTCGCCGCAATGATGAAGCTGAACCCAACTTCTAAAAAAGTCCTCGTAGACGTATCGATATTCGCACTCTCACAGGTCGTCCTATACTTTGGCGTCAAATGGGTGCTGGCAGGGATGGACCCCTTCAAGAAGAAAAAGGAGGAAGCGAAAGCAAAGAGCACGCGCGTGCTGGGCAGGCTGGGTCTGCAGGTCCTGAAGTTGACGGAGCACGAGGAGATCATCGCGGCGGAGGTCGTGTATCCAGAAGACATTCCCGTCGGGTTCAAGGATATCGGCGGGCTGGACCATATCGTCAAATCGCTCAAGGAGTCCGTCATCTACCCCCTGTGTTATCCGCAGCTGTTTAGCTCCGCCTCCGGACTGCTGGGAGCACCGAAAGGCGTGCTGCTCTACGGACCACCGGGCTGTGGGAAGACCATGCTGGCGAAAGCGCTCGCCAAGGAGTCGGGAGCGACCTTCATCAACCTGCATGTGTCGACGCTGATGGAGAAATGGTTCGGCGAATCGCAAAAACTAGTCTCCGCCGTCTTTTCACTAGCGCATAAGCTGCAGCCCTGCATCATTTTCATTGACGAGATCGACTCGTTCCTGAGAGAGAGGAAGAGCCAGGACCACGAAGTGACCGCGATGATGAAGGCAGAGTTTATGACGTTGTGGGATGGGTTAAGCACTGGGGATATGCGGGTGCTGGTACTGGGAGCTACGAATCGTCCAACCGATATCGATCAGGCGATTTTGAGGCGGATGCCGAAACGGTTCGAGATTAGGTTACCGGATGCGGAGCAACGGACGCGGGTGCTGTCGTTATTGCTGGCGGGTGCGGATTTGGAGCCGGGATTCGATGTCAAGGAGCTTGTGTACAGGACAGCAGGTTACTCAGGTGCGTTTGCTCTGGGCCTCTGGGCTCTATTCCCTCGTCCTAGTCCCAACCCCTTAACGCACGAGAATCTGAGACAATATGCCGTTGGTTCCACAGGCAGCGACCTCAAAGAATTATGCCGAAACGCCGCCATGATGCCAATAAGAGAAGCCATCCGTGAACTAGACGGACATCTCTTACACGAATTCGACGCAAGTGTAGGTTCCTCACTTCTCCATGACCTTTCGACCTTTCAATCTGCGATGCTCACACATTGATTCTCTCAGGACATGAAAGTACGCCAACTACGAGTCTCTGACTTCTTCGTACCCCATGACCAAACACTGGGCGATGAAGACACATCCGCAGAGGTTGTTGATCTGGATTGAGATCAAATCCCATTGCTCAATACAGCAGCAGCAACCAACCACCCTACACCATCACACACCGCAAAGTAGACGATTAGTATAGATTCCCCCTCCCGCATATCCTGCACGTGCACATATACTACGGCATTGTCCCCTTTTTCCCGTGTACCATAGTGTAGCCATGTATTTATTTCCCTTTGTGTGTGGTTATTACGGTAATATTATTTGTGCAGTGAGCCAAACTTTGAGAAAGCATGGATACACACCAAGGAGAACGAACAGGAATGAACGGTGGCAAATACTCTACCGCCTCTACAACCACACCGTTAATATTAGGGGAGGGACGCCGAGCGCCGGTGACCCATAGGCAACCCATAGGGAGTGCGTTTCTGGATCGACGCGTTCTCGCACAAGCTGAACATGGATATAAACGCGAACTTCTGCTCCTCTTCCCCACGTCTACGGTCTCGGAACAGCAGCAAACGGAGCTTGTGACGAAGATTGAGGCGTCAACACTTGACCTCGCAGTCATTACACAGATCGACGCCGGGGCGAGGTTGTATGAGCAGCGGAATGTGCGCTCGTTGCGGAAACAGGTCCAGCCGGTTCTTGAGGAGGTTATTAAGGCTGTGTATGCGTAGGGTAGGCGTAGCTAGGCGTAGCGCAAGACAGCTGATATTACATCTGTATCTTCCACTTTTGTGCATGTAATCATCCATATGAGACATCTGTATCCTTGAGCGAAAAGTTTCAGATGACTGAAATCCCCAAATATTCTCGAGGCGGGGTAACCACCTGATCCAGAAGTGGGGAGAGACCGATTACTGGTGAATCCCCTAGGCAAGGCGCCATGACTGCGTACTTGTCCATCTGGGGGCGTAAAAACCAAGCTAGATCACCTTTGTTTGTTGCAGACAAAGGCCGAGGACTTCTGGGTCAGGTCCCGCTTATTCGTGACGAGAATTTCACCCCCCATGCTTATCAAACCCCTTGAATCCGATGGAAGCCGCAACTAACACGCCTTTGGCTCTACTATTCGTTTTCTACGGAATAGGGTAAACATGCGTTCGAGCAGGCGGTTACGGAACTTCGACATGATAGGGTACACGATTTGAGGTACCATGGTCGTCGACTTTTTGCGGGGCAGGACGGAGTCGACGCGCGGTGCAGGGAAGGTCAGACCATTTTGGCCATTTTGGCCAGGCGCTCAGGCTCTTGACGAACGGCACGAATGGGACGGCACTCAAGAACCTGGGCAGTTGGTCGAGATGGTCGGGATGTGGAAGGCTTTGGACTCTTGGGTGGCCTGGAAAGCAACTCTGGGTACATAACGTTTACACCGATTCATCCGGGTTCGCTATCTCTGGATGGATAGGACAACCGTCGGACGACGATCGAATGCGTCGGTTGGAATTAAGTTCTGGTCTCTTACGTGCGAGGAATCTCCTGAGAGAGGACGCCCGCCTCTACGACTGGGAAGACACGCCGCCGTCTAGTCTCACGGCAATCAGCCCAGGTAAGGGACATCTGCTCTATCACGAACGACAGCGGTTACTCCTCTGTGGGTTGCATGCGCTCTGGCTTCGTGACTAATGCGGCGTTTGATTGATAGATCTCGTCACGGGATGATGCGGGGCTCGCTCGGAGCCGCTGAAGGGCAAGCGGAAAATAGACCACTTGTACGGGAATGAAACCGCGGCCTCGGAAAGCAATGGTCCCGCGCAGGACCGTGTCGACTCAGGCGAAACGGGTCTTACGGAAGGGCAGATTGCGCCTTCCGCCGGAGAACTCGGAGATGTAGAGGAGCTCCTTGGCTTGCACCAGGCACTTAATGGCGACTATAACTACCTCCATGCCAATGATGTGCGACAAAGGTGTGATCTTTTTGGAGGTTTATGCCCCCCGTGCCAACGATTTTTCTGTTGACAAAGGTACAAGTCGGGGGGATGAATGTCTCCAAATTGTTGAGAAAGGTGGCAGCGTACCTGCTGTTAGAGGATCAAAATGTGAACCAGGCGGCGTCGACCCACAACATGCTTCTCAAGACAATGTGAGTGCATGTGATTTCCAAGATGAGATTATGCAGGTCTGATCTCCATACTTCAATCACTTTCCCTCACAGTACAATGAAAGCAGGGATTTGGTGACGGGACACATTCCTGACTCGTATGAACAGTTCGTGGAGCCTGAGGAATGGCTTGGATTGTACGAAGCGGTGTCCAATGGTACACCATATCGGAGGCTCTTCAAGGCACCGCAACCCAAGGATTGATCAAGATGGAGGAGGGCATATTGAAAAATGCAGTCGTAAACGACGTTGATTTGTCAGTATTCGAAGATCATGACGCGCACATCGTCCGGTGATTTGGCGGGCCCAGGGAGCTAGCACCGCGCGACCATGGGCACGAGTGATCCGGGACGACGTTTATGTGACCCGTCCCTCGCATCACCCCTCCGATCGGCGCCCTCAACCGCAAGAACCGTCGCCAGTCCCTTCCACCCATTCGGCCTCACGCCCTTAAACACCGCTACCTAACACCACTGCCACCCCCAAACACCCGTTTTACTTGCGCTCGTGGGATGCTGGCGTACGGCACCGCCGCCGTGGGTAGTGGGCAGCTCTAAAGCTCGCGGCGATGCGTGAGGAATCTAGGAAGTGATCCGGCGGCGTAGGGGTGTTACACAGTCACGGCTCTTTTGGAGTTTCCCGCGGTTAATAGCTGTCCCCTGACAGTCGCAATCTCTTTGGACACAGTTGCACCGACCGATCAGGTTGCTGGAGACCCGCGCGATATGCGACATATCGGAAGATGAGCTAACGTTGCGCTATATGGAACAATACGGGGTTGACCGTGTCCGTGGAGGGTCATACGTTACGGCGAACCTTAGCGAGGATCTGATTCGCCTCTCCAGCGACAGCTTCGCACCAGATCCGACGCATGCCGTCATCCGATTTGAGTGCGGCCGTCAGGGACATTTCGCCTCAAGGTGCCCTGCTCCGCATCGCCCCAGCTCTGGTGACCAACCAGCCCGTTCTCGAGGAATTCCCAACGAACTATGTTGGCGCTGCGGCCGTGAGGGGCATTGGGAGGTTACGCGTGCCAAAGGTCTCGCATCATACTCGTATCATACTCGCGCTGCTTGAAGCCGGGCACTCACTCACAAGAGAGCGCCGGGCACTGACTCACTCTGGAAGAGAGTGCCGCCAGAGCGCCAGCCCGACTGCGGGCGAGTATGATACGAGACCTTGGCACGAGTAATCGTCATGCGCGAACAGATTGAGATGGAGGAGAGCTCACGGACGGCAGTTCCGACCCAAGCTCAACAACGGAATCCGAAGACGCCGCGGCATATTGACGGTGCGCTCGGAAAAGGCACTTTCAGGCAACCTGCTACGCACGTCAACATCAGGATGGTAGTCTGCTATCGTAATACAGAGTCGGGTAAGTCACGGAGAGTGTTGACTTCAATTTCAAATATTGGCTTACCTTTCCAAAACGAACGTTCCAGTCACTCTCTCCTCCGGTCGTACATCGAGTGATCAACAGTATACGGCTCTAGCCGCAAGGCGGGGGTGAGGAGACCCATCGCCGCAACCCAAGCAGCATTTCGTCCACAGTATGTATCATGGAATCGAGGGCTCTATGCAAATAACAAATCTGCTGAATCACGGAACCGACGAGAGTCTGGCCATATGCAGTGAGCCAAACTTAACCCTAAACCTACCGCTTCGTCATAACCTCCGTTACAATCTCTAGTCTCAAATATGGACACCCTTACACAACTTGCAGCAAGCTTTCAAGCTATATTCTATTTCAGCTTTTGAAAGTGCATGTAGGAGGGGAAACTGCGCGCAGTATATGCATCCACCGGATGATGTCCAAGACCTTGCAACCCCCTTCCTCCACCCCCACATCATACACGTTGCTCCCGACACAAATCCGCATACACCCCATCCAGCCTCCAGCTCCTCAAACCCTAACCCTCAAACCCCATTCCTGCCCCTACCACTCCACCGGCCACACACACCGATGCGCAATAGTCACTTCGTCCTCCCCACAGCCGCCTGATCGATAGCTTTCTGCACTTCCGCTTCTGCCGTGCTGTCCAGCGCTGATCTACAAATACATCATTGTGAGATGGGCGTTGCGGTCAGAGTATCAGGGAGGAAACAATGAAAGGTACCTAGCAGTGCCTATGTCTTTTGTGGGATTCGTCGATATGAATCTGATCAGCTCCCCAATCCCGTATGGTAGCTACTGTTGCGATATTGCTCCAACCTGTAGGCATGAGGCAGCGTCTCCGGAAACACTTTCATCTGCGGCGCCTCTTCCGTTTGATTTCGTCCAGGACCTGATGTGGGCAGCGCAGGCCACGATTGTGGCAACATACAATGCACTCATTGTTCTCGCAGTGAGGGTTCCCTCGCGTTTTGCACCTTATCCACCTGTTTTGGGCGGCCCAACCCAACAGCTCCACGGCCGCCGCACTACCATCCAAGCCCACATCCCTCCCCGCCAAGCGCCAAAGATTGCGGCACGGGTTTGCCGCTGCGTTATCCCGAACGTGTTTGCGCCCTAGCTGCCAGCGCCCGGCATTCACCGCCGCCCACTCCTCCCTCCCCCGCTCCCTCTGCCTCCCCCTCTCCTGTGTTCTCTCCCGCTGTGGGTATGAAGTGCGGTGTGCACTTTCAGACGGATATGTTGTCATCATACCACGTTCCCGATTCGAGTCTCGCCAAGAGGGCGGGTCGTCTCGGAAGCTCTCTCTGGGCAAAGGCGGCTGCATTGGTCGAGGCGGAGCTGGAGCACTGCTCGTATCCCGGGGAGGTAGAGGTGCTCGCCCCGGCGAGCGAGACGGCGCGCGATTGCGTTTGCGAGACCTAGACTCGGATCGCGACCTTGATCGTGAGAGCGATACAGAAGGGCTCCGCATCGCATCCCGGCCCCGGCCTCGGAGACGGTCGTCTTTACCCCTTTCTTTCCTCCTCCGCCCCGATTTGTCCACCTCCATCTTCAACTTCTCCCCAATCGACACGTTGCCGTGTTCCCTCTGCTCACTAGGGTCGGAGGCAGGTTGGGTGTAAGCAGCCGAGGGCGGGTTGGAGGGGAGTGCGTTGACCTGCGTTCATAGGAGGGTGCGGAGGTTGAGGTTGGCAAGGAGGGTTTGAAGTTCACTTGGGAAAAAAAATGGAAACGAAGCAAAAGGAAGGGAAACTGGAGAACACGCTCGGAGGGTGCTTCGATGACTGGCGCGCGCTGATTGGCTGGATGGATGCGATGCGCCGACTGCATTGTCACTGCCGCTCAACTGCCGCTCGCGCTCTACGCTCTCTGTACTGTACGCTCTCTAATAACCACTAGCCAGCAGTCAGTCGGCAGTGGACCCGCCCCAAGCTCCCTTCTTTACTTCAAGTAATCCCCCAAGATGTCGTGTAAGTTTGCGGCCAGGAAGTCCTTTCGAAATCTGTCGGATATGGTTTTAATGCGTCGATTCGTCCCACACAGTCCGCTTGCTTCATGTGCTGAAGCCATTTATTGCGCTGATGCCCGAGGTCGTCTCGCCAGATCGCAAGGTATGGGAGGCAAAAATACGACCGTTGGAAACAGGGGAATGGGTTTGACGTCGAACGACGCCCCGATGGGAGATGCATCTTACGGCAAAAGCTTATTTATCGATGCTTCACCCGTTTCAACAGGTTCAGTTCCGCGAGAAGGTCATGTGGACCGCAATCACGCTCTTCATCTTCCTGGTCTGCAGTCAGATCCCACTGTTCGGAATCATGTCTTCCGAATCCTCAGATCCCATGTACTGGCTCCGTGTCATCATGGCGTCCAATAGAGGAACCTTGATGGAGCTGGGGATAACTCCCATCGTGACATCCAGCATGATTATGCAGCTGTTGGCCGGTGCCAATATCATTGAGGTCGATCACTCCCTCAAAGAAGATCGCGCGTTGTTTTCGGGGGCTCAGAAACGTAAGTGTTGATGGATGAACCCTGCGTATGGATACCCAAGACGATGGTACTTACTCTAGGCACTCTCCATAGTGTTTGCAATGGTGATTGCGATCGGTCAAGCGACGGTAGCGGTGTGGTCGGGAGTGTACGGAAATCCCAAGGATATCGGACCAGCGATCTCTGTTTTGTTGATTCTTCAACTCTGCATCGCGGCATTGATTATCCTGTTGCTCGACGAGCTACTGCAGAAGGGTTACGGTCTTGGATCCGGCATCTCGCTCTTCATCGCCACGAACATCTGCGAAACCATCATCTGGAAAGCCTTTAGTCCCACCACCTACAACACCGGACGAGGTAGGATTTGGAAAGGATATTCATTTGCATGGGCTCCTGATCGTCAGATGACATATCCAATCTGTGCCATTCATTCCAGGAACGGAGTTTGAAGGAGCCGTTGTCGCATTGTTTCATCTCCTGTTCACCAGAAGTGACAAATTCCGCGCGTTGAAGGAGGCCATGTACCGCCAAAACCTGCCCAACCTCTCCAACTTGATTGCGACCCTGGTCGTCTTTGCCGTTGTCATCTACTTGCAAAGCTTCCGCATCGACATTCCCGTCAAGTCCAACCGCTACCGTGGGCAACAGGGCAACTACCCGATCAAACTCTTCTACACATCCAACATGCCTATCATGCTACAGTCGGCGCTCGTTTCCAACGTCTTTTTCATTTCCCAGCTTTTGTATAAGAGATGGCCGGAGAACTTGCTTGTCCGTCTTTTGGGCGTGTGGAAGGTGCGTTGTCTATTGAAGGGCAGTCTCTGGGAGATTCTTCACCTCACTGTTCAACCCGTAATCACAGAGCCCTGAAGGCATTCCACAAGAACAAGCCGCCAGCGGATTTGCCTACTACATCTCGCCGCCCCACAGTCTCAAGGAGGCCTTCGTCGATCCCGTGCACTTTGTCATCTACGTCACATTCATGCTCTCCGCATGCGCATTCCTTTCCAAAACATGGATCGAGGTGTCGGGATCGTCTCCGCGCGATGTGGTTAGACAGCTGAAAGAGCAACAGCTGGTCATGCGCGGTCATCGTGATCAGTCGATGTACAAGGAGCTGAAGCGGATCATTCCGACTGCTGCGGCTTTTGGGGGCCTGTGTATTGGGGCTTTGTCGGTTTCTGCTGACCTGCTCGGCGCTATTGGGTCCGGGACCGGTATCTTGCTTGCGGTTACCATCATCTACCAGGTATGCTTCCGTGTCGCGGGGTCACTGGTGGTCTGGTAAATATACTCACATGCTTGCCCGTTTCTGTGCACTACAGTACTTTGAGATCTTCCTCAAGGAGCAGTACGAAGAGGGACAAGCGATGTTCTAGAGCCGCATTGCTGCAAGCGAAAGAGGGATAGCAGCCGGGCTCCTCCCAATTATGTATTTGAACACGATCGGCGCGAAGCTAGAGAGAGCCCTCGCAGCCAGGAATCCTACGAGCGTCCGCCTAAACGCTCTTGACTCATTGGCAGCTGGATATAGAACGAACACAGCACAGCATCGGCTCACCTTGGCGCGCCACTTTTTTGGGCTGCAAGTACTCAGATGGAAATAACACGTCGTATTTTCCCTGTTCCCATGTACCATAGTTCCATGACAAACTGATCCATATACATCTTTCAAAATATCAAGGAAGCACACTACGTTGCGTGCCATTTAGATGCGTTACATTGTTTACTGGTATATTCCCATGAACATTTCTTTTGCCTTCAGAACTCCTTTTTTTAAATGGCACGAGCATTTACGTCCATTAGGACATCCCCGATGCACGCTTGTCGCGCTAGAGGGCGCTGTTTCGAGGATGGACTTCACGCTCGGCATGATAGCGATGGCTGGACAAATGAAGAAAGCGCCCTTTAAGGCGGTTGGATTCCAACCAACACGAAGGTGAATGTATCAGCACAGCAAAGTTACCAAACCTTTAAGAACACCGTCCTCGCGTTATTCCCGGTTTTTGAAATCGGGTATGGAAGTCCACTGTCGGAGTTGCTCCGGATGAGCGAGCGGGGCGAGAGAGCATATGAGCTGGATGCTCGCGGTGCCCGTTGAGTGGCTGAGGGGCGATGAGGCGTAATGGGGCCAACGCCGATGTCGTGCGGTGAGGCTGCCGTCTCGTCTCGTCCGGATGCTCCGGATATGCCGTTGACACGCTGAGGTAGGCAGGGATATATAGATGTATTATGGGTAAAGAAGAAAAGAGAAAGCCGGCGCAGTCGCGCGCGGATATGTACAAGTAGAAAAATACGACAACAAGTCATGTGACTGGGGATATAAACTAGCTAGTGGGGTAGGGTTACCGCAGGGAGTTAGGGTTGCGGCAATATGACCTGTTTCCTCACCGCACCACATTCCTCCCCCTGCCTCCACAGTGCCAAGCGAGTCACGAGAAACCGAAACAAGACGCAACACAAGTGATCCGAAACCGAAAAGAAGAAGAAAAGGACGTTGATCGACGCAGAGGCACTGACGCGGTATAGACGGACCGTCCCGGGGGCATTAGCGGGCGCGTGGTGACGGAGGCGAGCGATCGTTCGAGTTGATGAAGCGAAAGCGAAAAAACCGAAACGAGAAAAAAGCGGAACGGGAGAAAGGCGGGAAGTCGAAAGAGGAAGAGTCAACACCTGCGGCGAACAGGATGGGCGGGATCGACGGGGCGTTCGCAAGGATATGAGGAGATGTCGTCTGAGGGAAGCGCCGCGGAAAGGACGGCGAGGGAAACTTGGAGGTCGTCCGGGATGGGTTCAGGGACGGAGAGAGAGTCATTGTTGATCTCTTTAGTCGTAGCGTTGGGAGGGGGATCCAATTGGTCGTCATGGAGCGGGAGTGGGAGGTCGGCGGTAAACGCGGGGGCGGACCACGCAGGGCGTACTCGAGCGGGAACTAAGCGGAGATGGTTGACAGGGCGCGAGTTGAAAGCAGGGGTCCCGTGTTCATCTAGGAGCAGATAGGCGCCACCGGGGTAAGCCTTGGAAATCTGATATGGACCGGTCCAACGGTTGACGAGCTTGCGGGTCGAGACGTAGGTCGTGTCCAGCTCGTTGCGATGAACGTACACCCAATCACCGACCGCATATGTTCTCGGGGGTTTGCGGGTAGCGTTGATGGCCTCGGTTTCGTGGATGCGGTTGCGGTTAGCGGTCTGAAGAGCCCATGTGCGGAGGACGTCGCGGTCGGCGCGGTATTCGTCAGTGAGCAAGGTGTCGAGCGCTTCCGGGTCGAGCAGGCCGGTGGTCGCATGTCCGGGAACGTGGCAATGCTGGCCGAATACAACGTTGTAGGGGGAAACGGCTGTGGTCCGGGCGACGTGATTCAGGTAAGTGTACATCGCCGAATCGAGGCAGTCGGGCCAAATCGTCAGGTCCGGGGGGTCGACCTTGGCTTCTAAGTTCCGTTGCAATACGATGTGAGACAGAACACGAGTGATGTCCTGGACAAACTTCTCAGCCCGACCATTCCCCATGGGGTGCATTGTCGACGTTTGAACGAGCTCGATCGATTTCCTGGACGCCCATGCCGCGAATGCGCCTTCAATAAAATACTGCGCGTTGTCAACCACGATGTGAACTGGGACACCATACCGAGCGCACCAATCGCGGAGCGCGAGAACGATGTTGAGGCCGTCGAACGCCTTGAGCGGGTAGGCCCAACCGTAGCCGGACGGGTAATCAAAGACGCAGAGGCAGCCGATGTAGACTTGGGAAGACCGACCGATCTGGGCGTTCGGGTAGGTGACGCAGTCGAGACCTAACAACGTGAAGAGGAGCGCCGGGGGAATGATGCGAAACAGCTGGTATTGCTTGGGGCGGCGTAATTGACGGAGCTGACATACTGGACAGGCGCGCACCCACTCTTCAATGTCGCTGTACAAGTTGAACCAGAAGTAGCGTAAGGCAATCATCTGATACGCTGTCAAGACGCCGAGATGGCCAAAGGAGCCCGGATGGTCGCCATGGAAGGTACGCTTGATGGCTGCGACATCCTCTAAACGGGGGACCAGTCGGGGTGGCATGCGAGGAAGGCTGCGGCGATAGAGGCGACCGTCGTAGATGAAGAAGCGGTGAGCCAATGAGCGGATGCGCGTAGCATGTGCCGGGTCGGTACCGAGGAATGCGTGATCTCCCCGGAGGTAAGCGTGAATGGAGTCGTACGGTTCCCAACCGAGCGTGAGGAGGTTGATGTTGGCGCTGATGTGAATGTCGTTCAGCGGGCACGGATGCGTCAGATCCAGCTCATCGTCGATTGTGGAAGTGAGAAGTTCGCTCGGGGCTGCGGGTCGACGGGAGAGAGCGTCGGCGTCGATGTGGGCGGCCGTGCGGCGGAAGATATATTTCGGCCAACCGTCAGCGGTAGGGAGTGCGTTGATGTAGTTGAACCATTTGAGGATGCGTCGATTCTTGGTATGCGCGTTCTGACACTTGACCCAAGCTTGATGATCCGTGATAATGTAGAATTCGAAGGTGAGGTGGACTTCCGCTTTCAGCAACCCGAAAATGATGGCAGCCAATTCTCGTTCGGGTTGTTCGTAGTGAAGCTCGGCTCCGGTCCATGTGCGGGAGAAGAATTCACATGGAACGTAGCGAGTGTCGGCCGTAACCCGGTAGTCATCGGCGGGATCGAGACAATGAGCGACCACAACCCCGGCGCCGGTGCCGGACCCGTCGGTGGCAATGATCAATGGCCGATTAGGGTTGTATGCGTGAAGAACGAAGCTGTCGGATGCGAGCTGCTTGACATCTAAAAAGGCGCGACAGTACTCTTGGGAGCGGAGCCATTCGGCGCGGAACTTGCGTTTATCGGCAAATTCTTTGCGGAGGAGCGTATTCAAAGGTGCCATCAAGAGACCGTAGTCAGGAAGCCCGTCCGAGATGAAGCCGATGAAACCGCGGAAGGAACGGAGGTCTTCTTGATGGCGTGGGGTAGGCCACTGGGCGACGACGTCAAGTTTACTGGCGGTGGTCGCGATTTGTCGATTGCCGACGAGTTTGCCCAGCGCGGGGACCCGGCCAGCGGCGAAGAGACATTTGTGCTCGGAGATTGAAGCGTTGTGAGTGCGGGCGGTTTCCAAGAATGCGCGGAGGCGGTCAATGTGTGTGGGTCTGGAGTGGTCTGTTAAATTGTCTTCGCACAGGTAAGCGTCGTCGCGAAAGAGGTGGGTGTGGTCCTTGAGTAACTTGACTTCGCCGATCATGGTGTCGATTTGGAAGGAGAACCATTCGCCCGTGTCGATGAAGCCCATGGGTCCGACTTTGTACTGATAAATCCCGCGCGGAAGTAAGATGGTGGTGAGGTAACGAGCGGCGACATGGAGTGGGGACTGATGATAGCCGAGGCGGAAGTCGAAGGCCGTGATGCGGTCGGCCGCGGCGACACGTTGCAAGGTAAGGTGAGCGGGAATGATGGGGTACCGGAAAGCTTGGATCTCGCTGTTGACCTTGAAGTGCGCACATACCCGCGCTACACCATTCTTGTAGACGACGATGGGCAGCGCAGCGACCACTGGGGGATCGGTAACCAGCTCGATCTTGTCCCACCGGAGCATCCGGTCGCACCATTCGTTTAACACCTTGGTATCCTTGGGGCTGTGCGCGCGCGTTTTCGGGAAAGGGAGTTTGCGTTGACCGGTATGGTCGGGCTTCAAGACCGGATTCATTTCAGGCACGTTCTTGAAGGTGCGGGGCACTTCGTCTTTATTGCAGAACTCGTCGTGGTATTCGTGAAGAAGTTGTTCTAACTCGGTAACGACCGCGGGTGGTAAATCTTCGGCAACCTGGAAGGTGCGGGTGCCGACCTTGAGTGGGCGCATGGGTGTCGGGCGTATGGATCGCGCAGTGATCGACTCGATAGTGATGCCGGCGACTTGGCGGACGAGCGTAGGTGAGTCGCGGGGGGCTAGGGGCGAAACGTACTCCGGGGAAGCGTTGACTAACGACGACATCTTGGCGTGATACTCGGGGATCGTTTCTTCGACTATGGTGCGTAGGGTGAATAACAGCGGAACGTGATCGGAGCCGTGGAGTTCGTGCAGGACATCGCAAGTGATATGAGGAGTATAATCCGCATCCGGCAGACCGAGGAAGATATAATCGAGTCAAAGCCCAATGTTCCGTTCGCGCGCGTGCTTGGAGAACCACCATGTGGTGTAGCCATCACCGGCCGGCGCGTCAGGGTGGCAGGTAGTGTAAGTGTCGACGAAATCGTGATCGGTCAAATGCGTGAGCAGTTGTCGCTCCGCTGGGGTCACACCGGTGTGCATCTGGTGTTTCAGGTTGGGGTGAACATCCGAATCGGTATGCGCAACGTTGAAATCGCCGGCGAATATGACATGTCGTCCGCTCGTCCGGGCCGCGGTGGCGATCTGAAGCAGAGTCTGATGGAGGGCGATCTTGGAAGTAATCGCATGAGCCTGTTGATCAGCGTCGCCCATCCCGCCGTTCGGATAATAGACGTTGATCACGGTGCATTGGTCGAAGTCGAGGGCGAGAACACGGCCCTCACAATCGGCGTCCGGGTCGATCGGTAGATCAGCGTCGGTTGTGACCTTGCGTAGCGTAGCGGCTAACTCAGCGCGGACGTACGTCCCAACGCCTTTGACACCTTGTTTGGTCTCACTGAGCGACCAAAAGGAGCGGTAACCCGGAATGTCCGTGAGCGACAGCGGTAATGAAGAACGCGAACACTTGATTTCTTGGAAACAAACGATATCGAGGTTCAGGCGGTTGAAGAGGGAGCCCAGGTCGACCCCCTTGCGGACGAGGTTGCGCAAAGAATTAACATTCCACGTGAGGAAGCGGAACTCATGTGTCGCGGGGAGAGTGAATTCGGGCAGTTTGGGCTCGAGTTGCAAAGCCTGTTTAAGTTGTCGGAAAGCCGGGACGGTGATCTGGTTGGGGACCGGGGCATTCGCGAAGGTGCGTAGCAGGTTGATGCGGAAATCCATCTGATCGGAATCCGGGGAATAGTCGTCGCCGGGTAGGGGTGGACAGGGCTCAGTTTGTAGTATGCCGAAGAGAGCGCCACTACGAATGTCAGCGAGCGTCTGATCGCCCGTGTGATCGATCTCCACCTTGAAGCCGTCAGCGATCAATGAGGAGATGTTGGCTTGCCTGGTTTGGGAACGGGTGCGTGGCGCCGGAGGAGTGATATCGAGAAGGGGTGTACGACCGTGCTGATCCCATTCACGTTCCTCGGCCGCCGTGAGGGTACGGACTTCGCGCGTCTCTCCAGTGCTACCTTGGACGAGGATCCAGGAGCCGTGAATCTTGAAATGGTAAATGGAATTCTTCCAATGGGTGATGCCCATTACCATCTCCAGAAATGGACGACCTAGTAAGCACTCGGCGTCCATTCCGACGATGGAAAGGACGTTGATCGGAACTTGATGACCCTCGATGGTGACGACGAGGTTGTGGACCTCTCCCTCGAGCTTAGGAGCGGAACCGTCAACTTGGCGCAAATGAAAGGTAGGAGGAACCTTGGTGAGAGTCCATTGGTGGCGCTTGCGGACCTCGGCGCTGATGGCGATCAAGCAGCAACCACCGTCGAAGAGGCACTTCGCGGGCGAATTCTGGATGAGCGCGTTCATGTAATGGGTGCCGGTTGCGGAAACATCAACCTTGGAGAGAGCTTTGAGGTGAAAGTCGAGACGTCCGTCGAGGGTGTTGTCGTTGTCATGGTCCGGAGGCTCAGTGTCAGGGTGCCAGGCACCAAGTAGAGGTTTGCGAAAACATAGAGCCGCGCGGCGCACCTTGGGGACGAGTTTCATCGCGTCGCGGAGGCGTTCGCGTAAGGCCGGGCTCCATTGGAGTAGGTCAGCGAGAGTAAGTCCGCGCACTTCAGTCTCGTTGAGGAAGTTGACGATATCGAATTGTTTCTTGTCAATCAGCGCACGGATGGGAGCAGGAATGCGCGGATCGTCATCACCGACCGGGGAATCGGCGCGGGGCGGCGGTGAGGGGGACTTGCGGGTGGGAACAATCGGTGACGGCGGCTTGTGCGGTGCGGCAGGTCGGGTTGGACCGGATGTCCCCCGGGGATCGATCTCCATCGGTGTACTGGTGGGAGTGTTGAAGCGTACCGATTTAGGCGGTGGAGTAACGCGAGGTAACTCGACAATGGGTGTAGGAGGTAATCTGGTCGGCGGGGGAGGTACCGGGGGAAACCGCGCCGGCATCGGCGTACTCTGTTGTTGACCGACAGTGTAACGTGAAGGAAGGACACCCGGCGGGCGGGCGGGCGTCACCGAGGGACGAGTCTTGAGCGGGGGCCGTGCCGGGAAGGGCATCGGGTGCGTCGAAGTGTTCAGTCGTTTCGAAGCCGGTTCGGACGGGAGCTCATCCGCTTTTCTCTTCTCAGCCATAAAAATCGCCAACGACATTGGGCGGGGATCCGGAGGATCGTATTGCGGGAGGTCGGAGTCCCCTACTGCTCCGAGCTCCCATTGGGAAAATCCTGGTCTTCCGGGTCCGCGTAGTAGTGGCCCACATCGCGGAGGACCATCGAGTAATATTCGGTATGATCTTCGTCGTACTCATGGACTTCTTTGGGGTAGAAGGCGGCCGCTAACTGGTACCCATGCCAGGTATCCAGTTTCGTGGTGGATTGACAATCCCTGAAGATGTGGCCGGATTGTCCGCCACGAAAGCAGGCGCGGTCGCGGCGTTGAGGGCGCGCGCTGGGAAGGCCCGGAGGATACTGGTTGCTATTACCGGCGGTCTTGATGGAAAGGTCGCGCATGCGGGCAGTCAAGTCATCCGGACCAGACGCTGCCGGAGCCGCCGAAGTCGTCGGGGCCGAAGCTTGCGGCGCTGGTTGCAAGACCCGTGGAGCGGGCTGTGCGCGAGGTACCGAAGGACGCTGGTTCCGCGCATTTGAGGGATACTGGTTGTTGGTGCCCGGGATGTTCGTAGCCGTCGGTGCGGGGTACGATGGACGAGTCGACGCCTGATACGGCACGTTTGGCGCTGAGTATGCGTCCTTGCGTTCGGCGTAATCGGCGCAAGCCCGAATCAACTCCTCGATTGGAAGCTGGTTGAAGTTCGGCAAACCAAGCGCGTGCGCCAGCGTAGCACTATCGCCTAGACCGCGGATAAAAGCTCGAGCAATTTGGGTCCGGGTGAGTTCCGTAGCGACCGTTGCAATGTGTTTATTGAGGTATTCGAGTTCGTAAACTAATGACAAGAATAGGCTGCCGTACTGACGAATGGTTTGCCCCGGAGCGCGCTGGAAGGTTGAGATGCGGTCGGCGAGGAGCGACGGGTCGCGGTCGACCGACGAGGCGCATTCTAAAACCATATCGGTACGAACGTGGTTCCAATCTTGGGTGTTGCCTTGATACGACGTAAACCATGTCCAAGTGAGCTGGTCTTTGTCATCAATCGCCTTAGACAGCCAACGGAAGCGGTCCTTTTCTTGAACGCCGCAAGAGTCAGCGAGCTTGTCGAAGGTGCGGAGCCATTGCAAGATTCGTGACGAGTCCTGATGATATTTATTGCCTTCGTATTTGGGCAGGCCTTTGTTGAGTGACGCTTGTGAATTGGTTGTCTGCGGGGTGCGCTGAAGTTGTTCGAGGGTGCGGAACATCAACGTGACGAGATCCTGTTGACTAACGGCGCCATCTAGAGGGGCAGCGGCTACAGGTGCCGAAGGTATAGCACCAGCGCGATGCGGAGGACGAGAAGTAGGGTTGTTTGAGGGCGCCGACTGAGGACGAGTCGCCGCATGCGGGCCGGCATGGTAGCGATCACGCGAGAGACGCCAAACAGTGGCAGTTTTGACGATGTTCGCAAATTCACGGAGGGCGAATTGCGCGGGATGAGCGTCGAGTGCGAACTTGAGGGATTGGACGTAGACTCGATCAAGGGTACCGTCCGCTAAGCCTTCACATACTGAATCGAAGCTAATGCCCATATCGGTACAGAATTGAAGCAAGCCGACAAGGACTTCTGCATCGACATGCGAAATGGCGCCATACAATCCGATCTTTACACCCGCATGCTCGATTTGTGAGCGGGCAAGGAAGGCGTCGATGCGCGCGTGCGCGGACTCCGTAGCGCAGGCGCAAGCGGAGTGGCCGTCGCTGCTGTCGTGCTCGCTGAGTTCATTGTCTTCTTGGGTGTCGCTAAAAAGAGGACGAGTGTCACGCCAATCGTTGCTTCCGAAGAAGGCGGGAGTGCCAGGGAACGCCATTGGATATTCTCGACGGACGGTTACGAAAAGTACGGTCTCTGTGTTGTTGCGAGTGCCCAAATCCAGGCTGCACCTCAAGCTGGGCTTTTCTCACGGGACGACGACGTGTATGAATGGATCGTTGCGGAGAGTGGTCCAATCGATGGATACTCAGCGGGAATGGATAGCCGGGACGATGATGCCTAGGAAGCCGTCGTCGGATTGGTGGATTGTTGTCGGGAACTGATGGATGGATGGATGCCGGGGATCGCCGCCGGTAACTAAGGAAATCGCTATAGCCACGCGGAAAGTGGCGGGAATGGCGTGGAATGCTCAAAACGGTACACCAAGTATGGACGAAACGGAAGAACGGATACTCTTCTTTGTTGCGGTTGTAGCGACGGTGTGGGTGTCCCCAAAACACCTACTTCCCAATTCTCCACCAGAATGAGGTAGGCAGGGATATATAGATGTATTATGGGTAAAGAAGAAAAGAGAAAGCCGGCGCAGTCGCGCGCGGATATGTACAAGTAGAAAAATACGACAACAAGTCAGGTGACTGGGGATATAAACTAGCTAGTGGGGTAGGGTTACCGCAGGGAGTTAGGGTTGCGGCAATATGACCTGTTTCCTCACCGCACCACAACGCGTGGATGCCATTGCCATCCGCTCCAAGTCAAAATTCATCGAGGCGCTGTCCAAAACGCATTCTGCTCTTCCTTCTTCCTTGGCATATACAGTACATATACAGTATACAACACACAGTTTCCTTGACCTTGCGGGCAGTCCGCTGCAGGAAAGTGTCGACGCTGCCTTGCGCTTTTCCTGGCTTACCTTACAGCCAACGGAACTGGAATGGAAACCATTGCCTGAGCCTTCGGCGCCATGTATTACGACTGTCCCATCTGCGACAGGTGCTTCCGTACGAGCAGCTCTCTCTACCAGCATCAGTGGGCGACCCACTTCCCTTGCACTGTTTGCGCCAGGGTATTTTCGACCCCTCAGTCATTGCATCAACACTCGCGCGCCATGCATGTCAAATGCGCCTGGTGGGAGGAGTACTTCTGGAGCGACAGTGACTACTCCGACCACCTCCATCAATATCATTCTACCTGCGAATACTGCAACAACGTCTGCCAAGACGACGATGCCCTCGCCCGTCACATCGAAGAAGAGCATCCTAGCTGTGCCGATTGCGGCCGCACCTTCCGCCGAGAGCAAGACTTCGACCAGCATGTAAATTCGGGAATTCATACGCAGCGGACGGTGGATTGCAACTACTGTGGGGAATCATTCCGGACCTTCTCGGGTCTGACGCAACACATCGAATCCGGCAATTGCGAGGTCATGCCGATGACCCGCAAACAAATCAAGAACATCGTCCGTGTATGCGAGCGTGCTACGGGACTCCCTGGTACCATCCTCCAGCCTCGAATCACTTACGGAGATCATCCTTCCCTTCCGGAGAAAGCCACCAGCAGAAGTTGGAACGGCTCGGGTTATGCTTGCTGCGTTTGTAACAGGTCCTTTCCGCAACTCAGCCAACTCAACGAACATTTGATCACCCACGAGCCAGATCATTATCCCTGCATCAATTGCAGACGGCGGTTCAAGGTGTTGTCCGCCTTACTTCAGCATTGGGAGTTGACCCACTGTGGACAGAGCGCGGCAAAAAATGCAACCCGCATCTTCCGGAGGCAGATCCCTGACTGCTTTTAGTTAGGCAAACTCAGTAGCGATAGATTGCAGATTGGAAACCCCGATCAAAGGAAGTTTGGACTCCTTTTGTCATCGGTCGTTAAATGAGTAGAATGAGGTTCTGGATGGGTCATACATGGTAGTTGGGGTTGAGAATGCCCTATTGGAGTAGGGAGGAAGCTACAATGCGCACAGCGTTTCTGTTCCGTACAACTACCGCTTTTTCATAACCTCTGCTACAATCTCCAGCCTCAAATACGGAAAGCCTGACACAACTTGCAAGCTATATTCCATTTGAGCTTTTGAAAAAGCATGTAGGAGGGGAAACTGCCCGCAGTATATGCATCCACCGGATGTTGTCCAAGAGCTGGCAACCCCCTTCCTCCACCCCCACATCATACATGTTGCTGCCGACACAAATCCGCATACAACCCATCCAGCTTAACCACCAAAGGCAATTGTTCCACTACTCCTTATCTTCGTATGATTCTGAACCGTAGATTTCTTCAACTTTGCAACCAGGGCTCATAACCTACTAGATCGGCAGTAGCCGACAAAGGTCAGGTTGTACTAGTAGTCTATGCTGCGTTGTCTATAGAGAAAGGGGTAAACCACCTCGTTTTGCAGGCTTTTCCTTAGGGTTAGGGTTGGGGTTTAGGGTTAGTGCTTTTCATCCACAGCGGAATTTTGGGAAGTGCAGCAACCGCGAATATGAGATATCCCCGACACAACACACACCACCTGCTGGTGATAAGGTAAGTCTGTGGAAGATTGCCCCAAGGTGTAATCATGAAAGTATTCATTGCGCTCAACATCCTCCTATCTTTGGCAGGCTGCAATGACGGAAGAAGAGCAGCGAATAGCTAGGGCAAAGCGATTTGGAATACCTGTCGAACCGGCTGCCCCTGCAGACGCAAAGACGGCAACGACGGCAGGACCAAAGCAAGCTGCCGCTGCAAAACCTGCCAAAGAGGTTGCAAAACCCCCTACGCCAGCCTCAGGCTCCAAGGCTCAGGCTCCAGCATTGCCGCTGCATTCCTGCTGCCGCTGCGTTGCCGCTGCATTCCTCACTCCCCTTGATTCTGCAATCCTCGAAAAGATCAAAGTTGCCTACACCACTGATGACCTTGCAAAGACCATCCACGAACAGCTCAAGATCTCCCTTGCCCAACGGACCGGAGAAGCCCAGGATCGTATCAAGCGTTTCTCAGATGAACACGGGATTCTGCTGTACTATAACCTTGTCTATGTCCCCACCAATGAGCTCCGAGCCGAAATCTGCCACGACATGCATTATACGCCCCTAGCCGGCCACTTTGGGGTATCCAGGACCCTCGAACTCGTCTCCCGCAACTACTGGTGGCCCAGCCAGTGGCGCTTTGTCAAAGCCTACGTCAAGTCCTGCGATATCTGTAGCCAAGCGAAATCCAGTCGACACAAACCGTACGGCCTTCTCCAGCCCAACATTATCCCTGTTGGAGGTATCATCCTCCCGAGTCCTTAGTTAGGGTTCCTGTAGCTAGGTTCCCCTTGTGACTCACCTCCCGCTTACGCCACGCTTACGCGTACGGGACTTCACTCTTTTCTTCCCCTACGGACCTCGCGTCCTCTTTCCACAAGAGACTTGAATACATACTTCTCAGGACTACATCTCACCATACATAGAGTTCGCTCAGTCATCTGCTTCCTCTGCCGACTACTGCTAAGTGGTTATGAGCCCTGGCTCCGCCCGCAACTAGCGGGTGGGTCAGGATAAAGAACTCTTGGTCTCCCGGCGCCGACTCCCAACTTCGATTCAACAAACTCAGAAAGCACGCTCTGCTGCATTAGCAGCCGGCAAGCCCTCTGCCCCTAATACGCGCTTGCCTGGACCCGCTGACGCCGACAAAATGCCTGGTGGATATGTGGAAGGGGAGAAGGGGAAGGAGAGGTTTTCTGCAACTTTGGCAGAGTTGAGAGACGCAACCACGCCGTATGTGGATGCGCCTGAATTGCGCGGAGCCGTGGAAACCGAAATCAACCCATTCCTGACGGCCCCAATTATGGATCCCAATCAGGAAGGGTATATTCCTATCAAGCAGGAAGAAGGCTTCTTCGCTGAGAGGACGGCTGGACTAGTTACCTCTCTCTTGAATCAGGAACGAGCGCCACAACAAGGCGGACCTACCGTCCCCTCAGTGAACCCGCTCACCCAATCGCCAGTATTCAGCACTTGTTCTGATTCGGCTAGCCCTACACCGGCACCTCAACCCGGCACTCAAGGCCCTCCTTTCGCTGATCACCGAAGTGAACCTCTGAGGCCACCCCATGTGCCTTCTCAGTGCGCTACGGCTTACTCCATCCCATACGCTTATCAAGCCCCAGGACGACAGCCACCTCATGCGCCTTCTCAGCGCGCAACGGCCTACACCGCTCCATACGCTTATCAAGCCCCGGAACGGCAGCCAGCTACCCCAGTAACAGTTACCTTGGTAACATCCCCAATGAACAATAAGAAGGAGGCCCCCGCTGCCCCTTCCATGGCGCACGCCATGCACGTTCAAATCCCAGCCACACACGACGACTGCCTCTTCACGGCGAATTCGGGCTGTATGGATTCTAGTACCCTTACTTCGCAGAAAAAGGACACCGTACTAGATCCATCTCTTCAAGACCACCACCGCCTTATTGGACTTGCGGGGATTCTCATCCACCCTACGTCCAGTGGCAACGCGCCCGCTCCCCGCGGGGTGTTTTTCAGGTCCCGGTCTTACCAAACCTCTTATATCAGCTGCGAAATGCACTGATAAAGAGACTCAAAGGCGTTACCCCCATCAACGGATTAACCCGATTTGGACAACAAAACGCTACCCCGGCTTCCACACCATACGCCATTTCAGCGCGTACCCAACCCGCCTCTGCAGTTTCCCCATTTGAACACTCTCTCCACCCGGAAGCAGTGGGGGCCGTCACGTGGGCATCTCGGCGCTGCGACATTTCAACTGCCGTCGGCTTCATTTCGTCGTCGTCAGGTCTCAGCTCCGTACCCAAGCCGACCGGGAAGATGTACTTCACATCATGCGCTGCATTCAACGAACCCGCACCGTCGCGCTTACCTATACGTCCAGTAATCAAGGTCTTCGCATCCATACCGGCGTATAATACACATCCCGCAACCGCCCACTTCTCGCGCACGATCACCTTCTACTCATTGTTCAGATTTATCTTTCACTTAGATAGACTCGTGAGTTTGAGTGGGGGTGTTGGAGGTATCATCCTCCCGAGTCCTTAGTTAGGGTTCCCGTAGGTAGGTTCACTTAGCAGTAGTCGGCAGAGGAAGCAGATGACTGAGCGAACTCTATGTTGTGTGAGATGTAGTACTGTATTGTATAAGAAGTAATGCAGAGAAGTCTGAAGTAGAAAGAGGACGCGAGGTCCGGAAGGGAAGAAAAGAGTGAAGTCCCGTACGCGGAAGCGTGGCGTAAGCGGGAGGGGAGTCATGTGAGGAAATAAACTACGGGAACCCTAACCGGGGACAAGCGACTCTTCGATGTCGAAAGCCCAAGTGAGGGAAGCTCTTCGATTGGCGACGGAGGTGGCGACGTTGAGGTACCGGAAGGATAACCATGAGAACCTTGCCAAGCACCTGGCGTTTACGAAGGCGAAACTGGATCGATCGAAGCGAAAGAAGGGGTTGTTCGAGACATTGATGGAGGAGGCAGACTACCTGGGATGTAAGGCAGTCTTGGAGTCGCGATATAAAGGAAAAGGCGGCATAACGAAGGAGAAAATGAAAGAGGCAAGGCGCCGCAATGATGCGGCCTAGAGACGGGAGCAAGACAAGATGATGAAGCGACTCCAGTACTTGCGAAAGCACATGGATGATTCGTCTTCGAGTGATGATGGAGACGGTGACGGAAACGGCGGGGGAGGTGGTCTAGGGGGTTCGCCTGGTGGAGGCGGAGCCGGAGCCAGTGGAGCCCCCGGTGCCGGGGCAGCGGCGGCTATCATGGTGGCAGGGTAAGATGCTGAAGTGGTATATAGTGCCCAGAAGCCGCCCCAGTATGGGTGTTCTGTATGTCTCATTCGGACGTAGTCGTCGCCGGCTGTCTATTGCTAGCGACACAACCTTCTTGAATTGCTTGAATAAATTTCGTATGTGTCTTGGGAGGAAAGGGCTTTGTGAAGTAATTAGCCAGTTGTTCCTGCGTTGCGCTGTCGAGGAGTACGACGTCTTTCTTTGCCACGCCGTCGCGTAGCTTGTGGTAGCGTACGTCGATGTGTTTGGAGCGTTGAGTAATAGCCGTGGAGTTGGCAATCTCGCGGGCGCTTTGATTGTCAATGTGGATTGGCGTGGGGTCCTTGATGTTGCCGTATTCGTCGCCGAAGACCTCCGCGATGTCCGAGCGGAGCCAGTAGACCTCGTTGTAACCGAGGGCTGCGGCGATATACTCAGCTTCCGTGGAGCTGAGAGCTACGCACTTCTGTTTGGTGCTTTCCCAGTAGATAAGCTGGCCTTTGAAGAAGCTGGCGATGCCCACGGTAGATTTGCGGTTGTTGACATCGTCTGCGTAGGATGCGTCTGTATAGACGCTAAGTCCAGCCTGATCTGAATGACCGGACTTGTAGGTAAGCTCGAAGGTGCATGTACCTTTCAGGTAGCGCATGATGCGAAGTACATCATTCCAGTCGGCTTGGGTAGAAGCTGAGACTTGACGTGCGACGAAGCCTACGGCAGTTGAAATATCCCAGCGCCAGGTAATGGATGCCCACGTGAGGGCCCCAACTGCTTCCTGGTAGAGAAGCTTGTTAGGAAAAGGGGGGCTTGCGGAGGTGGTCGGGTACGCGCAGAGACGGCGCACGGCGTAGAGACCGGGGTAGCTTTTTGTTGTCCAAATCGTTCGAGTAAACCGTCGATAGAGGTAACATTGCTGATTTTGAGTTGGTTCCCGGACGGCGAGAGCTGGTAATTGAAGACCAGACCCAGGCAGTTTTTGATGGGACCGAGATCCGTACAGTTGAAATGAGAACATAGTTCACCT